CATGTGTTCATCGAAAATTTAATTTCGTAATTTCCGTAATTTCGGAAACAAACTCTCCGTTACCGTGCACCGCAATCGAATAATGTTCACGCATCAACCAAAAATGGAAATATGAAAAACAGCATCACAAAAAAAAAACTTTTCATCTTCAACATTTTCCATCGTTCACGTCATTTTTCTTCAGTGTCTTGATTTCATTTGGCAATAAATTTGGCGTGGCCCATGCAAACCAATTTCCAGTCTTTGATGTATATATGCATTTAGTACTTACACTATGCTTATCTACTTCACAAAAACTTTATATTTACCAAATTTATTCCGGCAAACACGAAAAGTGATAGAGACAAGGCCGAAAAAAATGCAAAATTAAATACAAACACTGGGTTTCCCTCTGTTTTTTCGACGACGCGAATAACTTTTTTTTGTATTTCGCTGCGGTTTTCATTATTATATTTACATGAGAGCCATAACCCCCTGGCGGAGGTTGTCTCGTAAACATTTCGACGATGATTAAATTATGCCTCGTTTTCGTTTGCTTCATCCACTTTGGAAGTCTGCATTGCTTTTTGTATGCAAGGAAAAACACGACATTTTGTACTTCTTGTCGATTCGCAGCGCATTTCTATGCACACATACACAAAAATAACGAACTTTCACTTTAGACGTAAAAGATGTTTCGTATTAGACTAAAAGCAGAGACAAAATCATGTCTAGGATTTAGTGAGCGCAGTTTGGGCTGGCTCAATAAGCTGCTCGCAGCATTGATTCTTTTCTAATCCGATTTTTCCATGACATACAATTAGGCGATGCTCACAACGGCTCTTATATACTCTATTATGAGTTTTATGTTTGAATTTTTCGCTCAGTTGTTCTTTTTTCTCAGCAGACATAAACATGTTTTAATTGTGTATACGGTAATTTATAAAAACCTCTCATTAAACAAAGAAAAAATTAATCGTTTCCAAAGCCAATGCTTCATCGTTTTATTAGAATTTAAATAACATACCTTAATTCGATACAATTTGGAACTAAATATGAACGAATGAATTTGAAATCGATTGTTAAACTTTCCCATTCTACACAATTTTTGTTCTCTACTTTCTCTCGTTCACCAATTATTTGTTCATCAATATAAAGTTTATCTCTCAAGTCACGTATATTACTATTCATGATAGTTTTTCACATTGCTTAATTGATGCATGTTTTGATTATGACTTGACATTTCGACATGATTTTTGCATTGCATAACAAAACAGAGGTACGCGGTTCCTGTGTCAATTCCACTGAATTCGGTTTTGAATCATGTTCAAAGCTTTAATAAGCACATTGAAATCATAAAACCGCAAAAGTGTTCACGTATGCAAATGAGTGAGTATTGAAACCGCCAATGAGCGGAACATTTTATTGATTGACAGTTTCATGTGTTGTCGAAAAACGGAAAATGAGAGCGAGTTTATGCAAGTTTTTGGTCATTAAAATCAGAAAAGGTTATGCATTTTCAAACCAAGATCAAAAGGATCAAATGGATGTGGTATTTTGAAAATCCACACAAAACTGCCCCCCCCTCTCTCTCTCTCTGTCGCAAGGTTTCTCATCAAAACGTCGAAATGAATTTGGCGCTAGTTTTACAATATAAAGTTCACACAAAGAAAAACACAGAAAGTGCGTCGATGTATGTTCGTGTTTGTGGTAACAGCAGCAGTTACCACCATACAAACAGACAACAACATTACGATTATAACACCAAACGAATTGACACTGTGTAAATGGTTACGCGTGTCTACATATGTTTGCAATCATTAAACAACATGCCAAAGTGTAAACGTAAATTGTGAAACTACATTCACTATATGTCTCTTCGTTCTTTGTGCAATGGATAGATAAATAAAGAGATAGAGAGACAGAGAGAGGGGGGGAGAGAGAGAGAGAGAGCAATCGAATATACCAAATAGACAACACCACTCACATACACACACACACCCATTGCAACGCATATAAAACCAAAAACTCAATTCCAATGATATTGGATGTCATTTAACCGAGAATACATAATTTATGTGAGCACGTAACATGGGGCTAAAGTGCTTTTGGATTCACTCTCTGATTTAGTTTGGTGATAAAATTAAAATGTTCATTTCCAAATGTTGCAACAAAATTTTGAAATATCTTTGGTCGTGGCCGCGCTCCCATGCGTTCACCACCAGTTCTTTTGCACTGTTGTCAGCACGCATTGCTGTTCAATAGCTAAAAATTCGGTGAAAATGATAATGTCATCTGTGTGAAACGAACAACATATACACCCATATACAACATATCGTGTTAATTCAACGCACAAAATATGGAATCGAGTCGAACATGAAAATTCGAATATGTTTGTTCGAATTCTGTAATTTTCTCATTTGCGATAACACGTTTTCAAGTTTTCACGAAAACATACAATTCGCTCGCGACAGAATGAAACGCATTCAAACCAAAATGTGGTGAATCGATCTCGAATTGGGATGGGTTGGTGTGTGCCTTCGGATGAACGATGTTTTAAATTTTCGACAAACATCAAAACCGAACTAAAATAGTTTGCATATTGTGATGATGACGCTGAAAATGAGAACAACGATGCGAGGGAATTTTCGGTGTGGCTTACAACCGCACTGCTTTCAGCAGGTGGCTTTGATAAGATACACAACACAATCACTCTTTCTCTGCCATTATATTTTCGTGTGCATTGTATCCCACATTTTCGACTTTTCGGATTAAAACATTACAAAATAATAACATGTTTTTTTTCTTGTAGAGGGGGCGTGATGTTTCTCTTCAACCTCCAATCCGGGCTGTGTTCAATTAGATTGAAGATTCAACAGTGTGCGTCATTGTTTTGTATGTATTAGGCGTTAATGTATTTTTCTTAGCTTATAAATTCAAAATCCACCGTATGCACTGAAGCGTATTGTCCTAGGTAATTTTTATGTTATTTTAATCTCAAGCTCAAAACTCATAAATCTCTTGTTTATTATTCGGAACGTGATCATATATCAATTTTATATTTATGCAAACTATAAAATTAAATAATTCTTTGAATTATTTCAATTTGTCAAAAAAAAAAATCACACTTTTTCAATTTCAATAAAAATAAATCGTTTTGTTACGCATAAATTTCGAACCGAGTGAAAATTGTAATAGATTAATCAAATTCATTTATTCGTTAGTGAACCGGAATAAATATTATCGTTTTGAGTGTAAATCAACCATAGAAAAAGTAAATTTCAAAATACACACACCGAGCCGGAAAACTGTCGATGCGATGCATATCGGATTGGAAATAAAGTTTATTAAATTGGTTGAAAGAATTGAGCTCAATATTTTCACGGTACCATGAGTGTGTGTGTGCGGTGAATGTTTGTTTGTTTAAAGGCCCAAATTGATTATCGGCTGGTTTTGACAATTCAATCGATGGTAACATTTTTTTTGTCCAACAAACAAACAATGCCACGGCTAAAAGCCAAAGCACTTCCAATTATGAATTTGTTCCATGGCGATAATGAAAATGTGCGATTCAAACGAGCACAAATAAGCGCTGAGAGGCGGCATTTTAAAGTACTTATTTAAAATATGTTGACCATGACCACAACGACTGAATGAGAGTGAGCCGAGTCAATGCTTGATCGAAACATGCAGTAATTTAATTCGCTAATATTTATCGACTACTGGCATGGCTTGCTGTTTGCCACAAATATTTTTCAATCGCCACCGATTCAGTTCACCACATGTACAGACACGAAAACAGACATACACCGTCGAACAAAAAAAAATCCACCGAATAATAACATTTATGGGTTTGCGTTTTTTTTAATCCCTTTTTACCGATCTCGATAATTGTAAATTACGAAATACAAATTGACATGAAACCAAAATGGTTTATCCTTTTGGCTTTTTTCCATTTGATTTAATTTATGTGGCCCCGACTATAATCAGACGCTTTTGAACGATATAGCGCTTGTCTTTCCATAATTATGTCATTTGCAGTTGTTTTGATATATTCATTTATTTCAATTAGCAAAAGTGTCACCTAAAATGAGGAACATAATGCATGAACAATGCGGTGGCACTCTCTCAATATGTCGATATTATATTTCAATTGGAGAATACATTTTTTTGCAATTTCGAATCGAGATTCACTTATCACCGAATTTAGGTCATCAAATTAAGGCCATTTACCAAAAATGTAATTGACATAGTTCATTGTTTTGTTTTTTAGTAAATTGAACTAATTGTTTATGCATTTTATATTTGAAAACAAAAAAAATCTATTACTGTAGCACTCATCACGAATGCTGTCTGACTTTTTTAGCGAGTAGATTTTTCCTTTATGCAAATGTAAAAAATATCAAAATGGTAATTAATTCCTTAGTACGTTGTATGAGAGCAACTTTTTCTACCAATGAATTTCATGCGAATTTTATCCCATAGCACGTTGAACGCTGTGTGTATCGTTCAAACCGAGCACATCCTCATTGTCGTTGTCATCGTCGCTGCAACACCAAACCAAATTATTAACATAAAAACCATGACGAGTTTTAAATTGGAAATTAACGGGTTGGCCAAGGATTAAACGAAAGTTTTTTTTATCACTCGCATAATTTTAAGAACGCATGTGAACAATTAAGCCGCACAAATGAATTGTTTTTGTATGGGTGCACATCATATAAAACTCGGACTTAATAAAAATGCGTGTTAATTGACTAAACTTAAGAGCACCAATTAAAATTAATTAATGTGTTCACTTTGAGTTTTATGGAAATTGCTTGTCGTTTTTTCTGTCATCTTCCGCATTTAACGAAAATGTATCTAACTTTCTATTTATGGATAATTGACACGTTTTGATCAATATACACTCAAATGGAATGGGCACAATAAAAAAAACATGAAGTCGGCTCGTTTTATATCGTACGAATCGTGGGAAATGAAATGGGGGAAAGAACAATGGCGAATAAAAAAAAACTTACCGTTTGAATTAATTCCATTGCTTGATGTGGGGGATGCATAAATGCATTCTATTGACATTAAAACGGCTAATGTCAAGATGGCCCCAATGTAACCATAATAACATGGGACCATCGCCGTTTGCTTTTGAATTTCTCGCGTTATTTTTACGTATTCACTTCACTTTTCTCTCTTGTTTTTTTGTTTGTGTGTGTTTTTTAAGTGCGTGCTATATGCGCGAGTTGTTTGCTATAATCTCGAGTGTATCGGCTGTCGTATTCTTCTTGTTACTTTGTTTATCGCTTACGCTGTATATTTATGAGTATTTTCGTTGTTTTCGGGCGGTTTTATTTATGATACACAATCAGATTGTGGCCGCAAAAAAATAGTAGAAAACACACCGAACACAGAAACACGATAAAAAGTGTAGCTAAAATATATAAGTGTGTCTATATTGGAACATTTGTTATGATTGCTCGCGAGCACTCTGCTCTCCCTTTCTCTCTCTCTCTCCCTCTTGCTGTATTTTTGTGTTGTTGCTAAGCATATACAATATACAATAATTTACAGTCACATATATGCCGATTTATTTGGTGGCCATTATGTTGGGTTTATTTTATTTATTGTGAATATTCGAGGTGCTTGATTTGTCAAACAAGGAGTCAATCACTAAGCAGACATAAATAAGTGGAAATCTCCCGAATGTGTAAATTAATAGAAGTAATTTTTTCACGTATCTCGATAGACTGATATAACGGAAGAAAGATTTCTAAAGCACACCCGACAAGCAAAAAAACCGTTCAGGCATCAAACACGAATATGAAACAAAAAATTGGATCAGGCATTACGCGAGTGTGCATTTATTTTCTGTGTCACATCAACATTAGGGTAATGAATAAAATTGGTCAATTAGGTATCGAATAAATTTATGGAACCCGCTCAGTGGGCCAGTCAGCAAAACCATTTTACTACAAAACACGGAACGATCAACGAGTTAAATAAACAAAACGGACAACAATAGACAATTTGTCAACACTTCATTTCAATGGCAGTTGAGCGGCTCATTTATTCACTCGCTTTGGTACTATATGTGTGCCATTCAAATGCGCTTGAATTGTTGATGCGAAGCATTCACTTATCCAAATGGAAAGCGCAAACAAAACAGTTTCGATGAGAGAGAGAGAGATAAAGAGAGATAGATAGAATTTAGATTTTTGGTTGTTAAACATGTGGTAACACACGCACTCTCATGGTGTAAATTAACCAATTTGTCACTTATTTACACTTAATTATCTTGTCTACCGATTTAACCGATATTGTCAACACTGCTAGATCAAACAAAAAAAATTGTCTTTATCGATGATGATTCAACGGCAATGAAAAAAAAAAACGATTCACAATTCATTTGTGCTGTGTACCTTCATTGATGACTAACAATCGTTGCGATATGTTCTAGCGAATGCATTAGCTGTATATGTATGTAGCTTGCTTTTCCATCCAAACGGTTTCGCTATCAAAACAAAACTAAGCGATTCGATTGCATTGCATTCATTCTATATAGAGCGGAAGATGTTGAAGATCAACAGCAATGTGCGCGCACAACCATCATACAACACATAACACAGTGAGTATCCGAGAGTATAAAACGTTCGGTCGATGTTGTTTGCACTGCATGTGTACCCGATACACATGGATTGACTGCCTGCCTGCTACTACTGCTGCTGTTGGAATGTATGTGACGAGGGAAAATATGCTACTGATGCTAACTCTTCGTTCAGCTCTCAATTCGAGGTGTTGTGTGTTTTTTTATCCTTCGTGAGGCGCGCGCGACACCAAATGCGTACTGTATTGTGTCCAACCAACGTGTGCAGTTTTCAGTGGTGCAAAGCAGACAAAGCAACATCGAATAAAAATAGCAACGGCCAGTTGGAAAGAGGACCAACATTTGCCAGCTCAAATCACCGTCGAAATAGTCGTCGGATGGTTTCCGGTCGACGAAGAGCAGATACAAAGAGAAAGAGAGATATTATGGAAAATGCACGAAAATGAGCGCGTTTGCGGTGATGATGCAACACAAATTCAGTACACGAAAATAATATAAATTTAATTTTGGCTAGACGACAAGTGTGTCGCAAATGATCGATGGAACGAGACATTCGAAATGAAAATTAGAGACATTGAGAGAGTGGTCACAAGCGCATATGTAAACCAACAAAAGACAACAATACAATGCGATGACAATAACATTTGGGCCCTTGTTAATCAATCTTCGACAGCCGCATCATGGTGGTGCTGATCGAAAACTTACCGATGACATCCAGTTCGCTGAACTTTTGATGTGTAAATAATTTCCGTTCGTGCATATAATTTCAAACAAATAGGTGGTTACCAAAAACATTACGTGCAACCGTTTACGCATTTTATTTGTTGTTGTTGTTGATGATGCACGCACTTTTGTTTACACACGGAGTTGTGAATTTGAATTTATTTTTTCCCGTCTTTTCCTTCGCTTTCAAACTAAAGAACAACAATATCCTTCCAGCCGAAATAAAATCACAGTCTATGCGATTTGTCATTATAAAGAATTATATTTGTGAAATCAGACGCCTTGAATATGCTTTTTTTTCTTTTTAGACGGTTTTTTTCGCGTTTCCGACAGCACATTTTCTGAGGGGGTGGTTTCGCAATCACATTGTCGTCTTCAATGTTTGCTCTTTTTATTTATCCTCCGTGAATGTGGAGTGCCGTTACTGTCGACATCGACGTCTGACTTCGTAAAATGTTTTGCGCAAAAATACACTTTTTTACTTAAAAAAAAACCGCATACTTGCTCGAGATCGAGTCTTTTATGTGTGTGCGATGTTTGGCCAATCAGCAGCTAATATGTACGAGAAATGGGAAGTATTCTTTGAGCAATTTGGTGGATAATGTGCTTGTGTGTGTGAGTGCCTCGGTGGTGGGAAAAAAGTAAAGGCACTTTTTTGTCACACGTACAATGACGCCAATGATTGTAAACACAAGGAGAAATGTTATTAATTGAAAAATACCAAATAGTTCAACGCACGGACAAAAGATGGCATTCAATTTGGTTGTAAGAGGAGATTCAATAAATTATAAGAGTTTTTCTTGATTTGATTTTGTTTTCGCGATAGAGAAGTTTTAACATAAAATTCTGAATGCGCGAAAAAAATACTTTTTAGATTCAATGAAAAAAAAAATGAAATTCATTTATTCGATGAATCTTCTTTCAATTTCACAGTTCAACTCATGTTCAAAGTGAATCAAAATATTGAAACTGACTTTCCATTTCCAGTGGAAATGGAGACATGCGCATTTGACCAGCAAATATTTCCCTTATCAGCTGTTTGATGTCAAATCATTTTTTATCCACTGTCGCCGAAATTTTATTTGTCTGATTCATCTGTCGCTTTCTATCGTAAGAATTGTAGTTTGTAGTAACGAGTTGCTTGCAATTGAAAGAAACCAAAGATTTTCGCGGTATTTTCAATGATCAAATTCATCTGTCGATGACAAGCAATAATAAATGACTTTTAAACTTGTGCAAGTAATGTGTTTTTATTATAGAAATGATGATAGAACAAACGACGAAAAGAATATTGCAACTGTGTAAATAAAAACGACAAAAATCATCAAGCAACGCAAATCATGTCAATTATAACATTTTAATGTATTATTCTCCCTCAAATTCATTATGGGATTATGCTCAGGACGTTGTTTTTCGCGAGAAAGCTTAAATTTGTAAGTGTTGCATTACTTCTTCTTTTTTCATTTTTTTACGTGATGCATATGAGGTGCAATGAAAAGAGTAAATACATGTGAATTTCCAACGTAAATAGAAACTTAATCGATTTTAATCCATTTTAATTCAATTAAATGCACATTTCATTTCAACTATTTCGATAAACAGTACTTCCATGGAATCGGATGGCCAAGACATCGTAAGTGAATCTAATAACATATATGTATATTGAATGAATTTGATAAATGATTCAATTTTGTATCTGTAGAGCTTTATGGATTGTGACACAACGACTGAAAATCAAACATCGCCGTCGCCGTCATTATTTGGTATATTAAAATTTAAAACGAAACATCATTCAAAGTTTTTGAATCGATTCTGGCGGCGACATAAACGGCAACAGCAATCGGCTGTATCACAAACGGCCGTTGGCGGTCCATCATATGCAAGACTGAATACATCACGTCGAAATACTGTGTCAACACTTGAAAATCAAAACTATGGCAAAATGGTTCTTCCAAAGGATGTAATACAGCTGCAATGTCTCGATGTTGGTTCATTGTTGAAAATGAACGAACGACGTGACTATAAGCGGTTGCAATGTGATTCGCTAACAGAAGGAACTTTATCATTTGCCGGTTCATCGTTGGACTTGGAATGGGAGCATGAATACGATGCAATCGAACGGCAACAGAGTCAAGACGAGGCACAGAATTCATGGTATAACTCTGACGAAGAGTCGTCGAGCAGTTCGAGCGATGGAAAAGGTCATTCAATTGAATTATCACAATTTTCATCGCCAACAAATCGATTAAATCGACAAAATAATAACTATCAACCAATCAGTATGAATACAAATTCCATGCGATGGCACAGCCGACAAAGGAGAAAAAATTTAAATCGGTCTACGTCAACGACAAAACTTGATCATAACATCAAAATGAAAAAGACCAAAAATTTGTCACACACATCGACACCGGACTCACTGGAATGGGACGTACATGAAGACGACCATAAATTCAAATCTGAAGAGGATTCACTTGACCAAGAAACGGTGGAATTGCTTAACGAAATTGAATGGCTCAAGAATCGAGCACTCATCGAAACCGGCGACACACAATGGAACACAAATACACATCACGACGAAAGTTGATTTTAAACTCAACGTCAAATGATCGAACAACAAACAAAACGATTCAATCATTAAACAATGAAAATAGGCCGAAATTTGACTTTCTTTTGCCTCATTTTTAAAAATATGCTTTTAGTGATTTTTTAAACAGCAATAACAAAACAAATAGAAACAATCGCAAATGATTCGATTGACTTTATTTTTTATGATTAATACATAGTTCAATTTATGAAGGGAAAAACCAGCTAGCAAATCGATTAGAAAGTGCCTGAGTGTGAAATTGGTTTATTTTTCTTATTAGCAAAGATTTCATTGTGATGCGATGTTTCCTCTGTTCATGTTGAATTATTTAATCTATCTATATAATTAGCTCATTTAAGAACATGTGAAAAGAGAAAACAATGTTCCCAATATATGTTAGCGTTTATCTTTCTTCTTAACTTTACATTATTAGAATATAGAAGATTCCTATGTAGAAAAATTATAAATCGCTTTTTATTTGGTCGTAAGGTTAATTCCAAATTTTAAATTTGAGAAAAAAAATATTAAATCAAAAACTACGTAAATGAATTTATTAAACAAAATGAAACATTATCAAAAATATAATATACAAAAACAAACGTCAAGTACAATGTGGAAAACATATGGAAAAATATAGATGAACTAAATGATATGTTATTTTCGTTAAATTGTTAAACTGTAAGAATTAAAGAAAAGCAATTTTGATGAATAAAATCCGCCGACCCTTTCTTACTAAATTGGTTAAGTTTTTTTATTGTACTGCTTTTATACATCAAGAGAAAAGATTTCCAATTTGACGAAAATCTCTGAATCCTTGTCGGAACTCATTAAGTCCTCTTCCAAAGTGTTGAAAAGCTGGGAAGGAATTACCATTGAAAAAACGTCGGAAGCCAAACTGTGGCGCTGCAATGATAACATGTTGACTTAAAATGCTCAATATTCCAAATAGCAAAATTAATCCAATCGCAGTCTGTAAAAAAAATATTCAATTAATTTGTTTTACTTTACAATTTGATTGAATACATTTTGCCAATTTTACCTTGAACATTTTGATTTTCTATCAAAATTACTGATTTACACGAAGAAATGAAGAATCGCGTTTCTTAATCTCGGCCGAAATTTGAAATGCATCTGTTTGGTTTGAATGAAGTTTCCTTGTTTATATATCCTCTTAAAAAGTCATTTGACTTAACAATAAAAATCCTTCAGACACTCAAGGTTATTAATCCATAATTTTTTGTAACGTTTGGAATTACCGAAAATCAATAAACATATTATTAAATCAGGAATGAATAATATAAAATACAATACATCAACAACGAATACACCTGGAACTGTAAAAATGGAAGAACAGAATGCAGAAAGAATTTGCTGCTATCGACATTATGTAAATGACTTGCAGGCGCTCGGCCGAAAACTGGTTTAATTTATGTCCCTCTGTTATTTGTTTTCTTTGCAGTACATCGAACCAATCTTAACGTCATCGAACGTCGCTGATCAATATTCCAGTACAGGTGAATTTTGTTGGTATTTTTGATATAAATTAATAATTTAAAAATAAACTTATGATTTCAAACGAATATTCCATTTTTTTCACACAAATCATTTTATTGAATTTTTTTACAATCTTTTTTAGCATACACTTTTGCACGAGAGTAAAAACGTAATCATATTTATATCAAATTTGAAACGAATTCCAAAAATGTTCAGAATTTTGTTTTAACCAAAACGACGTAAACCTCTTCTACCAATTCTGCGAAAAACTCGTCTGAATCCAAATTGTGGATTTGGTGCTGCATGTTGGCTTAACATCACCAAAATTGCAAAAACGACAATCATTAGCACCAAAATCTAAAAGTAAATTTAAAATTTTATTTTTCACTTTAACATTTGATATCAGTTCAAAATCAAAACACACCTTGAACATTTTGATTAAAATTGTTTCAAATTAATTAAATCACACGAAAGATGAAGCAATGACGATTAATTTCAACCAAAATCTTTAATGCATCTACATCTTTTAGCGAATCTGTCTGCTTATTTATACCTTCATTCAGACAACTCAAGTACGTAAACATTTTTAAGTCAACATTATAAAAATAGAAATCCTTAAAACGTCCGAGGATATTATTTTCGATTATTTTGATAGTCGATGATTTTTTGCGACGTAAATCTCTCGGAATCTCCAGAAGTCTATGAATATTTTAAATTTATCTCAAACCACACATACTATAAATGAAATAAAAAAATCATCAATAATTCAAAATAAGAGCATTTGCGGGACAACTTCAACCATACGATAGAACCAATTGAATAATAGGTAATGAAGTACTTTAAATTTATAATTTCTTTATTGGCTTTTGGTAACATTTTTTTATTTATAATTATTAATAAAAAAAGTGATTTTTAACATATTTAAAAGTAAAGTGGACGATAGCCAAAACCTGGCCCATATCCAAACGGGCCAAAACCTCTTCCAAAACCGCCGAAGCCAGGTCTGTAGCCATAGAAACCAGGTCCAAATCCTCCACCGAAGCGTCTAATTCCATAGCCTCGGCCGAACTGTGCATCCACAATATTCTGGCTCACAATCATCAACACTCCAAGAAGTACCAGAATTCCAATCACGTTCTGCAATTAGAAAAAAAGTCAAATTTTAAAATGTTCACTTCAATATTTTCTATTTAATCACACCTTGAACATTTTTATTGAGAGTTATTCGGCTGACACGAAAAAAATAGAGAATATTTTGTCAAGTGGTTTCAATGAAATCTGAAATGATTCTGTTTGATTTAGAAGTTTCGGACATTCAATTTATACTCTCAGAAATAGAAACAACATTAAAAGAATGGAAATTCTTCAAACACGTCATCTAATCTGATCAAAATGTATGCTTTTTGGTACGATTTCTTGTTTTTTTCTTCAATGTTTGTAAACATTGGAAATCCCAAAAATAATTAGATAATTATTCTGTTTTAACCGCTAACCAGGAAGGAAACTAGTCTAAAAGCTGTACAAATGGATTTACCGATATTTATTTGAAACTAGTCGTTGCCCAAACTTGTTCAATGAGTCAAAAAAAAATTGGATCAAAACACAACGAAGTATTTATCGTATTTGAATTTTGTGACGTGATGGTGCTGCAGAGAATTAAAGCGCGGACGCGACGTCAATAACTGGTTTTTTGTTTATGTTATTATTATAGTAGCACCGTATACAAATGAAATGTAAATTATGTTGAATTTCAACGGAATTTCTTTGAAATTGTTGTGAATTTCCACTGAATTCTTGTTTTGCATCTGGTAATTTTAAATCAACATGTTTAAAGTGTCAAGTAGTTGACAGTTGATATTCAATCGAAATAAAAAAGGGAAAAAACAGATGAAACAAAAACAAACAATCATTTATCAACATTTAATGGCACTCCACCGTTGAAAATATTATGATATTGTACATTATCTGTACAAATGTTGATTACCCTTTTTTGCGCTGCTACTGCTGTTATAAACTTTCGTCACCTTTGGAATGAGAGAGTTTGTGTCGGCAATCTTATCAGCAGACGCCTATAAACTTTGGAATGGCTATAAGTGACTTTCTTTTTGTATTCTTGTTTGTCAATTTAATGGCAGTTTAGTTGAGAAAGTTTCGAGACTTGTTATATTTTGCTAGTTCATCATAAATACTTTTTAATAACATTCAACAGAATGATTACGTTTCAATCAGAGGAATTGTTTGGTGCATTTTTAGTCTTTGTTGTTGTTTTTATAATCATTTTACTACTCGATTTATTTTACCGCCAGTATTATTCACGCGATGTAGAGAAAACGGTCTATGTAAAACATTATACAGTTCGTTTTCATTTGAAAAAACTATTGGCTCGATTGCTTTTGAAATTGAACAGACGAGAAGCGACACCAGATAATGTTGTCGATAAGTTACAAATTTTTTCAGACACCGATCCCATGGTAAGCGTTTATTATTAGAGAAAATATGAAAGATATGAAAATGAAAACCATAATTAATAAGGAAAGTGGCATAATAATTTAGTATAAAAGTTAGATAGGTCTTGAAACTTTTCTTTTATCAAACTTGATACTTGAAAAAATTAAACTACAAACAGTGTTATAAATATTCTTCTCTCCCTTCTCTTAAAAAAATCTCTATCAATTTATATTCTGCGTAGCCAGTTGATGCGGTATTTTTCAATACAAGTTCAATGAGCCGACAAATTGTTGTATTTTCTGCTGCAAAACGAAGAAATGGACTCGTAAATTCAATGGGTTTCTTAAGAGTGCCAGATTTCAGTGATAATTTGCTAACATTTCCATCATTTCCCGATACATCCCTCTATCAGACTGAATCAGAACAGAAGGATCTCAGTTGCTATGGCGTGGCTGGATTAAAAATAACACCAGTTGTACCGAATAGAGAATATCATCTCGAGTACAATGGAAAAATGCGATTGGAATCGGCACCGTACAAAGAAGTCGACATTGAATTGAATGTATTTTGGCGTTCAAAGTTACCCGCATTCAATTTTAGTACCGGTTTAAGTAAAATTGCAATGTCAACAGCAATGGCCCTTCAACCATGGTCGAGAAAATATTTTGAACATTTGAAAAGGTAAAACATCATGTTCGATAGCATTTTAATAATAATGAAAACTTCCATTGATGACGACAGACATCATCAAACACATTTCGAGCAATACGGCGATGTCGACGGTGTTGCAAAGATAAATGGCAAAGATTACCCGATAAATACAAGTGGCTTGCGTGATCGTACATTTGGTGCTATACGAGATTGGAATCAATATCATCGATACGCCATCCATATGTTTCGCTTGGACAATGGCGATGCAATAACCGTCGGTGTAATATGTGTCCCGATCATGTTTACAAGGTAAAATTATATTTATTTATTTTTGCTACAAATTAATTTTCAACTTTTTTTTAAATTAGACTTGTTATCGGTTTTGTGACAAAGGCAAATGATAACGTTAACATTCCAATCGATAATTGTTCATTTGATTTGAACGAATACCAAAGATACAACCCACCCGAGAATTATGAGTTTGATTTCATTGCAAGTGAGTATTGAAATGGAACTGTGAGTTTATTTTATATTGCTATTTTTGCGTCGTTGTTTTTATTTAATCCATCAGACAACGATTCATATCGAGTACATGTGAAACGGCATACAAAGGCGAAAATTTATATGGGAGAACAATCGGAATGCTGTTTGGTTGAGACATGGTGCGATTTCAAAGTGAATGGCATTAAAGGTAATTATAATTTTTATTTAAATTTTCTGATTATTTTATCTATAATTATTGGATTGATTTCAGGATGGGGAGCTTGCGAATGGCAATATAAACATGATAATGAACAACAAAAGTGATTTATCTTTTGCGAATTCTTACATTTCTTACATTTATTTTTTACAATTATGAATAACGAGATAACATCTATTGTTTACTGAAATATATAAATATCACGAAAATAGAATTGACTGATTAGTGTGTAATATTTGGTGTTGTGAAAGTTTGTTGCTGCATTTAAAGGTATCCACGACGGAATCGTCCGAAACCTCGTCGGAATCGACCAAAGCGACCTGGAAATGCGCCCCCATAGCCTATACGTGAAAAATTCGAGATTTTTTTTTAGATTATTTTGTCGAAAATTTGATTTTACTTCAATTTGGTTCATAATCATTTTTGAATAAGTACCTCCATAGCCGCCTGGATATCCTCCGGATAAGCCAGGTCCACCGAAACTAGAACCACCAAAACCAGGACCGCCAAATGAACCAGGACCCCCGAAACCGGCTCCGCCGGGATATCCACCATAGACGCCGGGTGCACCACCAAAGGACTGCCCTCCCAAACCACCAAAACCAGGACCGCCAATACCATTACCAAATGCAGTACCGCGGAAAGCTTCACGAGCAAATCCCCCAACCGCTCCTCCCAACGCCGAACCGGCAATTTGACCGAGTCCACGTTGCGGTTCTGCATTGGCAGAAAATTGATTACTTAAAATCGACAGCACCACAAATAGCACAATTGTTTCAACCAAACTCTGTAAAAAAAATATCGTTAAACATCGAATATATTGAAACTGATGATTAAAACAAACCTTAAACATTTTTACAAAAAAAAATAATCCAAAATAAAAGAATGGTATGAAGATGGTATGCACCAAATCGAATCTAAAAAGCTAATGTTTATTTTCAAACATACAGCGCTGAATTTATACTATTGTGGCTAGAATATTCGCACATTGCGTCAGATCGAATCGCTTGAACAACAATAGACCAAAAGAAAACAAACCAGTTCTATGCTTGCTTCAATTTTATTCCAACAAATAAGCGGTTGCTTTTTGTGAGGTAAACAACATTTAAATCTTATTATATCTTCTTGTTAGAAACGCCCGCAGTTGAAAACCACAAAATAATAATATAAAAGAATCTCTTCCGACAGAGTCAGATCCGCAATAAATACATAAATTCTTTTTCCGGTGCACATTTCCTACACATTTTAGTCACTGAATTTATGGTTTAGTTAATACTACGAAAGAACCATATAAGCGTGTGCCAAAATTATGAAAATTCGCCGCCGAAATTCAAATGAATGATAGCGACAGTACAAATGAAGAAACCGGTTTTCTATTTATAATATTTTCGGTAAAAAAAACACACCTTTTTATTTTAATGCGATATGTTTGATTGACAGGTAAACAGTGTTTACTAAACACATAAAAACGATATTAATTGCTTAAGCACTTGTTATTAAACTTTTTTATTTTCAAAAAGAAGATTTCGAGCCATAATGCCTCATGGAATTTTTTTTTCATGCAGCGGGTCTCGCTTTCAATTGATATGATCTTCGAAGTCGACCTATAAAATGGAATCAAACAGAAGTTTGATCATTAAAATGAATATCTGAAGTGCAATTTTGTTTAAACCTACCATAGTAACCATCATCAAATCCATTGTATCCATTATATCTATTGACTCCATTATATCTATTGGGTCCATTATAGTAACGCATTCGATCAAAATTTCGTTCGATCGCTCTTTCGGCAACATCATCAATAACGTCTTCAATGCCTCTATTAATTCCACGATCGATGTCATCGAAGTATTGCGCACTTGCATAAGCAACCAAAATTGTAAGCACCAACAGAAAAGACTGAAATTTCCGAATATTTTTCATTCAATTTTAAGTAAAACAAAACATCTACACATTTTTCGACAATACGTTTATATAAAATTTGAAAACAGCAACTACCTTAAACATTTTGACACAGTCTAAAAAATAAATTAAATATTTCAACAACGATAGTTGATGTGATTGAAGTCAAGAGAATAATTAAGAATTATGAAAGTTTCGACCGTTCTTTTATACGTTCTCAACTCATAGGAAATACTGCTTTTATGCGCTTAATATTTATTCAAAAAAAATTCAACGTTACACGTAAATGTAAAATTAATTTAAACACAGAATAAAAGCGGTGCATGAAGAACGTAGTGTCATCGTTACGGATGATATAGCAATTAATATTGTGCGGAAAGTGTATGGTTCGCTAACATTTAGACTTTTTGTGATAATTGGTTTCACACGAGGTAACTTAAAAGCACCAGAAAAAAATATACTAATTGATTGGAATAATACATTGTATGAACAGTTAATTGTTCATATGGTTGAGGTTGATGGCTATATTTATAGTATAAATGAGATTGATGAAGTTTTGAAAACAAATTAGCACGGCCTGATATTATTTATATCTATAACACTGTCGACGGACATGATCCAGATAGTTTTTATGTTGCTTGCGTACGTTCTATTCACAAAAAGTTGTTTACGTCCATCGAAATTATGAAAAATTCCCGCTGAAATGCAAAGGTGATAGCTGGAATTTGAGTGACTTTCAAAACCTGTTTAAAATACTTTCGGTAGAATTGAATACTCTTTTTTATTGGCATACACACAAATTGAATCGATATGATAATGAGTAGGCTATTTATTTTCAAATTTAGCTTAAAATAATAAATTCACGGATGTTTCTTTATTCATCGGGTCTCGCGTTTAAAGATGATCTTCGGAAACGACCTTTTGGAATCAAACATAAGTGTTATTAGTATGTAAAATGAATATGATTTGAAATAATTTAATTTCTTTTAAACTCACCATAGTAACCATCGCCAAATCCATTGTAATCATTATATCGATCGTATCTATTGTAGTCATTATATCCATCGTATCTATTGTAGTAATTTCCACCAGTCAACCGTTCGCCCAAATTTTCAATGACGTCTTCTACACCTCTTTCTATTCCACGTTCTATACCATATCCGATGTTATCAAAGAATTGCGCACTTGCATGAGCAACCAAAATGGTTAACACCAATATTATCTGGAAATTTTTGGGAAATTCCATAAAAAAAATCTTATCACGTTTAAATAAAACACTAAGTTCACAACTACCTTGACCTTGATCATTTTGACGCAGAATTTTTTTTATTAAGAACTTCGAACTGCTTCGATCGAACTTGAAAGAATAATTGAGTGCGGTCCGAAGTTTAGGCGCACTTTTATACATGCTTACGATGCGAAAAAAATGCTTGTTTTTCTGCGACGTATATTTATTTCAGACATTATTTCAAACTCTTGAGCCCGGCTGGCGCCAACAATTTGGTATATTTCGATTTAATTGTGAATTTATGTTCAATTTATTATAGATTTTTTCATCGAAACACAGAATAAATCCAGCTCATGAAGAGCAAAGTGTCGTCGTCATATTTGAAGATTGGTAAGATAACAACTAATTAACGGTGTGAAAAATATATGGTTCGCTTAACAAAACTTTATATCTATATATGTTTGCGCATGTTCGCATTTTTTTAAAATATTTCATTGAAGTACGTGTTTGAATCATGAATCGTATGATTGAGGTTTTCGACTGTAAATTATCTTGAAAAAACGTCTGGAATAACAGCAACAAACTAACTTCGGATGACGAATATTACACCTATTGTAAATTGATTGATACAGACACCATACATATTTAATGTTTCGCTTCAATCAACTCAGTTCCGTCATTGAATAAAAAATAGAAAAATGTTTTAAATCTTGAAATATCAAGTTTTTTGTTTTGCAAAACAATTCATTTTATGATAAATTATCACTGATGGCATATGTCGCCGACATACTTGAAATGAAGGAAAATTTCATCGGAATTTTTTCAATACTAACTAATAACAAATTTGTAAAAGTATTGTTTGATTGCTAAGCTCAATGTTAAAAAAAAACGTTTATTTGTGTGCAAGCGCACGATGATTTTATTAAAGCACAACAAATCTAGATGAAATACAATTTATACAAAATGGTTAAGGTTTTTTCGCATCGTTATTGCGGGAAAGTCTTCGGCTCCTGCACGGCCAACTTTATTTCAAGTAAAGCATTTTCCTCAAAAATGAATTTATTTTCTGGGTTCTTAAAATCATCCATTTTGATGAAATTAACTGCTCCAAAAAGCGAAGATCTCCAGTGATAATCGTAAGCAAAACTATATGTTTTGTCTTTGCTTCCACCTTTTTCGTTTGACAACAGTTTGATAGTTGCTTTAACATTGTAGGTGCTATTGATATCCATGTCACTCGCATTACCACCAACAAAAACTGAAAACATCTCCACCTGATCATGGGTATATGGAACTGCCCAAACATACCATTTTACTCCACGAAGTACTATATTTGGCGATTTTGTACCTTTAGTATTAAGAGCATCAAACACTCGAAGCTGAAATGTTGTTGAAACATGTTCCAAAGTTTGCACCAGCACTGGCCGCTTGACAGACAATGAAAATTTAAACGTTGCTATACCATCCTTTACATATTTATCGGTGAAATCTGACCATTTTACATCAAATAAAGAAATTTCTAGATTTGCTTTCTCAAATTCAACATCGTTTAATTCCATTTTTAAAGATTCCTGTCCTGTTTCCTTATGTTCGATTTGGATTTTTCCATTGACAATGGATGATGACTTGGATAAATCACCGTCAAATACAGACTGTAAAGAGACCTTTAATTTTTCACTATCTTCTTTTACATCTTTGCACAGTTGAACTTTCCATGGAATTCTGTACAATTCCACTTCAGAAGAATTGTAGCATGATTCGGTTTTAATATCCTGTACTTTCACTTTAAGTTCAAGTTCACTCTGGAAAGTGTCGTCTACTTTTCGAAAATAATTATCGCCCTTTGGTTCTAATGTATATCCACTTCTGGCCAACACTATGCCTGAAATATGCATAAAACATTTTCGATTTTTTAAGAAGAGAAGCAAAAAAACTCACCAGCTAAACAGCCAACTAATAACATTAACTTATATTCCATCATTGTGCTATGACTTTTTCTTGAATGATTTGAGTCGCAAATTACGTACTGAATTTATACGGTAGGCTCCTTAATTTATCAATTCAAGTAATTCGAACTGATAAAAATTGATATTATTTTATTGAATCACTTTTCAAATCAAAATCATACTTTTTATCGATTCGAGTTCGAAACCATTCGTGTCTGATAAGATAAACTGACAAAATGAACTTTAATCATGGAAATGCTTACACAATGCCATAAAATGTGTTGAAATTAATAATTTCAAATTATTGAATCATTCTTTTCAGTGACACAGTTTTGCTACTGTGAGGTAGTGATGTCAATTGGTGTTAGATTTCGCATATATAAAAGCCAAATTTTATCATTTATTTGTAATCATACCTAATTGAAAAGACAAACGTCCTGTAAAAAAAGGAAACGATTAAAATCAATTGAGTGTATTATAAATAAAAGTCGCATCATACTTTTTTATATTTGCTTACGACATTTATTTCTTGAACATTTTATTGGTCACAGTAGAATTTTTTTACATCAATGCCATAATGTCTGATCGGATATGAGCTTCATGATGAAATTACATATACTGAAGTTAGAATATACTGTGTTTAACCATTTTAAGCATGGATTTAATTAATCTGTTCTCTTAAGTTTAATTTTTCGATTAATGATGTGAAGAAAAAAATTGAAAAAGCTGCTATATGTTTAAAAATATCTTTTTGAAATAAATATTTCTTCTAATAATATTGTTGCAGCTGTGCTTGGTTGAAAATGCATATAAATTTCAATAAAAATCATCATATTGTAATTATACACAGACATTTAAGCTAGGAAAATATTTTCCAAATTTGAAAGAATGATTTTTTTTAAGATGAAAAACATCTCCCTTTTAAAAATGACATTTTAGTAACATTTAGATTGAGAAGAACAACAAAAATAAGACATTTTAAATTTCCTTATTGAATTTTTTCTGTTTTTCAAAATATATTTTAAAAAATTCCCATCAATGTGTTTCTTTGGTATTTTGCAAAGCAAAGAATTAATACTAAAACGATAAAATGTAAATTTGATTCATAGATGTCGTGATTTGTTAGCGAAGACACGATAAAATAACAAAATCAGATTGAATGTGTGTTGCCACATGTGTCATATTTGTGCTGTCATATAGCACATGACAGACCGATACTTATATTTGACGCGGGAAATAGCTTCAGTCGTATATTGAGCGCAATTTGAATGGACAGTGAATAAAAACGCAATTTATGCGAAAATAATATCAATATAATTCAGTTTGACAAATAAAATAGAACATTAAAAAATATTAAGCAATTAATTTGCGGCAGTTTATTTCGCGACTAAAACTTTTGTGTTTGTTAATTAATTTTGTTGAATCGTTGCTAAATATGTCCAATGTTAAAGGAACCGATGTGAAACCATCACAGGCACTGAACTTAGGTATATCCCTCTTTTCCATATTACTGATGTACATTTTGTTTATGTTACTATTGAGGCTATGTGAATTTTGTGTGATTTCAGATGCGAATCAGCAGAAAAAGTTCATTCGATTTTACAAGAGTCTGGGTGACGTAAGTAGTAAACAATACATTTCAATTTACATAAACTATTTACGAATCATTTGAAAGTGATCAGTTTGCGGCTTAATTTCGGCTTTTTTCCTTCGAACGTATCAAAAAATCTGATGCTAACTCCGGCGATTTCTGTGTAATGGAACCAGAAACATAAACAATTTATTTGCATGTCGAGTGTATTGAAGTTGAAATTATTATACCTTGGTATTTATAATTTGTGTGGTTGAGTCGAAAAACGCAGATAAACTTTTTCGACCAGAGAACCGTGTTCTTGTTGGTTTTTCATCAGTATTGAGTTCTATCGGTGCTTCTTCTAATTTTCCAATTTTTTGCTGTTCCATCGGTTGAACAATGTTCGTTTTTGTCACTTCGATTTGATTTTCTGGAGACGACTGTACAAAATCAAACAGTCAAAATGAATCGCATGAGATCAACAAATAGTGAAGGAAGATATAAGAAAAAAATTGAAAAAAATCACAAAATGATTATAAAATTGAAATGAGATTTTGACTTTTTCGATTACATTTATCAGTTTTCACTTTTTTTAAGTTTTACATAAATTCATTGTATTCATTTGACACATCTTTTTCTCTTTATTCTACTTACTGTCTCATTGGCTTCAAAGCCAGTGTCACCGGATTTTCGTGCACGGCTCAAAATCTCTTGATTGACTGGTATCTGAAAATCAGAATCACATTCACTCATCAAAACCACGCAAAATGAAAACCAATTGTATGTGACTTACTAATCCGGATCTTTGGGTATATGTGGTTTTTTTGTGATGATATCGTTGCTCGTATTCGGTTTCTGGTGGTGGAACGGTATATTGAACAATGCGTTGATTTTCAACGCGTCGATTGTAGTCACTTGAAACGGTCGATACAACGAATGGTGTTGGTGTTGTAATTTGTGGCAAGGGTTGTGGTGGCGGTGGTGGTGGTCTTGAGCGTTGAGTGGTTGGTTGTATTGGTCTCTGTGTTACTTCAATCGATTCATCGTAGTCTTCTTCGAATGTTTGTGGTGGTTGATCGCCACGATTTTTGCTAATAATTTCTTTTGGTCGTTTATGCTTATCAACTTTATCGATGTCAAAGGCTTCTGTCGGTGTAATATCGTCTTTTTTCGACGATTCATAATGTGTGCTATCCAAATCGATTGTATTGAAATAATTATCATCGACAATGCCACTTTCTTTGTCCGACACTTTTCCCATTTCATATCGTCCACTTTGATAACTGTAAACCCATTCATGACCACCATAATAGAAAATACCACTGCTTATTGTTTTTCGACATTCCGAATCGGTCATTGTATGGCCATAGCCAATTTGTTGCAATTGCTCTAGCAGCTGACGTTTTCGTTCCTGATATTCATCTTCGGTCATTTGGACTTGAACGAATGAACCACTTGTTGTGTCATATTCATATCGATGGCCATCATGATAGAAATTACCACGATAAATAATATCGCGTTGTTCATTGGTGGTTTTTTCAATGCCCAATGTCCTTAGAATGTCCAACAAACGATTTATACGGAAATTATACTCACTTTCGGTCAATTCAATGCGTTCAAATTCACCCGATGCCGGTTGATACACCCATTGATTTCCACCACGTGAAAATGAACCACGAGTTATTGCATTACTACATTCCGTTTCACTCATACGCGAAAAACCTAATTTTTTGATTAGCGCTTGTAGTCGACGGTAAATCGATTGATATTCCGTTTCGGATAATTCTTCAAATGCTGACGCTACGCGTACGGCATTTGCTTCACCAGTTTCTGTATTGTATGTCCACTGATATCCGCCACGAATAAATGTTCCTTTTGCAATTGTTTCATTCATTTCCTGTTCGCTCATTTGACGATAATTCAAGCGCTGTAATGTCTCCTTCAATTTGGTTACAATCTTATGGTATTCTTCTTCGGAAATTTCAACATGTTCATAACGCCCAATGTCTGCATTGTATCGATATTTCTGACCGTCACGCACAAAATAGCCAGAGTTTATGGTTTGATTATATTCCTTTTCGGTCATTTGTTCGAAACCTAAAATAAAAATTAAAAATTTGATTTGAATTGAAAAACAAATCCAAAAAAGTTATACCCAAGCGTGCCAATTGATCTTGGAGTCTTCTTAAAATCGTGCGGTACTCTTGTTCGCTGATTTGCACCTCTTGTCCTTCCATCAAAACACCTGTTTGTTTGTCCAAATGATATCGGTGACCGTTGATATTCAAATAACCCGTTGCTATTGTTTGATTTATTTCATGTTCTGTTAATGTCCATCCGTGTCGACTTGACACATCCAAAATTTGCTGTCTCAACGCATTGTACTGTTGATCGGACACATCTTGACGATGATATGCACGCGTTTCCGAATCAAAAACATATCGTACACCATTTTGTGTGAAATAACCATCTTCGATTGTTTGATTGTATTCATTTTCGGTCATCTGAAGGCCCAATTGTTGTAGCTGTGATTGTAAACTGCGCAACAACGAATGATATTCTTCTTCGTTGATTTCGATTTTTTCGGTTTTTTCATAACGACCGCGATCGGTGTTGTACAAATATTTATAGCCATTATGAATGAAACCACCGGATGCAATTGTTGCATTATACTCATCTTCGGTCAGTGTTCCATAGCCCAAACGACGTAATTCCTGTTGTATACGATTCAAACGTTCGTTATACTCTTCTTCGGTATATTGATAGGTGTATTGATTGGCTGGCTGTGGCAAAACGTTTACATAGTGTGATTCTTTGATCGTTGTCACCGTTTGACCACCACCGTATGGCTGTTGATAGATTGTTTTTGTGTTTGTATTTTGGTTTTCATTGACAGTTTTAACATTTGTTGTGTGCGAAAAGATTGGATACTGTGGCCGTGTTTGGTGTTGAATCGTTTGTACTTCTTCGTTTTCGGTGCGTGAGATTGTACTTTGTGTTGGATAAATATAAGCCGGTTTCTGTGTAACTTGACGATTAAATTCAGTTTCTTCGTTGGTTTCAACGTGCGTTGTAATTTGTGGACGATACACTGGTCGCTGTTGATATTGTCGATCGATTTGCTCTTCTTCTTTTTCAATGTGTGTTCGAGTGGTGGCCGTCGGTATTACGATCGGTCGTTCATATTCTTGTCGATTATGAACTTCAAGCTCGTGAAATTGTGTATTCTGATCGATTGTAACGCGTGGCTTATAATTTGGCACCACTTCGGATTCATAAAAATGATCGTAAACATCTTGACGAGTGATGGTTGGTGCGGGTGTTACGATTTCAACATTATGAATGCGTTGTTGTGTTTCAACTTTGTGTGATGTATGATTTTGTTGATTGATTCCATAAAACTGTGGCCTTGGTTGCGGACGATGAATTTGACGTTGTTCCTCTTCGTATTCATGGGTGTAGGAATTTTGTGTTGGAATCACAATCGGCACTTGTGGCACATGGTGCTCGTTTCGTTCAATCGTTTTTGTTATGTGATACGACGATTCGCCACCGATTGGTGTAATAAATGTTGGAGCCGTGTGAATTTGTTGACGATTGCTTTCAACGCGATGATTAAATTGATTTTGAGCATTGAAATACGGATAGGTTCCGTGATGAATTTGATCGGTGCAATTGTTACGATGAACAATTGTTGAGCCATGGTATACATTGATTGGCACCACCGTTGGATATGCTGTATTTCGATTCACCTCTTTATGATGCTCTTCGACAATGCGTTGATATGAATTTCCGGTGGTGATCGGTTGAATGTATCCATAGCTTTGTTGACTTTGTGATTGTTGTTGAAATTGGTTGCTTTGTTGTTGTTGTTGCTGTTGTTGGCTATGAAAATTATTTGATACTGAATGCAAATTTCTATCAAATTCGATGCGATGTTGTTGCTCTAATTCGGTCAATTTATCAGCTACCCGATTTTCAAACCAATTTTGCGATTTAATTTCACCACGTTGAATCTTTCCCGTACGCAAATCATGAACAATTTGATTTGTCATATCACGGGCAATGCTGTCAATTTCCGCCTGTGATCGACCACTGAATCCAGACATTATACGACATTGCGTTGTACATGTTACACCATTCGCTGTATTTGTTGCTGAATAACGGCCCAATTCACGACGAACACGTTCAAGCAATTTTGCGTTGCCCTGTTGTGCTCTAGTCCCGTTTGATTGTTGTGAATATAATGGGCGAGCGTTTTTCAATAACGACAACAGAAAAAAAAAATGAAACAAAGATGAAAACAATTAAAGGGAAAATCAATATTGCTAGTGATTTAGGTCATGAACAATTTTAAGGTCCTATCAATGAGCGGCACTTATACACACACGCACCAAACGAGTATTGTGCGATATAAATTTCAATAAATCATGACAAACACAAACTCATTTATTATGAAAAATGAAAAAAAAACTACCTATTTGATGATAGTTGTGCTTCCTCGATCGCATTCGGTGCGGACGCGATTCCATCACATAGCAAGAGAATATTCAGGAGAGCAAATAAAATGTTCATTATCTGTTTTCTGTTGCGTTTTGACCTCATTTTAATTTAAATTCCAATTGAAATGAAAGCAGTTTTTTTTCGCTGCTTCTGATCTAAAGATCGCAGCAAACGATGTTTTAATCTCGTTCTTTTGCAAGTATTCTTTGATTTTCGAGTGTTTCGTTGACGATTGTCTGAAAAATTGCGAAATCTTTTTAAAAAAATGTAATCTCATACAGTAAGTTGTAGGTTTTCAAGGCACTTTTCCAAGAAATTTATAGAATTATATTTATTTTTAAAAGTTCTATTTCAAGCAAGAAAAAAATAATTTTCCACCTTCACGGCAAATTGAAAACGACACTCACTGTTCAAAAGAACGAAAAACAATGAGCAGAGACTCAAATATCAGAACTTTGTTTTTGAACTAAATTACTTACTTTACACGCTAACTATTCTGAATTATGAAAATTGGCGCACCATTTGCGAATACATACGGAAAAATGTTGGTTCGAACCGAATCGACACACACTTCAGAACCGACTGAACTCCATTATGTTATCGCTTCGAAAAAATTATTTATAATCCCGAAACACACACATATTCGTTTCAATGCCGAGAGAGAGAGAGAGGGAGAGAGCACACGGTAAGCGATGTAAAAAAGTCAATTTTGCAGCATCTTGAATCGAATCTTGTGCGTGTGTTGATTATTATGTTAAATATGAAACGATGTTCTTTTCTACATTTTTTTCCTCCTTGACAGGGTAATTCAAAAACTCACTCAACCAAATCATTTTGTGAAATAAAAACTATGTCCAAAATAAAATTGAAAGTAGTGGGCGCACGCTATTTTTACTCGATTCGATTTGTTGTTGTTTTCATTCAAGTGTTGATTAAATTGGTTTGTAAAAATAAAAAAAAACGCGTTTGATATGCATCTCACCAGTTTACAATAACAGACGCTCGTTCTATTCATTTTTATTGCTCGTTTTGAAAGCGGTCGCGGAAATGTCAAAAATGTCGATAGAAGCACACATTCATTAGTTATCTCTTGCGTTGATTTAAGAGATTCACTCTCCGAATCGGACGTGCGTTTACAATCAGGCAAATACTGAGAAAATGTTTGTGTCATCAGCATTTTAGTTTGTTTTCTTCGTCTACTCTTTTCACAAATTATTATGAAAATAAACAGTCAACCGATGAATTTTATGCGCGCAAATACTATTCGGTCAGGCTTAACGTTGTGATGCCGAAATGACAAAAATAAATCACCGCAATTAACTCGGAGTTAAATGAATGGACTCGAGAGATGAGTCGACGGTCGTTGTCGTTTGTGTGGAAAATTATTTAGAGACAATTTATGAAATGATTCGGATTTCAAATGTGACACGACAGTAACGTAAATTATTGAGTGACATGATAAATGAAGCTCTTAAAGAAAATATTGAAATGACTAAGACTTCAACTGATTCACAAATGATTTTGTTTTGTTTTTTTCACAGTATTTTGTTGATGCTTCAACATGAATTTTAATCTAATTAAATGTTTTTTTTTTAAACAGAAACCAGCATCGACCGTTCGTTTTTTTGATCGAAACGACTATTACAGTTTGCACGGTGAAGATGCTTACTTGGCTGCCAAAGAGGTATTCAAATCAACGGCCAATGTTAAAACCATGGCACCTGATGGCGCCACGCAACTCGATTACATCTGTTTGAACAAAGGCAATTTTGAAGTTCTCTTGCGTGAATTATTGCTGGTCAAAAACTATCGTGTCGAAGTTTTCACAAAGGAGCAAACCGGCGAATTTTCGATAGAATTTAAAGGATCACCCGGCAATTTAATCCAATTCGAATCAATGCTCTTCAACAACGTAGACATGGTGGTTGGCTCGTCGATTCTATCCGTCAACATGAAACAGAATGGACCGCAGAAGGTAACATATATTTTTTTCAAAATCATTTTATTCTTAAATGCACAACATTTTAAAATTTCGAACAGACCATCGGTGTGGCGTGCGTTGAACAAAATGAGCAAACATTCTCCGTGATTGAATTTGACGATAATGATTTTTATTCGGAATTAGAAGCGACAATTGTTTTACTCGGGCCAAAAGAAGCTATATTGCCATCGATTGATGGTGAATACGAACGAATCAATCAATTGTTGGAACGGAATTCCGTTATGGTAACGGTACGTAAAAAGAGCGAGTTTACACATGAAAAATCGAATTTGGAACAAGATCTCAACACATTACTGCAATTCAAAGACGGACAACAGGCAAATGCAAACTCATTGAAAGAGCTAAAATTGACTGTGGCAATGGCATCGTTGAACGCAGCCATTCAGTATTTAGATTTAGTATCTGATGCTTGTAATCATGGTCACTACAAGATGAATATGATGAACCTGAATCGTTATGTTCATTTGGATGCGGCCGCTGTATCGGCGTTGAATTTATTACCGAAACCAGGCACTGCCGTCAATTCGCAGGCGTACAAGTGGCAAAGCATTTTGGGCGTTTTGGATCGCTGCCAGACACCACAAGGACATCGATTGATGGCACAATGGGTTAAGGTGAGAGTTTAAAAATCGACAAGAAATACTAAGTTATTGTAAAAACGTGAATTTTTTCAACTAAAAGATGTTAAATTTCCTATTGAATTGTAATATAACAATTGGTTTAATTGCAGCAACCTCTTCAAAGTAAGGAATTGATCAAGGATCGTCATGATATTGTTGAATGTTTCATCGATGCAAGTACGGCCCGTGCAGACTTGTATGAAGACTACATGAAACGTATGCCAGATGTTTTGGTAAATTGATTCTTTTTTTCTTTATTTCGATTTGCATCAGATTACATGATATTCACATGTTTTTCAGATGTTAAGCAAAAAATTGCTACGTAAACGTGCCACACTGCAAGACATTTATCGTTTGTATCAAGTTGTGATTCGGACACCGAAAATCGTTGAAGTTCTCAAGGATTTGGATTGCAAAACAATTGACAAGTCTCTATGCGAACCAATTAAGGATACGCTCGATGTGAGTATTACATTTTGATGCTAGATTTTTTAAAATTCAAGTTGCAAAGCATCCAACCGCAATTCAAATGGAAATTAATTTTACACTGTTTTATTAGGAGCTTGGCAACTACAAGAGCATGGTCGAACAAATCATTGATAGAGATGAGGTGGAAAAGGGTGAATTTATGGTGCGTCCATCATTCGACGAAGAGCTTGGCGAGTTGAAAAAGACAATGGACGAGTTTGAGTCGAAAATCGCAAAGGTTCGATCAAAGGCGGTTGATGATTTGAATAATGATTCCGTCAAATTGGAATATGTATCACACTTGGGCTATCATTTCCGTTTGACATTGAAAGAAGAGTCTGCATTGCGTAATAATAAAAAATACCGAACTATCGACACCCTTAAAGGCGGCATTCGGTTCACAAATGATGCGTTGGAAAAATTGAACAAAGATTTCATGGAAGCTCGAGTACAATATGAAACACAACAGCAATCGATCGTTGAGGAAGTTATCAAAACGGCATTGAGCTATTTAGGTTCGTTTACTAGATTAAACAATCATATCGCTGAATTGGATTGTCTGTTGAGCTTTGCCATAGCTGCTGTGTCGGCTCCAATACCATACGTTAAACCAAAAATGTCAGATGAATCACCGCGAATTCTCAATCTCCAAGGAATGCGACATCCGTAAGTTACCACACGTTTTCTTACAAACATATCCAAATAATAATTCTCTCTTTTATAATTTAAGGTGTCTTGAATTGCAAGAAGATATAACCTTCATTGCAAACGACGTTGCATTCAAAGAAGACGAAACTAACATGTACATCATTACAGGTGAGGAGACATTTTTAAAATGAAAGATATAGAATTTGTATAAATTACATTGAATTTGTGTGTAATAGGGCCAAATATGGGTGGAAAGTCAACGTACATTCGTAGCGTTGGTGCAGCTGTGCTTATGGCACACATTGGATCGTTTGTTGCGTGTGAAGAAGCCCAAATACCATACGTTGACTCAATTCTTGGTCGCATTGGTGCAGACGACAATATTTCGAAGGGACTATCTACTTTTATGGTTGAAATGATCGAAACAGCTGGCATTGTTCGCGTAAGAGTTCGCAGTCATTTCTGAACAATTTTAATATACGTTTGAATTATGAAAATAAAAATTGAAAAAATAATTTCAGACGGCGACATCAAAATCGTTGGTTGTAATTGACGAATTGGGCCGTGGCACGTCTACATATGAAGGATGCGGAATTGCGTGGTCAATTGCCGAGTGAGTACAATCAAATTGAAATGAATTTTTTAACAATTGTTAACATTTTCTCTTGTATTTAAATCAATTTTAGGCATTTAGCCAAGGAGACAAAGTGCTTCACACTGTTCGCCACACATTTCCATGAAATCACCGATTTGGCCAATACATTGAGCACTGTCAAGAACAGTCACATGGTTGCTATCTCAGATAAGGACACATTCACGTTGTTGTATCAAGTTCGAGCCGGCGTCATGGACAAAAGTTTCGGTATTCACGTGGCAAAATTGGCCAACTTCCCGGATGAAGTCGTGGATTTGGCGCAAAAAATCTATGATGAAAGCGAAGATCATTATTCGCAATTGAAATCACAGGATGATGAAGATGCGGCCAAAATTTTTTTGGAAGCCATTGAAAAACTCACAGCCATCGATCCGGAACTGGTTGACGATTCGAAAATCAATGAACTTGCCAAAAATATCAATATCAAAGTCAAAAACTCCAACAACACGTATTTCCGAGAGCAGTTCCCACAGCTATTCCACTAATCTTCAGCCGAACCATTTTTACAGATTTTCTTGATTTTTTGAAAATTTCTTTGTGATATTTCAAATGCTCACAGTATACTTTATATATATTTCGATAATCCAATTTAAGACAATGGCATTCCAATTCCGATCTAATCAGACATTTTAAAATGTACAAAAGAATTTTCGTTCCGTTCAAACAAACTGTATTTCATTTTCTTTGTAAAGCAGAGAGATAACGTTTAAATATCATTCATCCATTCTGCGTATAAATATTATGATAAATAAATATCGTCAAAGTTCAAACGGTTAAAATGGACTAATTTCTCAGAAAATAACAATTTTGGCATTTTCAATCAAAGCAATATATAATTCTATTTTTATTTTTTTGACCGTATTTAGTCGCAATTACAGACAACAAATGGTGTAGGCTTACGACGTGTTCTAATCCTCGTTTTTTGAATTGGGGGAAGTGGACAATTGAAGGATATGATGTGCTCCGTTAGAAAATACGGATAAAAATTCGAAGAAGAAAAGATTTATTTCATCAAAATAATCTTGAACTTTTATTTTGTGTTAATTACACATTAAAAAAAATTAATTATATGAGTGTTGCTGATGTTAAGTGAATGCTTGAGTGAATGTGATTTCATATTTTCATTGTTGAAAATTTTTGCACGATTTTCGATTGGAAGCAACAAGGGGAAAAGTACTAAATACATTTAATACCAGTAATACGATCTAGTACAATAAAAATACCGAAAAATACCATGTAATACACTTTAGTACTACACATTTTTAGAGCATTCACAAGCGATCTAATATTCATCTGTGTGAAAGAAAAATAAATTGAAAACAATATTTTTTGTATCACTCTTGCTTACAATTTTAATATTACAAAATATTAATTTAACAAAATAACTGAATCAATGTCATAAAAAAATGCCAACGCACAAGATTTTATATATATTTCTTCTACACACAAAATTTGTTAGTTTTGACATGTAAAAATTCTAACCTAACTTCGGTCCAATATATTTTTCATCTTCTGATTTGTGTAGAGATTTTGTTTAAATATGAAATTGTGTCAGCTTCTTAGAACACTTTTCAAAAATGTAAAAAATATTTAACAAAATCAACAAAAATGTGTGCATTGAATTTTAATTATTTCGGTTTGCATGTGTCTCGTTTCTCTCAGTCAGTGCTTTAAAAATTCCTCATTACTAAATCGTATTACTTGGTATTTTTTGGTATTTTTATTGTACTAGATCGTATTACTGGTATTAGACGTATTTAGTACTTTCCCCCTTGGGAAGCAAGGATAATCTATTTGAATCTTTTCTTTTTAATATAAAGAAATTCCATATTTAATCTGGAAGATATAAAAAGAATCATTTTTGCGAATATGTTTTATGTTTCATGGAGCATGAAGCGGCATAAGCAACAATGGATTTAATTTGATATTACATGAATGAAGATGTGCCACTTTTCATTATATTTGAAACATTGTGTGAATCTATTTTAAAATTAGAATACTTACTTCAGAATAAGAGCTTTCGGTCTCCATCTCCAGAAGAAAATCATTTCTCATTCACCAAAAATTCTGTATAAAATAAAAAAGGAATATAAAATTTGGATTGTGGTTTTGTTGAAATTACACAGTTTAATTCTTACCGTCTTTTAAATGTTTACCCATTCATTTGTATATTAAAGGTAAGAGACTATATATAGATTTGTATAGTGTATTGAAACAGATGTGGATGGTGATGTGTAAACAGTCATTGTATCTTATATATCTTATGGTTTGTATCGTCCATTTCTCGTATAGTTTAATCTAAAAAAAGCAATTTAAGTGTTACTTCATCAGCATCATCAATCGACCGGCTGAATTTAAACTACGACAACTACTCAAGGAATTGCATATATCGGCTTCAATCCATAAAATACCAGAATGGTATCAAAATAAGGAATTCGCACACAAAACGGAAACATTCTGAAATTGTTCACAAACAATGGCGATATCGACGGAATTGATATCTCTGATGAGGACATAAATCAATCGAAACTGTATATGCAAGGGTAATTTCCAAAAAAAAAACATTCATATTTGCATACAATAGTGATATTGGTAAAGGTGTCAACCGGACAAAACTTGTCCGTCCGTCTGGTCCGAAAGCCTTAGCAAATTCCCGGACGTCCGATCCGATGTTCGTACAGTTTACATTGGATTTCGGACGTCCGGTCCGACTGTCCGAAAATGAGAACGGACTTTCGGATTTTTGCTCGGATTGTGATGGAACACATTTTCGAAAGCCTTAGCAAATTCCCGGACGTCGGATCGGACGTCCGGGAATTTGCTAAGGCTTTCGTATCGGACGGACGGACAAAATTGGACAAATTTCTGTCCGTCTGTATCCGGTTGACACCTTTAGATATTGGTATAAATATTCCTCAGATGTGTCGTGATTGTAACATTGTGACGTAAACAATAAAAAAGTATAGTATTTTCTTAAACGTATAAATGTTTAATGTTTCCGAAAATAAGTCATGGGGATCTCCATAATATGCAGATTGGAGTCATCGCAAAAAATTATGTGGTTTGACTTGTTCTTATAGGAACATAATGAATAAATTTAAAGAATTGTCAAGAAAATTATACGGTCAGTGGCCCTCACATGACACATGGAGATGAGAAAAATTTTGTCTCTTTTAAATGCCAGTAAAACAACAAAATAGTTGCCCTGAAGTCTCCAAAATTGAAACAAATATAGAAAATTCTACAACAACGACGAGCAGAGACGTGAACAAAAAAGTACTACTTGCAAATATAAATGAGACTTACTTGAATAAAAAAAAACACCAACATGCGATACCACTTTAATTATATTTTGTAAAACACTTATGCACAATGAAACACTACACAAATGCACATCAAATCGTATGTCACTTTATTCAAATTTTGCCATGATTCTTCGATATTTTTTCTTCATTTGGTTAAACATTTGTTGTATCGTGAAAAGCCACACGACGAATAAGATTCGGATTGTGCACTTTGAATTTTCGCCCATAATGTTTATCATAGAAGTCATAGCTGTGAATCGCCATCAAATACAGTGTACAAAGACAGACAATAATGAACAAGATGAAAAATGCACATAAGCAATTCTTATCAACAAAAACCGGGCTCTGGCTAACTGTCGGTGCAGTTTCGTTTTGAAATGATGTTTGCTCATATGGGTTATAAAGCAGAACTTTGTTTGGGCACATTTTAACTTTTTTTTCTTCTTGGTGAATGCTAAAGTTACAATTGTATTATTAATAACCGAACAGAATGAAATTCAAATCACGAATGACCAAGTGAATAATGTTTCACTTGCTTTTATACTTAATGGAAGGCAGCATTTTTAATTTCAGAAATGGAAAATTATCCACATCTTCTGCATATTGAAATTTGGATAACACCGAGAAAGAAAAGATTTATTTAATCATGAAAAATAAAGCTGTACAAAGGATGCGAAACACTTACATTAATTCATGCCATTTGACCGAATTAAAAAGACAAACAGTAAGATGCACATAATACTACCAATTGGTTTCCTATGTGTTTTCTTTTTATCTTTTTTCCATTACATCATCCACATTTCCTTTTTTGTGGTTTGGACTGTGAATACGAGACATCTATAAGCAGCCCACGCGCAATTACGCGTTGCTAAAGTAAAATACCAAATGAAAAGAAAAATATCGTTTATTTTTCTGACAAAATTCGCGCTTGATTATGATGTTTATCCTCATGGTGACCAGTTTTTCGGTTACTCATACCAAATTGAAAAAATCGTCATCATGCTTTGTATCGAAAATAATGTAGGGTAGAAAAATGTCTGTAAATACGATGAAAACCGGTATCAGCAAATTTTGTGTTATTTAAGAAAATGTGAATCTGTTATTTCAGAGTCGAAAGAAGTTCGATGAAAATGGAGAATAAAGAAAACTAAAACCAACATTTCAAACTGTTACAAATTGTCACGATTTGCCTGCAAAAATAAAAACAGAAAGTATTCTCCAATGATTTGTGTGTTTTGAATATATTTAGCATGAAAACTGTCTATTTTGTTGTGGCAATAATGTTTATTAGATAATAACCTTGACGAATCTGAACACATTTAACTATTTCAAATATTGTTGAAATTTAAACGTAAAAACGAACTCAATAATTAATTTTATGTGTTAAACTTACATCTTAAAATCGTGTACATGCATTCGCTATAAATTTGACTCATATTCACAGACAAAATAAATTTCATTGCTTTACAGTCGGTGAAACATATAACAAAAAAATAGCTGAAGATCTAGAATTATACAATTTTATAAGAAAGAATGATTAATTATTTAAATTTCTGCGTAAATTATCGCTATTTAAACAGATGACAAACCACAGTATAAATTCTGTAAATTAATCTATCTTTACAGAGAACAAATCCAAATGAAGTTAACATACAACTGAGTTCATACTAAACGCTTTAAAACTTCCGAACATTTTGCTTAAAAAAATTGATAAAGAGTGAAAATAAAAATCAGTGGCAAGAGATGGTATTCATAAATTTATTTGTAGCTTACTTAGTTCTACTTCAACATGCGGATGGCTGTACGAATGGATTTAAAAATACAAATTTTACGCCCGGACGAAGTGTAATAGTTCACTTATTCGAATGGAAATGGAATGATATTGCGTTGGAATGCGAACGATTTTTGGGACCAAATGGATTCGCTGGCGTACAAGTATAACAATTTTTTTAATTTTCAATTGTTTGAATTTCAAAAACATTTATTTGTCTTCTTTTGTTCAGGTGTCTCCAGTTACGGAAAATATAATTGTTCCAAATAGACCATGGTATGAACGTTATCAGCCCATTTCCTATAAACTTATCACACGTTCAGGCAACGAAAAAGAATTCGCTGATATGGTGGGACGATGCAATGATGTTGGTGTTCGTATTTATGTTGATGTTGTTTTCAATCATATGACCGGTGCGCATAACGTTAATGTTGGCACTGGCGGGTCAACTGCTGAACCAGAGCACAGATATTATCCGGCAGTCGGTTTCAATGATAGCCATTTCAATAGACCGTGTGGTATCTCTAACTATAACGATCCAAATGAAGTAAGGAATTGTGAATTGGTCGGATTACGCGATTTAAATCAAGTGAATCCTTTCGTTCGAGATAAAATCGTCGAACTTCTGAACCATTTAATCGATTTGGGTGTGGCTGGATTTCGCGTGGATGCCGCAAAACATATGTGGCCAGATGCATTGAAAGACATTTACAATGGCTTGAAAACATTGAACACTGCGCATGGATTCGAAGAAGGTGCAAAACCATACATTGTACAAGAAGTTATTGATCTTGGTGGTGAAGGAATCTCACGTGATGACTACACCCCATTGGTAAATCAAAGGTTTAAAAATTGAATTTAGAGATAATTTAGTGAATTTTTTTTCTTGAATTTCAGGGTGCAATAACCGAATTTCGTTATTCCGCTGAAATTGGTCGTGTTTTTCGTGGTCACGATCAATTGCGTTGGTTAAGAAATTGGGGTACCGGCTGGGGATTCGTCGAAAGTTCGAATGCATTGGTTTTCGTTGACAATCATGACAATCAGCGTGGTCACGGTGCTGGCGGTGATAACATTCTTACGTATCGCGATCGAAGAAATTATTGTATGGCAAGTGCATTTGCTTTAGCACATCCCTATGGAAACGTTCGCATAATGAGTTCATTCGATTTTCCGAAGGGAGCCAACGATGTTGGTCCACCTCGTGACAAACAAGATAACATTCTGTCACCGATTATCAAAAAAGATGAGTTATGCGGAAATGGCTGGGTGTGTGAACATCGATGGCATTTAATGAAAAATATGGTTAGCTTTAGAATCGCCGCCGACGATGCACCAATTACTTCGTGGTATGATAATGGGAATAATCAAATAGCATTTAGCCGTGGCAGTCGCGCATTCATAGCATTCAATCGTGAAGACACCGATTTCAGTAGAGTTTTGAATACTAAATTACCGCCAGGTGTATACTGTGACATTATATCGGGTCAACGTGATGGTGAAAAGTGCACTGGTTCCAAAGTAACTGTCAATGTTTATGGTTATGGTCATATCTTTCTTCCAGCCAATTCAACGTATGGAGTTTTTGCTATTCATATTGGATCACTGTCTAAACTTAATGAACTAAATATTAAAAGCAAGCCAATCAAAAAACATTGATCATTTTTGGGAATCTTTTCCAAATATTCTTAATAAAAACAAATATATCATCTACTCATCTTTGCAATTTCAAACAAATATATCATCTTGGCAATAGTGTTGATGTATTCGAATAATCTTAAATAATATTTTGAATGAAAATAAAAAGGTATGCTTGATATATACTATTTTTAGTTGCCTTGAAAAATGCACAGCCATGAAATAAATCATTTTTTCTTAAATTTTCTTAAATCGTTATTTTGATATATGATTCATAGTATTTGTGATTAGAATAGCGTGTAGTCCTTCGGTTGTGAGCTCAATAAAAATGAAGAAGCCAATTCAACAAACTGCAAAAAGATATTACAAAATGGAACTTAAATTCTGTTTACTAATTAAAATTTGAAAAACAAAAAAAAAATTAAAAAAATATTAAGGATCAAAACTAAAAATAATTGCTTACTTTGCCCATAACTGTGATGAGAGCCGTAACAAGGAAAATGTATACAGGCGATTTAAAGAAATCGTTAACGATATTTGTACACTTCAGTATTCTGAAATTGCACGCAATTTGCATAACTGTCAACTTTTCCTCAATTTGATGCATTTCGCCAAAGGTGTAACTATTTTCAAAGTCTCCGCAGCAATTAAACTAAATAAATTGTTTACAATTAGTTTCATTGAAACGTTTCCATTTCAAGCCTTACCTTTGTCTCGATAAAATCATTAAATTGTTCGTTTTCACTTTCAATCATCTGGAGTGTTTCTTCCAGACGTTTGAAAAATATTTGATCATTTAGATAAATTATTGCTCCATATGAAAACACTAGTACGATCAATATTGTGCTTAAAATGGATAACTAAAACAAAAAATCCTGAATTAATACAAAGATCGAACTGCGATGATTATGAAGAAAAAGCAAACTTACAAACAGAGTTAACTGTAAATTATCTTTCGCCAGAACGAAAATGGTCAATAATGCAAACATAGAAAGTGTTCCACAAAAGACCACTGGAACAATTGCATTATGATACAATGTTTGAATCACAGTCACTACATCATAATAAGAATAGTTGGCATTATTTGGAAAAAAATCGTTAGACATTATAAAAAGAAATTACCCGTCAGAAAACCTCCTGCAATTTCTTTATGATAATAAATTAAATATAATAAGAGTCCACATACAGCCATTGAAGTCAACTAAAATAATGAAAAATCTAAAATTGGTGTGCTTGGTCTTGACGATGTGCAACTTACCAGAAAAAAAGTATTAAAAGCAAAAATATAGCATCTTGCAAAATTCACACAGCCACCACTCATTTTGCAACAGCCTTTAAAACATGAAATATTGCTCATTTCTCGCTAGTTAACATTAATTTCAATATAATTACCATCACTTTTAACTGAATAATTGTCTCCCATTGTTACACAGGTTTTCTTCCGGTTTTATTTCAATAATTTTGCTAAATTGTGTGTTTGAAAATTTAACTTAAAAAAATCGTGCAAATATATTTTGAATGATCTTCTCGCCGAGCTTCACAATAAAATGTTCTATGCAAACAATGTCCAGAAACAAACTGACAACAGGCAAAAAATGAAAACGTATCAATCACGCAAGCATACAGAACTTAACATTTGATCGAACTAAATAGAAACTACGAGAGCACACAAAGCTGATTCAATATCAAATAAGCGACAATTGATAGACAGAATTATGTGGTCAAAATATCATCTTTTCATTACAATTCATTAAAATAAATTAAAACGGTGAACTTTGAGACCTCGATACATTCAAAATGGAAATTGCTAACCGCAAAAAAAACTATAGAATTAATAAATAAACAAACATATACACATATCGATATGATTCTAGAATTTACAATTGATTATCAAAATTGCACTTTTCAGTGAAATCTCACAGATTTTCGATATCACGTATGTGTGTGATTCAAGTTTGTTTCGCTCAATATAAGAATATACTTATTTGGCATCACTTTTCTTTTCAATCGATAATGATTCATTCTCCTCATCTAAACTCATATTAATATTTGGACAGGTCAAGGAATGAACGGTTTGTGCCCTTACGACTGCCAGTACTCTGAATCTCCATACCTTTATGAGTTACTCTAAAAAATAAAAATATTATTCAACATTCAAAAGAAGACATTTGTTTACTAGGTTTAATTCGACAGCGTTTTGGAAATAATCAACATTTATTCGGTAATTACTAATTGGCACTTAATGCCATTCTTACGATTTATAAATCATGTTGAATTTTTTTTCCAAACAGGAAACAAATAATGCAATAGTAATAATTCATTTCGATTTTGTTTGAAAATTTATTTTGATCGAGTTTTTTTTTAATTGAAAATAGCCACAGGGAGCTGATTTTTTAAACAAGTAAAAAATACACCTGAAACATATAAAAATATTTTTGGAAGATTTTATGATATTGAAAATCGTTTTCTATTAAAGTGATAAATTTGCAATGGCTTGGTTCAATGATGCAAAATATTCGTCTTCACCGAGCTGATTTTGAGCATCATTCTTGAGCTGTCGTTCTTTCCGTTTTTCTTCCAGATCCTTCTGAATGTCATAAATTTTTTTGGCCACCACATAGTAGTATTCAGCTCTTGTTTTGGCAACGTTGTACATTTTCTGCTCAATATTTGTTGCAAATTCGACCACCTTTCCATGGAATTCATCATTTATCGTCAGACCTGTTGACCCAAGCATGCCATCTATCAAAATTTGAACCATTTTTTCTCGAAACTGTGGTGTAACTGAAGTTTGCCAACACTTTTCATCGTTCATGGTTATGGTTTATGTTGTATGTCTGATTTCAACAACAAACACTATCGCAGAAAAATGTTTGAAGCTGTAGTTAAACGGAATGTTGACCGTTAAACGTTCTTTGCGGTTTAGTTGAAAATCAATAATTTTTTCAAGTCATATGATAAACCAAAGAGAAACTTTATAGAGAAAAAAAGTCTAGTAACTCTATGGAGAATACTTTGTCAAATGTCATGCTTCATATTTTCATTATTATTTTGGATTTTTGTTGCAGTACATACAATTACATAAACATTACATCCAACAAATTGTGACAGATTCAGATGTCTCTGTCATTCAGTCTTAATATGGCAACACTGACTAATGCACTTTTAATACAACAAAGCCCACATTAAGAGAGAAATTACCTTGCAAAGAAACAAACGAGATCAAAAAATGATATGAATGTTGGGTATGGACAATTTTTTTATTATAAAACATATTTATATAGATTTCTACAATTTCAACTAAAATTATATAAAGAAACTAAACAAAAAAAAATGACTAATCAATTCGATGAATCATGTGCCAATTCTTGATTTAATTGCAATAATGTGTCAATCCTTGATTTAATTTCGCCAATTTTTTTGCCCAGTAAATTGTAATATTCAGCTCTTGAAATGGCCATTTCGTATGCCACAACTTCACAACGTGCGGCAAGCATGAGTAATCGTTGTTCGGATTCGTCTAACAAAGAGGAACGTTCACCGGTTGGAATAACTTCTTCGACAAATGTAGATATGATTGTTTTTCGTAAATCAGATGAGAACGATTGATGCCATGGCTTTGTATTTGGATGACCAATTAGGTATAAATTACGTCGCCGTTCTTCTTTGTATTGTGTGAAATTTGCTTTCAATTCCGTTTTTGTTTTGCCCAAATACATGTTCATTGAGTGAAAATAATTTTCACGTGATGTTGCTATTACGAATGATTGGCATTCAACCCACTTCGACAGTTCATAAAGTTCGGAAAAATCGTGTTGTATGGCAGAATCGTCACTGCTTGTTGTCATTTTTCGTAGCAGCGTTGTAAAGACACGTTCAAGTATATTTTCACGTAAATCTCTCGAAATCTGATTATGCCAATCACGGGGGTCTGTCCAATATAACGTCTGAAGAGAATCTACATATGATATTTCAGGCATATTTTTTTAACTTTCACTTTGTATTGCTATAGATCGGGAAATGTTTCGCAAAAAATGCGTTTAACAAATTAATTTCAAGCAAAAAATCACGGTCAGCAAATTAACTAAATCACTTTATTTGCTGCAAGCTATTTGGTGCAGCAAAAGCCCTACTTTCACATGCATTTAAACTTTTACACCTCAAAAAATGCATTTGCACGACAAAATATGTGTATCGTTGTATAATTATAAAATGTAGAATAAACATAAACAAAAGCAATTGTCGGCTTGTTCGTCGATAATCATGACACATGACACATGCGAAGTTCAAGTGAAGTGAGGGCGCTAGCAAACACGAAGAAGTTTTTTCAGAAATCGGCAACACTTTAAGAAAAACGAAACCCAAATGTAAGGAAATTTAAATAGAAACACTTTTGTAATACATTTTTGATATCTTTATTTTTCAAAGTAATCCCTGTATGTTGTATGTTTTTGAAGAAAAAAAAATGTTTACTAAAAAAACTATTCACAAAAAGTAGAATTTCGTTTAGTGAAGCCTTTTGAAGCCTCTTATCTAAATGCTGTTGTTGAATTCTCAATGATATAATTAATCTAATTTGTTTTGTATTGTTGGGAAAATATTTAAAAAAAACTCAATATTTCTATTACCCAGAGAGGTATAAAAGGTGAAAAAAAAGTTTTTGATTTAGGTTATGAATCAATCTGTTGTATTTGCCGACATGAAATTCCGTTAGTCTGTCCATATTGTCAAGTAGCAGCCGCGCATCATGCAGTAGCGTTTGGTTCTCCTTCAATTTCTAAATCTTTAAATAAATTTTGTAGTTCCCTTATGAATTCGTATTTTTCATTTTCCAAATATTGAAAGTATGAGTCACGAGATTCAGACCTTCTGAATGCAAGTTTTTCATGTGCGACTACACCAATTCTCAGTCCCTGTATGTATCCATGCATGTGTTGAAGCGGAACTTTAACTTCGAAAAGTATTTCTTGAATGAGTGTATCCACTATAACTTCACGAAGTTTTACTGAATAAAATGCACGCCATCCACGTTTAGATTCTGGTATAGGTTCCATCACTTGTAGACTGCGTTTTTCGAATTCACTTTTGATGTCTGCAATCTTTTCCATTATCATACTGCAATAATCATTTTTTGAATCGGTCGCATCGTATACTTCTTCTTCGATGGCTCTTGTATGTTCTTCAAGATTATATTTAAGCGTGTCGCATAGTTGCGATGGAAGCACTTGCCCCATTAAAGCCTTCTTGATTTTACGAACTGCTCGATCTCTAGTGGCGCACTCGTCATTATCACAGCATCGCTCAGCATGGCTTGAATTTTCGAAGTTCATCGACATTTTTTGAAATCTTTTGCTGTCTTTTTCTTTAAAATAAAAACGATTTACTACGTCACAAAACTCACAAACTTCGTTCAAATTTAATAAAAAAAACTTGATATTCAGAATTTAAATATACAAAAAAAAATACACCCGCAAATGCGAATAGTCAGAAAGCAAGTGTTTCATTTTCTAAAAAAGGCAATATCCAACAAGAAAAAAGTACAGAAGAAAAGAACAGTAGTAGTAGAATTGTTTAAATGTATTGGTATGTTGCAAATTTACATTTGGTCCATCGCGCCAAAATAAGTGTCAACTGCGCTATTGTAGTGATTGATTCTATGAAAATACCAATAGAGATTTTAACAATGGTAAATTTGCAATTTACCAATACATCTAAATAATTCTTCTACTACTCTTTTGTTCGTAATTGCAAAAACTAATTAGAATCTATCTCCGTGTCACAAAGATGAATGATAACATTGTTTTTCAGTACAAGATTGTTTTTTTTATTTCATTTAATATTTTTTTATAGAATGAATATAAATGTTAATGAGGGTACATTTACTATAATTCGGAAGTTTTTCTATAAATGCCAAATTTACTTGACGAAATTTAAGAAAAAAATATGAATTACAATTACAGCACGTCTTTTTTAATCCTCAACAACTTTGATGACTACAAAAATAACCAAAATCCAATCTAATCCAAAATGACTCGAAACTCATAAACATTCGTTGGTTTTTTCAAACTAACACTCCATGTAGTAGATCATTATTTTGATCATAGATGGCACTTCACTTTGAGTATTATTTTGAGTGTGAGTTATATTTTCAAATGTAAACAAATATGATTGCAAATCACCGTTGTACAAAACAGGCACGCGAAATGCTTTGAGTTTCATGGTAATTTCTATTTGTAAAAAGTAAGTTGATGTGAGAAAGGATTATTTTAAAAGAGGTCAAAATGTGTAATTTGTTTAAATTTCAAAATCGATGAGCATATATTGCTTCCGACTAATCCTCTTTCCCCGGTCATAAATGCTGACCTTGTCACCTCTTGTAACATTGCACTTTTAAGTCATCCAAAGAAAACCATTGAACAAGGATTCGTTTGGGTAAAGTACACATACCGAAGAAGCATCGTTGAATTCCAAAGTGCAGAGAAATAATCAAATCCAAATGTGTCTCTTCACATTTTTGTGCGCATAATTTCACGATTTTTTTTGCATATAACTTCAATTTGGCGTACGATATTGGTAATTATATTACATGTCGCATATACTCATTTCTAGTGCATATGAAATAATGAATTTGCGTTCCGAACCGTGTTGTGTGTATGCGCGCCTGTGTATATTAGAGAACATGTGTGCCGCTACATTTGTTCCTTGCTGTGCAATAAGATAGAGACGAATGAGTGTGTATGTTGATCGCATAATAAATAGTGTGTCTGTCTGGTTGTAATTCGACGCTGTGCGCGACTCGCATGTGCTTTGCGATGTTCAGTCTTAGCAAAGCCGTGCTCGAAAGAGCAGTGCACATCAACAACTGGCTGCCGCCGAATAGATTCGTGAATTTCGTCTGATACACACATAACACTTTAGTGTTATTACTTACGAAAGATTTTTTTTCGACATTCAAATATCAATTTTAAATCGATTTGAGTTTAAACAGAGACTGTGTATGATATCATCAATTTTGATTTGCCTCATATTTTTATCGATTTTAATAAATTTTTGGTAAATTCGTTGTTTTTGAATTCTTTTCGCTGCCGTTACGAAAATATTTGTTTAGCTGGAAAGTGTGAAAAAAGGCGAGAACCCACACAAATTTTCGCTTTGTTATACGTTTTTTTTGGCAATGTTCTATTTATGATTTGCGTGTACAAATGCGAATATTGTTTTCCATTCTTTTCTTTTTTTGTAACGGGAATATTCAGTTCAAAGTTGATGCAAATTAATGAGTGCGCTTAAAATGGATTGTCAACTAAATTCATGGCCGCGAGTAAAATTGTTCAATTTCTGAAGAGAAAATACGTGTGAAAATGTGTGGTGTTCCGTTCGCTATAAACATCGAACTTTTATTTTTAGATGTGATGAACACAATTTAATTATGTAATTTTTGCTAGTGTGAGCGAAGAGAAAAACAAAAAAATTTCGTGTATTTGTGATATTTCGTCAATCAAAAGAAAAGAAGAAAGAAAGACAGAATAAAGACAGTGTGAATAATAAATTTGCATCTTTTGCGTATCGTAAAAATGTGTTATTTTTTGTTGATAAATTTGATAATGTGCGACTTGTTGTGATCGCATATCGTTTTCTGCGCAAAATGATGCTTGATAAATTTCAGCTCTGTTCTTCTTTATAACCGGTGCGCGAGCGCAGTGTGAAATGATTGCCATTCTGACTGTGATAAAGGTGCTGCAATATTAATTAGCCGGATGGCAAATTAATTTCGTTCACTCGCGCTCAACCAACAGATCACATTTCAAGCGCAAACTTGCCATACACGACACAATCGACAACAACAACAACATTTTATTTGCACATTCAACTGCGTTTTATTCACTTGTTTATTACATGTTCTATGCTAAATATACTGCGGTTATTGCATCAAACAGAATAAATAATCGGCCGATTATTCATAGCCGTTTGACTCTGTGATTTTTTGCTTTTTTCGCTACTTATTCATTCTCACATTCAATATTGCCTCAAGAAATTGACTAAATGAATGGGTATCCGCCGTGTGTTTACCTCCATTAATCAAGAGCTGTGCTCGGTTTTATCTTGTAATTTTGTTCGTTCGAATTTCAATTCCAAGTGGGACGTTTCAAGAGATTGTCGTGGGTGCGTTTCATAGCTATTTTCACTCCAATGTTGTTGTTGTCGTGTTTCTCAGTTTGGAACTATATGTGAGTGATTCAAATGTTATTGAAGTATTGAGCTGAAAACCCGCATTCATTTTGTGGTCATTAGAAAACGATATTTTTTTTAAAAGACGATACATTTCAAATTCCGAATGGCCAAATATCGTTCGACCAACTGGTGAAATCAACGAATCATAACTAAAATCAATTCATACAATTTCAGATCAACCAACGAATGAATGGATAACAAATATGCGTTGAATCGCAAAGTAGTTCTATTTGATTTTGAGCAATCAAAAATTGTGCAGTTCATGCGAATGACAAGCCGATTAGCTCTACAGTAGCTGGCGCCTGTGAGTGAATGAATTTTGATGCAACAGTGAAGTTAATTTTGTTCGAAACATTCATAATCGCAATTATAAAAACAGCAAAGCGATAAGAAAATATACAATTACGAAAATGCATCATTTTATTAGAACTGATTGTGCACTGTTGCACGCAGTGTGGATTGTTGGTATTATAATCGTTAGTGTTATTGTGCCATCGACAAATACATTTAATTTGGATACCTTCAATTACATTCTATACAATGGTGAATCCGATACGATGTTCGGATTCAGTGTGGCTTTACACAGAGAGGCGCAAAGAAGTTGGTAAGTAAAAACACTGAACTTTGTTCGAAAATAATAATATAACGAAATCCTTGTGCAAACTCATCAAGAAAAAAAAAATCATTGATATCAATGCGATTAAGCTATCAAAAACAAATTTGACAAAAATGACAAGCCCAAAAGAGAGAAGTGACTTAACGATAAGAGGACACAAAAAAAATAATTCCAGTGTTAGCACTCCTCCTTTTTGAACAAACAACAAAAATATGGAAAAAATGTACACGTGCGCTGCTTCTGTGCCTTTTTTTCTCTGCCTGCTCATTGATGATTGAATCTCAGTTTTCTGTTCTGCTTGGTTCCGGTCTTTAACACAAAACATATGCATATAAACATTCACTTTCGGACCGGGGAAATTCCTTCTTCATTTTTCCAGCGACAACGTCATAAAATGCATTTTTGGCAATTTTAGCGTTGCACATGGTTGGAGAAGCGCCTGTTTCCTTCTCTATCTCTTTTACTCTCTCAAATTTCCTCATTTATCTTCTGAATGTCTGTTTTCCGTTTTCATGTTACTCTTCGTTCAGACCCTTTGGCAATATACGCTCAGTCTTTACATATGTTTTGTTGTGCATTGCACACTTTCCGCACACTCTCATTCAATATTCATATATTTCGTTTGTGCCATCTATTTCTCCGTACAAAGTCGCATTCGACTTGTGGTAGGTCAATCAAAGTGCAGAAGCCGAAGAGTGTATTCAAAAAAAGATAACAGATTTATGTTCCGACAAACGACTTACGAGGAAAAAAACATTTAGCCGAAATGTTGTACTTCGCTGTATATGGGTTCATCTACAATTTGCTGCTACGGCATTTTGTGAATGAGGTTTCGAAAAAATATGTCAATGTCTTGAGATTTGTAATCGGTTGACGACATTTTTTTTTCACGATGACACAAAAAAATTGCGAAAAACTCACCAAAATCATCCGAATTTAGCGTAAAAATGATTGAACGATATGTTTAAGCGTATTTCAAAGTGAACAGTATGCATTTGCATTAGAATCATTCATTGCATTTTCCTATAAATAGAAAAATATGCACCATGTGTTTGCAATTTAAGTCAAAGATTTTATGTTGATCCGCACACTGATTTCCATATATTACAAACACACATATACCATTCGTTTACATTTGCTTGACTTGTTGTTATTTTCTCTCTCTTTTTCTGTTGTCGTTCCGTTTTTTTTTGCATTGGACATAATATTTGTTCCCACACAAAAACAACAACAATGCCAGCGAAATTGTTTTACGACACATTCACATTAGCTGTCCCAATACAATCATAAAAACATATTGCCGTTTTGATCGGTTGTCGTATTCGTTACTGCTGCCGTCGTCGCCGCCGACATCTGTTCGCGACTGACACCGAAAAAAGAATTCAAACTCAATTCAGAAAAAAAAAACATTAATAATAAACCGCGCAAATTGATTCGATGTGTTTGCTGAATACAAACATACGTGTATCGATGACATGCGTACGCGCAAGCGTGTATAAGGCCAGCTAGTGATCGTACAGAAGTAAGAATATAAAAAAAGAAATACGCGATCTTAAGGTTTCTGTGTGTAACACTCTGGTTTGGTTTGTTTTCGTTTCATTAAAATGCGATATTGGTTATTTGTTCGAGAGAAGAAGAAGAAAACACGATAGAAGAAATACGTCAGCTTGCTCGGCTGCCTACACACATCAAACGATCTCGCTCGCTCTCTTTACTCTGAAATGTCTTAATGAAACGAGACGAGCGCCCAGTTCTTGTATCAAAGAAATAGAAAAGTTCTTGATTGAGAAATTTAATTTTTTTTTTGTGATACATTTGATGTTCCATTTATCGTGATATCATTTGCATCTGTGACTGCATTTGTGGACCAAATTGCTATAAGTTTGCTTGTTGTTTGAACGGTCGATTTGATGTGCATATAATGTGACATTTTCGGATATTCGATCGTTTTCATTGTGGTTTAACAGCGGCGGGCGCCTTCTCTCCTCTCTCTCTTTTTCTCGCTCTCCGTTTTTATTTCACATGTTCCAATAATACTCAATAAAATTTATTCGATGATGATTCGTTTGTCTATTTGGCTGTCATTTGGTTGCAGTTTTAAATGCCATGTACCCGTTTAATGTATTAATTATGTAAATTTGTGCATTTCAGCTTTGAATGAAACCCCATTGTATATGCACACAAGTCTATCTTCATAATAGCCACAATCGCATATTTATATCTATTACGAATTGGTTTGTTTTTTTTTTTATTCGAGAGACTGAGACAAACACACACATCGACTAAAACCGAAATGAACAAAGTTCGATTTACCATATGCATGAATGTATCAATTTTCTTGGTATTTAGGCCCGGCATAAAATGCACACTGCTGTTGCATGCATATGGTTTAATCGCACATAGAAAATGTTCAGTTTTTTTTTTGTCTTCAATAAACACGCTACCATCTGTTGAACTGTGCAAAATATTCGATGTGGTAATGGTGTGAGTGTGTGAGTGTTTTAAGCATGTTGGTGTTGTGTCCGGACCGAATTCCATGTGTGGAGGTGTAAAATAGTCATTTTCGATACAAGAAGCTACACAAAATATTATTTTGACGTGTGATGATGATCGCATCGCACTAACGAAAATTGACCATATGATTGGATTTTGACGAGTGTGAATCATTTGTTGCGGTCGATATGTTAAAGTGTGAAAAATGAGCCAGCAACATCAAAAAATCAATTTGGTTTATCGAAATGCTTTGCGTTCTATTTAGGTTTCCATATGGGATCCATAAAACTCAGACGCACAAAACTCGTATCTCATTTTCTAAAGTTATTATTATCCAACTTGGTTGAAAGCGCAAAATTGTAAGCCGAGAACGAAATTATCATATATTTTTTTCGCTCTGACATCGTTGAACGCTTGAAAACGTCGATGACCTACATAATTTTCCTTTCGTTCATCGGTTGATTTAGTTTTGCGCGCACGCGGGTCGCTTGGCTTAGTTTTATACGTTTCTCAGTGATTTCATCGGCGCGATGTCAGTTCCATCGGCATGCACGCGTTCACATTTACACACATATACGTTTCTTCTCTTGTTTTTAAGATCCAGTCACAAAAAAAAATGAAAAACAGGCAAATTATTGTGCAATGCGAAAAACGACAGAAATCAAACTTGAATTTTATAAATCCGAGAGAGAGCATTGCGCGCCTGTGGATGCCAAATCAATGATTTTATTATTAGCATAAAACGAGCTAGTATGCTCGCCGACTACATGTTTTGCCTACACATTCATTCATGAAAATTATAAAATGTCGTATTTAAATCAGACGCGATGGAGTATGTCGACAAGAAATGAAGAAAGAAAAAAACCAACGGCATATGTGGTTTTGATGTGTGTACACATAAATTGACTCAAAGTGTGTGAGTGCACACGGTATCTGCCGATCTGATTGAAATGACAATTTTCCATTTAGCAATTTATCGTTGGTGTTTTGTGTTCGCGCCGAAATGTGATGCAAAAACTGAAATGGAAAGTAATTACGGAAATGTGGTTTGCATTCATTTTTCACCATATTTGGAATTGATGTTTAAATAATTTATGCTCAAACACAATCGTTGCCCTTTCACTCAAATTCGAGCGGTTCGCAACGGTTTGCTAATTGAGTTGTTAACGCATAAATCTTTTTCTCGATTGTTTTTCGATTAGTTAAGACGGTTTCGAGAAATTCATTAGAACAACGGCCACGACGGCGGCGGTGTGAGTTCATTTCAAAATCAATCGAAGCCAAACTTTTGTTTTTTTCACATATAAATTGACGCCTAATGGATATGAATTAGGGATCGGAACAATAACAATTCTATTGATAGATATATTTCAGAAAATCGACTCAAGAAAAAAGGTGCGTCTTATGCTATCAGTTTGATTGCTGTGAACACGCGCATTCAAATGGCTACATTTTTTTTGTTCGATGTACACAATGTCGAATTCAAGCTCAATCAAATTAAGTTGATGGAGAAGCGCGTGATTTGACAATGATTTGATCAATGCTATTAAGGCCATTACAGCAGCATTTTCTATTTCTTTACGCTTTGATTCGCCCAGAAATGTGAATCATTTCTTCTGTTTACAGAAAATTCCACAAACTTTATCACGACCAAAACCATTTTCAATCTAATACCATGTGTATTGGAATTTTGGTGAAAAGGAAAATGTAAACTATACAAATTGACTGCAATCTTCTGGCCACACACACGGTACCGTGCTCCGAACGGTGAAAAGTCAAACTGCCATCAATTTGTATTGGGTTCGTTTGTTTGTTTCTCTTTCCTTTTGCTGCGTCATTTATTTGATTTGGGCATCTATTAGACACTGCAACACATTGGTGTGCATCGATGGTATGTCATAACATTGATTTCTATCAATCAAAATATGTATCGGTTTTCCGTCCATAAACAAATAAGTTCCAGATTTAAATCGGCTTTAAAATGTGAGAAAAAGAACAACGACAACAAAATACAGTCGTGGATACATGGAACATTTTAAATCCCCGTTGACCTCAATTACACATAAGAACGATGCTGAGTTGCAAATTGCCAATTGTTTCATTTGATGCATGAAATTTGCTTCAGCCACGATCGTTCGTTAGCATTTGTCAAACACATTTATCGAATCCGCAGTGTAAAAATCCATAAACAATAACCATATGCTGTATGCGCACCGCACACAATAATACAAATACATTTAAACATAATTCCAATTGCCAAGTATGGTATAATATGCGCACAGAGACTTAAAGAGAAACGGATAGAAGAAACATTCGAAATGGTGGTTTTGTTCATTGAAAATGCCTTCATTTTTTTGTGTCATTGAATCGGTGTACCATATAAGGTGTTACGATTACGTGAACCAACTTGAAAATATTTAAAATGCAAGTATGTGGGCTAAGAAAGAAAAAAAACACCACTAAGATGAGATTGAGAGAAAACGGCATGGAAGAATAATCCGTTAAATTGGTTTTCGCTTATCGTTCGATTGTTATGCGATCAAAGTGCATCAAATGGTTTGGGAAAAGACCGTCATTTTACACTTACTCTATTCTTTCATTCCACTGTCTATGAGAATATTTAACAATGAATAAATCTAGATCAGATACATAAAAAACGAAATTAATCTGCGTGTGTAACGAAATCGATGGAATATTTTTCCTTTCGCTCTGTTCGCATGTTGATGTATTCGGTATTTATCATCTGGGTGTGCTAATGTTCCGCCGACACATTCCATAATCAGGTGCGAAGGAAATAATAAGTGAAGAATTACACGACAAATTAAATTGAATCGTAATTCAAAAAAGGCGAAGGTATCAAATGAAGACCCATTAAAATGGTCATTAATTTCCGCATATAATTTTTTTTATTTCCCATCAACGGACAGTGGTCTTTGTGCCATGCAAATCTTCTTTCATCATCGATATTTTTGTATACACCGTGCATTCGGACAAATGCAATTCCGATGATGAGTAATTTCAATAAAACTGAACAAGAAACACTGAGAAATCATAAAAAGAACTATACGAATATAGACTTTATCTGGGTGTAAATTCACCATATGCTTTATAGATGCGCTCGTGCCACACCAGGTTTTATATTCATACATTTGATGACGACGACAAATGTGCCGCCTTGCCGTTTCTCCACTTTTGTCTCCATCTCATTCGGATTACATCATTGTGGCATTCAAAAAAGTTGTAATAGCATTGGAAGAATGAGAAAGAGACGGTTTGTTCGTCGTTCATTTTAATATGTAAATGTGATTTTGTACCAAAAATAATATGATTAAGTTATGGTTTGCGCTCGGTTAGTTTTTCATGAGCCTTTAAAGCCGCCGTGAACACATTTCATTTCGATTCGATTGTTTATTGTCGTCATTTGACACTCCAAAATTGGCAGTTTGGTGTGTCTTAATCAAAATTTATTTCGTTTAAATTGGTTGCAGATGACCCCGAGTGCACAAAACTGCTATTGTCATCACTTAAAAAACGGTTTCTTTCAATGCACTCCGCACCTGATGTCATTTTGCTGCTTATTCAAAACAACCGACAACGCCGCCCAAATGAGTCAAACGCCAATTTTAATTTTAAACCCGACGAAGAATAAAGAAAACATTCACAGTTCTATTTTTGTTGACGGGATTTAAAAAAAAAAAACGTCAGAAATTCGTCACTCTTGTTTGACACGACATTATTTAACATTTCAAAAATATCGCGTTTGGACACTTTACGCCATGCGCCGACTGACTTTTTTAATTATGAAAATTTCAAATCTCAAAAATAACGATCCACACAAATATTATTCAAAAATGAAGGAAGAAAAAAGAAATAGTCGATAAAGACGACCCAAATGACACTATTTTGGAATAAATCACCATTTTTTTCAAATGCTTATGAGAATACGCGAAGTGATTAGGAGATAAGCAATTGAGATGATAGACAAAACTGATTGGTAGTAAAAACTTGTGAACTAGAAGTTTTTTTTAATAAGAAAAAGGGTTAAATACATGTTAAACAGATGATTAGACAAATGCGTTTTACATGACAAATGACTTTTGTGTTCTCGAAATGAGCAATTTCAACAAAAAAAGAAGCGTCGAATAATCTAAAGTGGCGACAAACTAAAAATCGGGAGCTTCATTTTTCGTTGAAACCGAAATTATTGTTGACATCCATTGCTATAAATTAGACCATTTTTTTCTTTGCTTTATTTTATTGACCAAACCGTCTTTGCTTTGTTCAGTTGTTATTTCATGCTCGTCTATTGTTGAAAGTCCCAAAAGGTGTTTCTTGTAAAACACATTGTTTGTCAAGATGAAATGTACCTGTGTGTACTCAATATACGGTAGTTATGAGGCGCTTCGTTGAATGTTTACATAAATTATTGAGTGAGTAATACTCCGACTTTTCTTCGATTCGAAAACAGAAATAGAAACACAGCGGCGACGATGTATTTATTTATTTTTCTTTCTCTTCCTCGAAATAATAGTATGTGTTGTTTTGTCTCGATGGGCCAAACGTTTTCGTCTTTTTTTTTCGTGTACGTATACGACTCACGATATTTGCATCGTTTGAATGAGTAATTGACGGTTTTTATTCGCAAAACAACGAGAAAAAAAGTGTCGGAACACAACATATGATGGTGCAATATTATGTTTTTGCTTAAAGTAGGCCACATAAGAAGCGCTTTTATATTTTCAAAAGTAAAAAGTGTATTTGCTCAAACAAGAAAACGTTCAAACATTGCGCTCATTTGTTATGTTTATACTAAACACTTTTTTGTTCGTACCATTTTTGTGCGCAAGAAAATTGGCAGGAAGTTTTTTTCGAATTGTAAAATACACCTATGCGGTGTGTAAAACATATAAAAAGAGGTTGAACGTAAAAAGTGATTTACTGGTGGAGAAACGTACTCATTATTATTAAAGATCATGTGCGAGTACGCGTACGGGAAAAATTGTATGGCAAAAAAGATCCAATAATTTGCGGATAATAATAATAATTGATCAATCTTCGGTTATTTTGATTAATTTTTGGGATAACAGTACACACCTTAAAGTTAAATGCCGTTTTTGCTCATTCGTTTTTTTGCCTTTTACTCTCTTTATCCATATGTAATATTGTATTTGTTTACCGACATACATTCTAATATATTGCCGGCAAATACTTTATCATTTCACCATAATTGATTTTGACCACTGCACAGATATTCATGAACTTGTTGATTTTTTTTTTTTTTTTTTGAAATCATAAAAAGACTTTCAATTTCAACTAAATTGTGATTTTTTTTCGAATTTCCAGGGTAATTGTTGGTGCACCGAGAGCAAATCTATCACGAATTCAGAGCGGAGTGTCACGAGGTGGTGCTGTGTATCGCTGTGATATTTATGCTGATGATCGATGCCATCTTATACCATTTGATTCGGCTGGTGAGTATTTTGGATATGAATTCCTCAACTAAATAATCCACTAATGAACAATTAATGAAAAAAATGATATAATCTCTTCGTGCTTTTGTTCGACTTATTCTAACAAAAATTGCATTTAATGCCAATTTCTATTCCTTGCTTAACTCATTGCCAGTTTATCCATAATCATCTATAAATATAAGACCATCTTTAAAAAAATCGTTCGTTTTCACGACTCTTCAAGTATAAATGTCGTGGGTGTCATCTTCACCTATATCATATAATTTTAAAATCGGTTTTTATAAGTGAAAGCACGTTCGATCGATTTACATTGATGATTTTCATAGAAAAATCTCCATGTAATTGTTCTCATGCATCTTTTCTATTGAACGAAACAATAAACACGATTTGAATGCATAAAATGTAAACAATGGTCCTTCCTGTAAGCATATATGGTACCAGTCATTGTGCAGTAAAAGTACGTGTAATTAATGAAATTAAATTAATGGGCCTTTCAACAAAGTGCATGACAAAAATGTTGAAGAAGTACAGATTTGAGCGCCAACGAAGGGAATTACAGTTGAATTCAATGAAAGTATGTACATTTCCGGATATTGCAGCCTGTGTGTCATAAGGTTATCGAAACATGATGATATGTCATATACTTGAATCAAACATCCAACACAAATATTATTTATGATTGATAGTAAAATGTTATTTCTTTTATTTATTGACTGTTGAGCGAATGTGTTATTATGTGATCAAATGCAATGGTCGTGTCAGCCGCAAGCGTTAATTTAAAATTTAGAATCCAACGATAGACGATGATTGCATACACTTGATTGGCGATAGTGTCAATGAATGAAATCATAAAAGATGCTCCATTCATCATATCTACATTTGTTCGAGCTACAAATACGGATTAACAGTATAGCCAACATTTCGAAATTTATTTGAATTCAGCTCTATAACATCAGTGGTGATATGACCACAATTCCGTCGTTTTTAATGTTAAGAAGATTTCAATTCTTTCTTTTCCCTTAGATACAATTTACATAAAACGCAAAAATTGCTTAATTAATCTGCGCCATTCGGAAGCGTCAAAAGTGATAGCAAGTTTTTGTATGATTTGATAAACAAAAATTTCCTTTATGAACTTTGTTATAAAGTGATAAAAAGAGACTTTAATTCATTCTTTCGCCCTTTAGATACAATTTTCATAAAACGCAAAAATTGCTTAATTTATTTTCGCTATTCGAAAGCGTCAAAAGTGATAGCAAGTTTTCGTACGATTTGATAAACAAACCATAAATTGTGATAAAGTAATAAAAAGAGATTTTAATTGCGCAAATGGTATGCAATTTTGAAATGAGTGACCGTATAATGCCAATCACCAGCATACAAATTACCCGTTTGAAATCTCAAATACAAAAAAAAAAAACACATACAAACGGAAAAATGTTCTTTAATCCAAACGAAATGCCGATAGATTCATCATGTAGATTTACGTAAGCAAAAGTAAGAAATGAATGTGTCTGTGATGAGATATGTTTTATTGTAAAAATCACCTCGATTGGATTTACAGACAGAAAGAGAGAGAGAGAGAATCAAACGGAACAAAAGAGAGCGAATACGTACAATGCGCTCTGTTCAGAATCGCATAATAGTTCACCTTGAGCTCTGTGCGCATACAAGTGAAACGGACTGGTTTCGTCTATTTCTAATTTGGTGATAAAACTGATATCGAGATAGAGTTTACCGAAAGGAACTTGCATAAAATGGAAATAAACGGAACAAACGACTTCGATACATATGTAGCTGGTTGGGCTGATTGAGCGCACAACATACCATAAACTTGTAACTGGTTTTGTTTACCTTTTTGATTTTGGTTAGATGCTTGTTTCTTTTTTCTTCTTGCAATAAAATCGAACACCAATTGCTCGTATAATGTTGTTCTAATAAACACGGCATACAAACGATTCAACTTACTGTTTACGAGCTCAGATTTTCTTTTCTTCTGCTTCATGCAATGCTTGCAATAAGCGTGCATGCAGTTAACATTTTTATTTAACGCTCAAACCACAACATAAACCACAACATGAAATTGATCATCGTACATTTAATAATTCTACGACTTTATCGCGTCAACATTTCTATATAGTTTATAATGAAAAAATGCGTTCATTTCTCGCTTCTCTTTGCTCAATCACCAGTTGTGCCAATTAACAATGATTTGTTCAAAAGTTAAGAGATTTGTTCCATTCAAAAAAAGGTATGCCATCATTCAGATCGTGGGTGACACTTCTTACACCACAAAAAAAGAGAAGTAGTGAATAGGCGAACCTGTTTTGTTTCGAATTCTTACACCATTTTTCGACAGTTTTTTTTGTTTTTGTTCGCGGTCGGTTCCCTGTTGACAAATCTAACATCATAAATTTGGCTCGTGTCAATTGCGGATATAAAAGGCATTGCGTTGATTTCAATAAACAAACTGAATAAACCGAGAATTTATGTTCGATCGATAGAGAAGAGGCTGCCGGTTAAAATTGAATCACAATACTTTTGCTGGGGCGTTAACACAATTCCAGTGAATTCTTTGCACAAGAATGTAAGCATTTAACTACAATAAAACGCAGACGTTTACTTCGAATCACCTACACATCACTGTTGTTTTGAAAGAAAACAAAACAAAAATGGTACAACACATTCATTGGCCTTTCTTAAAATCACCGTGCAGCCATCGATTGTTCGTGAAAGTATGAATCGACACGGTGTTAAATGAATGAGCACACACTATCGTCGAAAGCAGTAAAGAAACATACATACACAATTTTGATAATCCTTTCCTTACGATTGCGCATCATCCGGTTATTATTATTTTGTTTTTGTGTTTCGTCCGTTTGTTTTAATATGCCCGATTTCATTCATCCGATTTCATTCACAAAGAATAATATCAAAAGCAAACTACGTATCGATATACGCATCCATCTATTAGCATTGCAGCAGCGTATTTCTCCTTATTAAAAATTCCATTCACGATGCGTTTTGTTCTTTCGTTTCGATCGAAAAGTAGAATTCAAATGTGCGAATAGATTGAAAAAGGAGCCGGCGCTTTGTAATCATCGACATTCACACAAGTGATCAGATATCCAAAACAATGAACAACAATACACACAGGCAAATTATCGTAATATATATTCCAATGAAAGCAATTATGATAAATATAAATGCACTTGCGCATTTCAACATCAATTCTTTTCAATTGGCCCCTTTTGATTTCCACTTTCAATTGAATCTAGACATGTCATAGAATATGACACAATAAAACACGACCCACACTGGAACATTGAACAAAATAGAAAAATGTAAACAACAAAAAAATAAGAAAAAAATGAACAGAAATTATCATCCGAAGTGTAAGTAAACACTCGAAGTAAACAAGCACTTTCGTTTTTTTGTATTTCAATATTGTTCGATCACCAATTATTCCGTTCAAACAATTTGAACTGATTGGCTCGCTTGGTCACAGTCTAACTTAGCACTTTCATTTAGTAAATAGATTCCAATTGAGCGTTGTGCACAATCTCAAACAAATGAAAATTCAATGAATAAAAAACACAAGCATCAAAGTACAAATTGTTTTGCGATCGTTATTATTATTAATGCAACACTTTGATTGTGCTTGTGAATGTTTAGCTCAACGACACATTCAATCGAATTCGGTATTTTACTCTCTCAATCAAATGGGCACGTGATTTTTTTTATTGTTATATTTGCTCATTCAAATTCACTCGATTCGATTTTTGTATTTTAATTCATTTCGAATCGCCAGGTTTAATGGTTTTGTGTCAATAACCGACACTAATCAATATAAAACCATTTGTCGCGCATTCTATTCAAATATTGTGCGTTTGACGCTGATGATGTTTCAGTCACGATAAATTGGCTACTGTTTTACGAATTTGTTTTTCCACGGCCGTCGTTTTTGTTGCAAAGCCGTTTTTTCGTATGAAATAGTTAACACTGACCAAATTTGAGGTAGTTGTTAATCAAACACAGATTCATACGTAATATTTGCGATTGGCCTAACATAATATCGATTCAAGAGTCTCAACAATCGTCAAAAAATGACATCATTATTGAATATTTTAATAACGACGATATAATAGCCTAACGAAGTGGCCTTTAAAACCATTTTTAAATGTGAAAAGTCAATTCAAAACAGTTTATTTTTCAATGTATGTAGATTTTTCTCTCGGAACTCAGTGACATTTTTTTGCTTTCTTTACATCAAGTACTTAATTAATGTCATTTCAAGAGAAAAATTCCGCTTATGAAATACATAAAATGGAAAAACAAATTTCAATAATCGCAAAGTTTAATGGTTCTGTAATCTCAATTCGAATCACGACCGAATGTGTTTTCTTTCACTTCACTCACTGTGTTCCTCTTCATTGTGACTTGTTAAATCAAGTGGTCGGCCGTGTTTCAATTGAAATAGTGCACTCGTAAAATTTTACGGTCGCAATGTCGATAAGTACTCTTATTTATTTTCGTGTTTTTTTTTTTCCTTAATTATCGCCTCATTTTGATCTCTCACTCGTTGGCCTGAAAATAGCATTTACGTAAATGTGCAATAATTGTTTGGAAACGGACGCAACAAGGAAACTCTCGATGCACTTAGACATTGAGTCTACATTTGAGTCGAGAAAAACTTCAAGTGAATGAATTCCCATAAAGTATTGTATTTATTGTGACTTTTATTTTGTGATTAGTCGACAAATCTATGCCTTTGCCTAACTGTTTGAATACAGTTAATCGAAACGTTTTTTGCGAATGCAAATTAAACTGCATTTGCTTTCGAATGACATCCACGCGGTCACTTTGAAATCACGCCGATAATCTATTTCTTTGCCGGTCCAAAACGATAACTGTCATTCGAAATGGCGTTTTCATACTTGTCGTTGGTGTCGCAATGCTTACCCATTTTACAATGAAACACACTGAATGTGGATGTAAGATTTTATGTATTCGAAATCATCGAAGAAAAAAAACCGTAATAAATTTCGCATTCGATTCAACCGAATAGCTGACAAAACAAACAAATCTTTGGTCTTTCTTTAATTTTAGGTAAAAACAAATGTTACATGCAATTGAAAGGTGGGTGTATTCAAATGTGCGCTTTTATAAGTTGTTGTTGTCGTTATTCATTTAGGTGTGCTTAGAACTGTGGCATACACCAAACAGCAACAATCAAGCAACACCAAGAAAACACACACTTCAACAAAATACATTCATTCATCTTGTCCACATACACACAATTCATATTTCAATAGCCATACATTTCATTTTTAACATACTCCATCATTATATTCACACATTTAACATCGACATATCACCTATATTTCTCTTTCTCTTTGTTGTCCATCGCTAGGAATGTATAGAGCATTTCTTGAATTGCACAAGCCATTTACTTGGAAAGTAGTTCGAAGCATCAAAACATCTTCAGATACTTGTCATTTTTTTCGAATTATTTCTTTTGTTAAAATCATCAGATCATGTAATATGAAATTCACATTTTTCTGGTTTTTTGTAATTTTATTTTACAATGTTGTCACTTTTTTTTCATCTGTTTTTTTTTTTTTTGTGAAGAAATTTTTTTCTCATACCGCTTAACTTTATTAACTAATCATTGTAAATTCTCCATTTGTTTATAGTCTTGAAATCTTCAATTTCTAATTCTTCTTCTAATCCCGCTTATAGGTAATCAAGAAAACGAAAAAGGTGAACAAATCGATACAAAAGATAATCAATGGTTTGGAGCGACAGTTGCAAGTGCTGGTATAGATGGTCCGCTAGTGGTAAGTAAAACACATTCAAGCTAAAAAAAAAACTTATAAAAATCAATGATTTCAAGGTCATATTTACAATTGGGAATTAAGCATTTCAATGGAATACAAAGCCATATTTAAATTGGTTCGCTTGTTCGCACACCAATTATCTGAAATTTGATATATTGTCGACTGTCTGACAAACGACGAGTAAAGAAAACATTTTGTATGTTCATTGGCAAATTTCGTGTATCTTGGGTTGATTTAGTGGATCCGAACAAAAAATATATATGCCCAAACCATATTTAGTATGCTGTGGAATTTTTATTGATGTTATGTGCCGCATTCGCATAATTGCCGAATGAACGTTGAAAAGTGCGCGATCCACCGCAATTATTCAATTGAATTTAATTTCGTTGGCCATAGTTGGGCATCAACATTTTAAACTGTCGCATTTTTTCATGCCTGATTATTCGTTTCCATTGTCGCAACGGCGATGCATCTCCTTTAATGCTGTACATCACGCAATTTCGTCGTCTCAAAAAGATTCCTTGGCGCAAGAAAGAAGCGACACAGAATGGGAAAAAAAGAATGCGCACAGTGATTTGAATTCGCAGAAATAGTAATTAACACAATGATGATAAACATTGTTAATGGCCGCTTAAAATCATTCCATTTTGCTTGTGATTCTAATGAAATGGCCAGTTAAAAATAAAAAAACAAACCAATACAACGATTGCATGATATAAACACTTAACGATGATGAACTTACTTGTTTAATATATAGAATGAAATGCCGATTTAAACGAAGACGTTGGTCGACTTAACGGGATTATGTGGCTGAAAATGACGTCGAAATGGGCAAATAAAAATCGGGCTTGGCCACATTCAAAATGATTAGCCTTTGCCACATTCTGCCCCCATCCCCTCTATCTGTGTATGAATCGCGCTAAACGCGTACATGGAATGATGTTTGTTTGACCTCGACGTCGTCATCTATCGTGCGAAAATTACTTGGATAGAACATTAAAGCAATGATGGTTTTGTCGGTTTGCAAGCACATATCGCTTGTTATACCGTTTGATGTTTATCGTTTATTGGTTTTCTATTAAGCATGAGGTTTTTAATTTCACGTAAAGTGCAACGTGTTTTAAGGTGTTCTCAACACTCGTATGGAAATCCATGGGGCCGCTTTTTTTTACTGAGGCAATAAAATCATCGATTAAATTTCCAAGCCATTTATTTCGAGTTTAATGAGGAGTCGAAGCGGACAATTGCTCTACAGAACTAGTTCCGGCAAATTTTTCATACAAACAAAATTAACACTCTGACCTAAATAGATAGTATAAACATTTTCACACACATTTGTTAATGGGTGTCGTATAAAAAATCGATTCACAATTAATTTAGGGCACATTTTTGAAGGACGCAAATGAAATTGGAGACATGAATTCAGACGGATGCGACACATGAACATCTATTTTGCTCTGATTGATTATGATTAGAAATCATAACAAAAAAAATTATGACATTATGTGTGTGTCCGCAATGCCAAGCTGTTTTCCTGCTCGCCCATATGCGTTGAACATTGTTCAACCATTTTAGGTGCGAACTTGTTCTTTCTTAACAATTATTCTGTTGTTGTATCAGACAACAACAGTATCACATTACTGTTTATTTTGCCATTGTGTACACCGATGTCACACAATGTGCATTGAAATTGATGCGATATGATACAAAATATCATTGGAGTTCATCAATAAAGTCAGTGCATTTGTTGTTCGACCGAAGGAAAATGCACGCAATGATGGCCTAGAAAACTAACATCGTCGATAACTTTAGTAAAACGAAGCCGGCCACTTGCACATCGGAAAGGTGTTGAGCAAATCAACAACGATGTGCGTATTTTGTAATCGAATTGGCAAACACACAAACCAACAAACTCAAGAAATGTTATGTGTACGCTTTTCTTAAATGGCAGTCATACTGAATCAGGTTCTATGCATTTTCAATATGCCCTCTCTTCGACATCGATCGATACGATATGTATAAGATTGTATGTTTGTCTAATTCGAAATAAAATCTAACTGGCGCAAATATTTCTTGACATCGTACAATATTCGAATCAAAGTTCAATGATGTAGAAACAATCAAGATTGCAATGTTCGGCAAGGATTTTGGCGAAAGATACATATATTTTTCGATTGCAATAAATTTGCAGCGGAATGTATACCAAGAGAGAAATTGAAGAAAAAAAACGTCACTTGAGTGAAAAATCTAAGAGATATATTCCTTTATGCACCGAAAAAGGCCGTGGTACATTATTGAATTACACTTGATAAGCATCGATATAAAAAAAGACCAGCGTTTAATATCATATTGGCTATCAATCAATGCCAATTGAAGTTTAATCCATGTAGTACAATCGTTGCGACATGGTATATTGTTGTCAGTTTCAATTCTTCCAAACAAAAAACCGAGTCATTTAAAATGTTAAAAGTGCTTTTTGCCATCGATGTCTGCATAAATTTGCTGATACAGAAATAAAATTTATTGAAGCGATTTCACGAAAGATGCAAAAAAAAAACTAGCAACAATGACACGACGGTAGTTCGGTCCATCGGGCTACTTGTGGAAATAATATTTTAGTCGAGCATTGTTGTGCGCAATGCGTGATCAGTGTGTGTACCTTGCAATGTCAAATCGATTTGTGAGATGTGCACCACAGCGAAAGGACAATCGAAAACTGACCACAGATCGTTTACTGTATTCGGTTTTTTTCTCTTTCGTCGATGGCATTTACGCGTGTGCATTATCTCTCTATTTTCATGAATGTTGATGAATAATTTCAATGGCCACTTAACCATTTCATTTACATACAAATGTACGAATAATTTTATTGTGATCATATTCGGTGTATGGCTTTTTTGTCGCTCTAGCATCTTCTCTCGTTCAGCGTTGGCCTGTCGGAATTCGACACAACAAACAATAAATGTTATTTTTATGGCAAAAAACGACTTATTCGGAATGAAATGATTAGCATAAAAATGTTTTACTACTTGTTGCGATTCAATTGTGTACGAAGTACAAGACTTTATCTGCACGGCACAAACAAATGCCATACGCATGCCAAAAATGCACAGCATTCCAATTTTTTTTTGTTCGTTCGAAGCCATTTCTGAAAAAGTCTCCATCGAAGCTACGCGACACATTCAAATGCATATGGGAACAGACAAAGCCACACAAAATGTGCACGTTTTCTTATTTGAGCTTATTCGTTCGCCATGCGAATCCAAAATTCACCGAATATGGTCAAAACATATTATGGTGAAAATTGCACGCATAAATATCGGAATTCTTATGGATTACAATTCTTCTGGATCTTTTGAAACGGGAATGAAATCAATTCAATATGGTGCCGCCACAAAAATTGAAGGAATGCAACGAAAATTGTTAGCCACTCGTTGGACCAAATAGTTTAATCCATTTCGAACAATAAAATCAACTCGATCGCAAATGTGTTGTTATCACAGTGTTGAAAATTCTATCGGAATGGTTAGAACAGGTTGAAGAATCTGAAAACTTTTTCATTTTTTTTTTCAATTTCAACATTTGTTTTGCATCGTTCACGATGAAATATTCGTTTTAATCAATGCACTTACATTTATCACGGTAACCATGTAGTATAAATTGCAAACAAATCATATGTACGCGACCACATTCTGTGACAGCGAAAAATCGTGCTTCTGGATGCTTGTTTTTCATGACTGAATTTGCCTGTTAAAACTTGATCAACTACCGAGCACAGCACACAGAATTCGCTTCAAACGATGAAAAAAAAGAGAAAAAGAAAAAAAAATGACAACAAAACAGTGCAGCAGCAAGAAAAAGAAACTCAAAACTGAAACATTCAATTGACTACCCGAAACTAATAGCGGCGATAAGTTATTTCACTTCACTCTTGTTATATTGAATCGTTTCGTTTTGTACGAGTAATTTGTTTAGTTTGCGGACAACATGAACGAGATATGACAAAAATGGAAGAACACAAAACCCGAAAGAAAATTGCAATGCTTTACACAAGCTGAAGAAGAAGCAGATTGTGATTTGCTCGCTGGAAATTTGTATTCGACTTTGGCACACGAATAAAAACATACTGACTGAACAGAAGCGAAAAAGATCTCGCTACGATATCCACATTATCAAGATGTACACATGCACAGACGGGAAAAAAAATGCCTTGCTATCCCAACAAATTGCGCCCATTCCATTAAAATGCTTTCGAATAGACAACTAATTGAAGCGATCGCGTCTCATAGCTTGACTCTTCACATTCAAGAAAAGCACTCAGAATGGGTGAGTGGCGCAGAGAGGAAGGGAGATCATGTTTGGAAATAAAATTGCGTCGAGAATATTAGACACTTTGTGAAAAATGATCGAAGCTAGTAATATTTAGATGCTACTGTATCACATATTTTAAAGCCACTGACTGTTCGACATCGGTTACTTTGCATGCGACAACGACTTACGCTTCAAAACCGGCAAAATAATAAATCTCACTGTTAATGCACATCAATTTTTGTGTCATTTCAATGAGCCAAAACGATTTCAAAATGAGACTAAAAGAAAATGGTAGATCACTTTTTATGTTTACCGGCATTACACGCAATCAATGTTATACCAAAACGACTAAATGCACACGCCGTCAAACGACAACGATGGTCGGTAGCTATCGTTTGAATTCCATAACCTTTGGCTTTTAAAGTAGACTTGTGTGGAGATGAGCAAACTATTTGAATGCAGATTGATATTCATTTGTGTACACTTTATTTATGATCACAGCTGTCCAATTGGAGTGTCACTATTCAATTTTTGTTTATTATATGTTTGCCCGACTCTTTGCTACTTTAGAATTCATTTGCTATCAATGAAAGGGGATTGTACCAATAAAACTATAACGTATTTTTTTCTGCAATGACAAGAAGCCCCGCATTCAGTGTATGAATTGACGACAAAATGCATTTAGTCACAATGCGAATTCACGCCAATTTTTGTTCAAAAAGGAATTTGCGTAAATCGTTGCTTGTTGTGCGGTTTATGGATGTGTGGTTCGTTTGTGTTTTGTCTGTCTGCAAAAATTATCGAATGGTTAAGCAAAGGTAAAAGGATTTATACGAGTGACTGCGTTGGTTTAAATGTTAAATAATGCTAAATGAAACATTACCACTGAAATTGAATGCCACAATGGCACTATTGAATTTCAGAATAAAATGTGTGAGTGTTTTTGTGCGTCCAAGGAATCAAAATCGCCTGCTTCAATGGCATGCCGGTTTATTTGCCTGTCGTTTTTTCGCTTGGGTGGTTCATGTGCAAAATGGATAAGCGCAATTTGTTGACATGTGTCTTGCGTCTATTCATTGAGCCATTCATTTTTTTTTTCAGGTGCAACAACAAGAAAGCGTCTGCGATAAATCAATCCAATAGACAGTCTGAACAGATTTTGTGTCGGCTATTCAAATGCTTGTTACGAATGTGATTTTGCTATGGCTCTGCAAAGCAAAAACCTCGTTATCGTTCAAGCAAAACCATGAACACTATAAAATAAGGAGCTATTTTATGCGTGTCATTCAGACATTTTACGTATTTTTCCGATTTTAAATATGACCAGAAATTTTACAATTTCTGAAATGATTATTATAAGTTATGTTTTGTCTTCAATCAGTAATGCAACATTGTATTGAAATTAAACAAACTCAACTTTTATTTTAAGTGTGTTTCATCTAAATTTGGATTTTCTTATACATTTCGTTTTTTTTTTTTTTCATTTTTGCAGGCATGTGCACCACGATATGTATTCCATACGATGCAACCGAGGAAAGTAGTGCGCGTTGAGCCGGTCGGAACGTGTTACATGGCCAAGAAAAATTTCCAAGAATACACCGAATACTCACCGTGTCGAACAAGTAAGTGAAATTTGCATTTGCGACTTGTTGTACTGTAGTAGAACCATTTTGCTCTTATGCATCAAACGGGAATGTATTAATTGACGCCATTGCCTATATCGTTTTTCCCTTCTCTTTCTCTGCCATATTCCCATGCTCATTTTTCTTCAACGCTATTTTTAACTAATGAAGACGATACAGAGAGGAACAAACGAAAGAAAAGAAAAAAAGAGAAGAGAATCAAACCGTACTAGAATTCGATTCGAATGCCGTACATTTGAAAGTCTAATGAATGATACTGTATACACACCAAGTTGTCAAAATGGGAAATTCTAACCAAATGTGTTGCAAACTGTGTGAAATTGTGTGTTTGCTTTGAGCCGAGCAAAATTCGAGAATATAATTTCACAATGTACAAAATCATTAACACGGCAACGGGATGCCATCGACAAAAACCTAATGAATATTACACTGTCTATTTTTAAATCACACAGACAAACACCAATACAGGCGAACGATCGCGCATTTGTCTGTGCACAAATTCATTTCGACGGGCATGTATATGTCATTTCAACATACAGCATAGTCACATATTCGTGGCACGTACCATTCCCAGCTTCGATCATCGCACTTTTCGATTCGTCGTATCCTACTGCCTGTGTGTGTGTGTATGCTTTATGTATAGGATTTTTTTTAGAATACATTTTGTACAAGATCACACCGCAAATGCACGACAGACTTAGAAGTCTCCAAAAATGAATAACAACATTATTCGATGTACGAACACGACTTGCATGTGATCTGGCAGAACGAAGCCAGATGAACGGAAGGAACATATGTGCTTCTTCTTCTTATTACCTATGTTTATCGGTTGTGTTTTTTTTTATTCGTTCGACAAATGTTTCTCTTTTGAGTCTGTTCAAAAAACGACACGAAAAAAAATGCCTCATACAATCAGTCGCCAAACCAAAGCAATGTATGTGTATCTCATGTGCAACATATATCAATAAATTTATATGTGCATTCTTTTTTGACAAATTAAAATGGCAACACATTTTTTTATATGGTCAACAGCCTGAAAATTGTCAAAAACGAAAGAACAACGAAATTGACGTTGAACTTCGAATCGAAGTTACATCGATTGAAGGAATGTTACACAGGAATAAGTATATAAGAAAAGAAAAAAACGAATCAATCGCTTGTGATGTATGCGCTCGATAAAGACGTGATGAATTGTGTCCATATTCGTATCGCAGGCTTCCGGTTATTTCGCCAATTGTGTTTGCGTTATTGGCATATAAATTGGATTTTGTTCAAGTTTTTTGACATAAAGTGAACAACGACAGAAGATTTAATCGAAGACTAAAAATGGCATGCCTTCAACATATTTGTTGATTGCACATGGGAACACAGAATTTATTGCATCTCGATGGTTTTTTCCTAAAACGATTAAGACAAAAACAATTTGTTGTTTATTTTTTTCGTCGTTTATTCACTTCACGGTTGATTCATGTTTATTAAATCCGATGTGAGTTGAAAATGTCACCAAAGTCATTGATTGGATGAGTAGCGAGATTTAGGCGCTTGGCGTTGATTCTAAATTGAACATTTTCTTGATTCGAATGCATCTAACTCAATTAAATTTCGACCAATACCGAAATAGACCGATGTGTGTTTACAAATTAACCCACAATAAATCCATCGAAAGAATGTGTCAGCTAAAGAAACGTGAATTATAGTGTTCATTTTCGAAAGTTACGTGTGAGTTAAGATAAAATGTCCAATCCACATTGATTTGGAAAAAATTGTCGGTTTGAATGTTGTTGCTGCTTTTTTCGTTCTTCAAAATTGATGCATAATCTACAAAAATATGTACGATGCCAAAGATCCGTATCTATTTCGAGGTCCAATTTTTTTTTTCAAGAATGCGTGCCATGTGCTTCGCGTTTTGCCTTGCACTTGTACCATGAACGAACGTGCCACATTTCAACGAATGAATAAATACATACCACATAATGATTGGTGCGCGATTTTCTTCGGTTGAATCAGGCACGGCCAAACTAATGTATGACCGGCTAAATTGCCATGCTATTAAGCGTAATCAGTGATGTTCAGAGTCGGCGGCGGCGAGAGTGCATTTCAATTTAATTCATCATTTACAGCACCATTCACAATGAGAGAAATGTTTCGAAATGCTCGAGCTGCAGAATTAATACAGAGGAACGAAAAAAAAATTCGGTCAAACCGAAGTACATTGTGGAGTATTCCATTTCAAACGGTTTTCTATTTGTTGTACACAATTGTTTGTGAATGAATTCAAGAATTCCCCGCTGTATTTTCTATTCGTAAAATAATATTTATTTTACAATGCTTCAAGTTATTCGCTTATGAGATGTAATGCCATTCATTAGATTATTATTATCCTTCACTCGCTTCAAATACGAAAATTTGTGTGTTGATGCTAAATTACGCGACCAAACTATATACACTTTTTGTTGATTGTTCTTGTCTTTGATGCAATTCACAGCCAAACAGATAAACTGCAAGTGCTTTGCGCCGTTTTCAACTCCATTCGATGAGAGTGTATCGCTAAATCAAATCTAACAAATTGCATTCACTGATGCGCACAGCGATATCGGTACGTGAACAAGAGCTAGGCGCAGCAACTATATGTTCTTATTATTTGTTCAGTAAACATGTTGAAGTGTTGCTTGAAGCAATCTTGAAAGCGTTGAAAATAGAATGATCTTTGGCGAAAACAGTCAATTGAATCGTACTCAGCATTCGGGGTGTAGTTGTGTTCAATTGAATGATGCATCTTCTTCAAAAAGACAAAGTGAAAAAGAAGAAGCAGCCGCAGAAGTAAGCAGAGAGAAAAAAATGAATTCTTTAGATTCGATTACAAAAGCCATACATCATGCATTTACACCGCGTGTTATGTCTATTTGCCATCATAAATCCAAAACGATTCAATGTGAATTGTGGCGGTGATTGCGATGGCAATGGCAGTGAACAGCCGAAGAAATACCGTGTACGAAAGGCCTTTAAATAAATAATCATGGGAATAGGTTTCAGTTGATTCGTAAAAAAATGTATGTATAAAGCGAATTTATTGAAATTGCACTGAACTGAATAGAAGATCTGTACATTTGAGTAGAAAATGCATCACGGAAATGAGATGCTCACAATATGTGTGTGTATGTCATAAAAATGCGAATTTCTCTTTTTTTAATCGAAACGGAAAATTTATACGTTGCGATGTCGTTGTCATCGAAAGAATGACAGAGAACTGGCGACAATGTCTTTTTAATAGATTTTCTTTTTCGTTTGTACTTTGAATTGGATGACCAACGAAAACCGTTCGCATGCATCATTAAAATAGACAAACATATGGAAACCGTTGCTTGTGTCTCGTATACCACGGTTGACTGGTTTTCTGCAAAAATAGGATCTTGATGGCATTGTCCCTTTTCTTACTGTCATAAATTGATAATTTGTTGCAGTGGCAACTCGAATAAAGACGTTAAATTGAAGATTTGTTCATTCCATCGTTTATTGCTATATTGAATTGTTTACGACATTTGTCACAAGTTCTAGTGCTTCGCCGCATGAAATTTATTACGGAAATTGCAGTTGAGCGCACAAAAGAAAGAGAGAGAGAGAAGCACAAAGAAATCCGTTGTGCGAATGATTTGTTTTGTCTTAAATCAAGAGAATGTTTTTCGGGTTGTAACAAATTGGAAACGATCTCTGGTCAAGTTGGAAGTTTTTTATTTCTTTCTTACGCTCTTTCTTGGGCTCTGTAATTACACATTCAAAACACGAGAATGCGTTTTGAAAAAGGAAAACGCCAAACATTCATTTGAATATTTATCACTTTCAACATATAATGTTGATGTGTTTATAGTGAGAAAATAGCTTTACCGAAGCAAAATCGATCGATACACGGTTATCACGTTCATTTCGAACGGTTGTTCTGTGCACAACCAACAAGTTAGATGGAAGAGAGAGCGAAAAGGGTTGCATTTGTTATTTCTGGAAATCATTTAACGTAACACATGTCGAAGATAGAGAGATAAACACTGGCAATCTTCATCATACATTCGTCGAGAATGTGTTGTTTGTTTTCGTCATATACCAACTACACGTAATCAATGCCTTCCAGGCACATGTACTTCATATTTACATTAATAAATTTTGTGTTTTTCAACAAAAATTAGGATGTTGAGTTAATTAAATTTGACGTGTTTGCTTCTTATTCTTCGTTTATCGGTGCAACACGTACACGCCCGAACTGAAAAGATTTATACTATTTTTTTGTTCCGTTTTACCAACTTGCTGTTGATACACTTCACGCCAATCTTTGACGGATTTACAACAACAAAAATAACATAAATAAATAGAAACAAATACACTGCCAGACGCGTCTCAATCCCCCTCCAGCTATCCAGCTAAATAACAGGATTTATTATTTAAACAACGGACTTGTTCAAAACGGATCACTATTGTAATCCAAGGATGTCTAAAAATGACTCCTTAATAGACAAATATGATTGCATCATGTTCTATTTCGAAATAAGTAAAGACTGAAATTCAATCACTCTCGTCAAAACCGATCGAGACAACTCAAAGGTTACATTTCATCTTTTTTGTTTCATTCTTCCGTTTTTTTTGCTTCGACTTTCATTCATTGCGTTTGTTTTCCCTATTCGGCACCATTAACGCATATCTTATCATTTTTCTCACAGTTTATTTATTCTGCTACCGATCTTGACGTCACTTAGTTGATGTTGCACATATGCACTCTCATCGCTTTGCCTTTTTTGTGGTTGTGTGCCTTGAATTTTGATGAAAGAAACTAACCATTATCAGATCATTTAACTCACTTGCTTCCTCGTTTTTTTTGATCAGATTCCATACAAACGGGGCAAAAAAGTGTTAAAACATAAAAAAAGGAAAGAAAAGAATGGAGTTAAAAAGGAAGGGAATCAATTGAATGTGAATTGAATCAAATTGGTGTTTATTTCAGTCAGTGTCTGATGTTACAACAGGTCTGTTGTATGCAAAGTGTTTATTACAAGCAATCAATGCAATTCCCTACACTCTGTCACAATTTTCCCTTTTGTAAAATGCACTTCTTGTAAAATTCAAATTTCACTAATGTTTCGCAAAACAATTGAATGTAAATCGGAGTTTTGTGCTCTTGTTATTGCCACAAAATGTGCAACGTCCAATTGTGTGGCAACATATAGTACAGTTGGTGAAAAGATTTTTGCCATCGAAAAATATGCAAAGAAGGTAGAACATTGTCAATATTGTTGTTCCATTGTTTTTCGCGTTTTGCGTGTGTGTGCCTCGTATTGTTCGAACTGAAATCGTAATTTGATATTCATGACGGTAATTCAATTTAACCATATACAAAAAGGAAAGAAAAAAAAATGTTTTACATTTTAAAAACAATCTGCGGTGCATTTGCCGACAAACGATTGTTGTTGTTTTTTTTTGTTGTGTGTAAGATTCGAATTCGTGTTTCTTTGACCGCTACAAGAATAACTGATCCGATCGATTTCAATCGATATACACTCTTTTTCGCATCGATTTTTTTATACAAATATCTCGATTGAGAAATCGATTTGAAGAAAAGCCAAAATGCAAACCGTAGTTGTCGTGCAAAAGTGCACCTTTCGCTTCGTATCAAATGATCATATAAATTCGTTTGCCGTTCATTTAAATATGCAAAATGCATAAATTAAAGTTGAACACACAAAAACGACGACGAAAAACATGAGCATATGGCAAATATGCACAAAACTATGCGTCCTTTCAATGCATTTTTGCTTCATTTGGACGTCGCTCAAGCGAGAAACGCACGAAATAGCTGTTGCGCGCAAAAGAAGACAACATGCACCGAAAAACAAACAACACTCGATCTATTTTCAGCCATCAACATTGTAATAAATTCGCATATTTTTTTATTTGTTTATTTATTTTTATCAGACGGGAGTTGGTTACTCTTTGAAATGGGTTTCAGATGTAGAAAAAGAAGACACATTCACCAGTTCGAAAAAAAAACCAACTGTCTGTATATTTTTTCCATACGATTTCAATAAGTAATCCGGTTGATTATGAAGGAAAAAAACCGCTTGGTGGCTCCTTCTTTTTCGGTGGCTGGTTGTTTACATTGCTCGTCAAACGTCGTCTCAACGATGATGAACATATCACATTCGGTCGGAACGCGGAATGGTTATTATAAACCGCGTACCGTATACAGGAAACTCATAATATTTTTGATGATTTTTTGTTTGTTTTGTGGGTCGTTCTCTCTTTCCACCGGATTCATGGTTATTCCCCCGTTTTCTTCAGCGAAATTTGTTGGCATTGACTTTTGCCGACACACGTGATTTTCATTAGGTGTTGCGATGAATGCTACATTTAACCGAACGATTTTGGTGATTTCATTCATTTCCGATGCGGAAAAAGGATCGAAATTTAGTGCCAAATGACAAATGCGATTTGAGCCACACTTCAAATGGAACATAAAAGAATTAGAATCAAATGCATTCCAGAGCAATTCTATGAAAATAACGAGTCATTGCAAATAGTACTCAGAGACGATAAATATTCTTCCTTTCTTTGGTTTCTAATGAGCTATCAACTTTCATTGTGGAAAAATATGTTTAGATGTTTTTCTTTTGTTACGCATTACTCTGTTGTCATTTGTCATGCAATCCAAATGGATTATGATTTTTCATTTATGACAATTATGCATCGCATTTTTTTACGATCCAAATACGCATGGGATATTTCTTTAGAAAAGTGTGGGCTGTCGTTTATTCAAGAAAACAAAATGAAACGCATGAATTTTCTTTTTTATGATCAATTATCTAATAGCTAAGCTACTGCGGTGCATTTTGAATGAAGACGACGGGGTTTTTACGATTTCACGCGCAACACAATCATTAACATTTTCCAACACACAGTTTTGTTGTAAAGCTATAAACGGTGAAATACGCATGACAAACCAAACAAATGTTACATTTAAAAAAAAATAATAAATAAATCCAATTCCAAGAGAATCGCTTTTGTTTTGAAAAGATGTCATTAAAGCCATTATGTGTGTGTGATTAAAATGGAACTGTTGCGCTGGTGTGACAAATCGCTTAGTGAATTGGGAGAAATGGGAATTAACAATTATGGTTATTTGCTTGAAATGTTTTTCTTTTGATCTGTTTCTATTTGCAAAAGATAAATCGTTGAGTGTTTTTTCTTTTTTTTTCTTGTTTCTATTTTCAGTGTTCTGGGGATACCACAAACAAGGCTCATGTCAAGCTGGAATGAGTGCAGCTATCACAAAGGTAAATATTACATTTATTCTTCTCTTCATCCGAATCTCAAAATTGAGTAGGATAAAAGGCAAGCAAAATAGTTTTAAAATAGGAAATTGGTACAACCTACACATCGATCAAATTTGCGATCATTGGACAGGTGTACAATGTATTGCCCCGTGTGATTTGCATGTCCGTAAGCATTATCGAATGCGCTCTTGTGCGCAGTTGGAATGTATGCCGTCATCATTATCGCACTCAACCATCAATTGCTCATACACTCCGGAATTCATACGCTCGGGCTTAATTGTATGTGAAAGATTCACTGAATACGATCGATTATTGTGAAAATCGAGAAAAAAAAGATTGAATCTCTTGAACATCGCAGAAGAATCGGCTGGGATATTCAAATGAGAGCCACAAATCGCTGCATTCTTTGTGTGTGCATTTCACTGCAGCCGATGGTGTTTGTTTATTTTAATATCGCTTTGATTACTTGAATAAAGTAAAATGAAGTACGCTCATCGACTGCAATCGAATATGTACTAATGTTGTATGGCATTTTATTTCCATCGGAGAATTTGAATTTAGCACGATTTTCGTTGTGGTACATTAAAATACAGATGAATGGAATAAACAGAAAAAAAATCACATAAACATCGCAAAAATTATACGAACTGTGAACATTTGCTCTCTCTCTCTCTTTCCATTTCAAATGAACCAACGATGCGAATGGGCGACAATACTAAATAAAAAGCATAACTCTGCGAGAGATAGATTGAGTTAGTGCTAGAGCGCACTATATTTAAGTCTAAACGACTTAAATTGTCTTCGATCGGCAAACATTCGACGCAATCCAAAAAGTACAGAGCCTATCTTTCTCTTTCTGTGGCAGGAAAAGGTATAAAAAAAGCAACGACAACCGAACAAGAAAAATAGGTACGATGCAAAAACAAATTAAAAATGCCATGCGCGCAAGCATGGAATCGAGCCGGTGCATTTTTATAAGATTTGTGCGAAAGCAACGAATAATAAATTATTGTTTTCAATTTGTGTTCTGCATTTCTTTCTACATACCGATATATTGGCCAAACAAAATACATATATCGAATCGAGCGCATACGTTGTTACGGTAGAAAAGTTTAAAAATTAGTAATAAGTGCACTATCGGACATACAATTTTCCACATGTGCATAACACTGTGCGAAAGATGCTGCGTTGTGGTAATACGTCTTCAGTTTGAATCATGTATTTCATTCACACACACACACATACTGTGCATTCGCTTCGATTTGGAGAGTGTGGCCACATAAATTTGCAAGTAAGCATCTTTCCATCTATCGGCCCGAGTTGACGGCCTCTTTCTCTTGTCCTGCATCGGTTCTTCTTGCTCGACACAGGGAGTTAGAAGAGCCAAGTTTATGAGGTTATGTAACGTTCTGACCTCAAGACAATCGCGTTTGGTACGGTGAAAAATTTCCCATATTCACATTCAATAACGGCACACGTCTTTTCAAATTGTTGTTGTTTTTTCGTTCCTGTTTCGTTAACACTCGATATCGTTCGCGCCATGTTTGTGGGCCTTGATTTGAATATATGCGCCGAAAAAATAAAAATATTTGAACACATTTTGTATATATGTTAATCTTCGTCGAAATCATAGCAGAAAATCTGGGCGCATATCTATTTAAATGCAGCATGTCTCACGATTATGTTCGTGCGATCAAACAAAGTGTGTTTTTTTTTCGTGGCCGTTCATTGTTTGCAAAGACGATATTTATTGCATATTTTTGTCTGAGTTGAATATTTTATGGCCGCAACGATTTCGGCGAAAAACCATGCCAGAAAATCATCAAATATGCATTTTTTTTATTCAACTGTCATCGCATATGTTGTCACCATTCTTCTGTTGCCCCTTTTTTAGAAATGTTTTATGATTCAGTCGATACATTATCATTTTTATAATGTACGCAATATAAATTCAATGGCCGAAAAAGGCATTGCATCCACATCGATCTTAATGTGCTTCCACATTTGCTGCCGAATTACAAATGCGTTCATCGACAAACTGTCAATACTTCACATACCTTTTGCACGAATTTTTATTGATCTTCTTTTTTATCATCGAATTCAATTGACTTCTTGTATCACAAAACGAATGCGAACTGCAATCCAAATCACTTGTAAATGAAACAATTCCATTGTAAATGCGAAAAGGGAGAAAAAAATACGCACATTAAATAACGTTAAATTTTATTGCTGCAACAGCAACAACAAAAACCTGCAAAGAAAAACGCGCAAAGTCAAACTAATTTTTCAAATCGGGCAAAAACAAAAGGAATGAGAAATGAAATGAACAACAAAAAAAAACCACATGATCAGATATGCTTCATACATTCATCGCTGTTCTTCAACATTTCAACTGTTCGGACGCGCGATGAAATCGGAGTATACGATTTAATGTATCTATGTGCCCTTCATCGCATAAAATCGTTTCGTCATTTACGGCATTTAGTCATATTGCATTGTATATCAACAAGGAACACCATACCTTTTGTAATGCAGTTTTTTTTCGGTATTCTTCAGTGCGATGAGTCCAAATGTGGAAAATGCTTGACATCAGGCATACAGTGTAATTCGAAAAGCCGAAAAAAAACCTCAAAGCAATAAATATAATATGACGGCATTGAATTATATACAGAAGCCGATTTCGCCAAAACGAATTTGACCATAAATAAAACAGTGCGCAAAGCAATCGGCCAGGATGCGTGTGCGTGCTTGTGTTCAGAATAAAAAATGCGCTGCTATGAAAAAAAAAAACGATGTATCCAGACCAATTGAAATTGGTGCAAACATTGAGAGCTATATTACAAATGACAAACGAATTATTTCACAGTTGATTTGCCGTAAATCGTTTTAGTTTTTTCCCTGCCATTGCATTTATCTCACGAAGTAACTTTAATTTTATGCGCGCATAAGATTCATTTCACACAAACACACACACAGCATCATGGCTACTGATTTCAACGCGATCGCTCGCACGAATGGACATCGAATAAAAGCCGATTGTGTGAGATGATAAATTTGGTATCCCGCGATGACAAAGTCTTTTCTTCCCTACACAACGAAATAATATCATATTTTTTTTGTTTGTGAAACCCGAGAAATTCCGATATTATTTATAACCACGTGTTAGCATTATGTGCACAATCGGATTAAATTCTTTTAGTTGTACATACGCAGTGTACACACGCACTCAAATTCCAATATCAAATCAAGCGAACGACATCCAACACGAATTTGTACGATGTCATCCAATGTTATCCGAGATTCGGATCAAATAAAATTTATTGCTTTAATTCGATTCACTCAAACGTTTTGATATAGTATGCTTGAACTTGATTAATTGCCGCATTCGGTTAATTACCGGCACGGAATGGAACACGGTCAAAATGTTGATATTTAAACTAGATAAGTACACTACCATATCTGAAATGGATAATATTGACGAATCATGTGACTTCGTTTAAATTTGATACTTTTGTATAAACTCCCGCGCTCTCTCTCTGCCCAAATTGTCCATCGAAAATCGATTCCCAAACATTGTTCAAGGTTCAATGCTTCTCATCAAATGTAACATTATACTTAAGTCAATGCAAAGAAATGACGGCGAAGCAAAGTATCGACAAAAAAGTGACTGTGAAGAAAAAAAAAAGTGAATACAAAATATATGTTTTCTTTTTGTGAAACAAGTTCATTGGTCTGTCATTTGTTTATGCTGATTCATGTTGTTTGTTTATGCATTATTTCTTGGCGTTTGTGCATGACTTTTTCTTTTGCACACACTGATGCACCCACATTTGGAATTCTCTCTTACTCGTATTTGTCGAATAATCATTTTCTAATTAAAACTCATTTTCGATGGCAATGAAGGAGGGAAAGAGAGGGAGAGAATACCACAAAGTGCATTCACAATTATGGCAGCATTAAATATAGAAAAATACACACATACGAATGTGTAATTTGAATGTTTTTTGCAGATCAGAAGCGCACAGGAAAATAAAAAGAATTTGAAAATCATCAGGCGAATCAAGGAAAAGTCCATACTCATGATGGCTAATGAAAGAATCAAATGTATGTTTTTTGTGTAGGTTGAATGAACATGAAGAGAAGAAACGAAAAAAAATGTGAAGGGAATCGTTTGGCCTTTGAGCTGCGACCGTGTCGGCATATATCCAAAGGAACCAAACAGTTACCAGTTTGGTCGACTCGAATGCAGCAGTCGATAAAATTCAGACACTAAGCAGATTACCACCAACAATATCGGTGCTGTGGAATGCAAAAGAAGCAAAAAACCTACTTTTGAACATAACAATTACATTTGGGTCGATTGTTTTGATGCTGCTGCTAAAACCACAACAATTCATCCGATAACAACAAATCTGAACAATATTGTTTTTCGCGCTAATTCTAATCTCACCAACATGAGATTGTGCTTTACCATTTTGAACGGCCGGATGTCGTTACAATATGAAATTTCTTGAATCGTAGATTCTCGCATCTAGCTTCTGTATCATAAAATTCTCTGTTTGCAACAACCGCCAAACATACACGCTCAAAAGCAATGAAGTTTATATTTTCAACAAGCAAATAATATGTTTTCGATTAAAAGCACTTAAAACGAACACATGTTAAATTGGACAACGGACAAAAGAAATGTCGATACGCATTCGGCTGTGTGGTGTGTATGCCTGTGCCGGTCAAAATCCTTCGCATTCGATTTTGAGAATTTATTTGCTGCCTGTATGGAGATAACAAGATAATTAATTGTGTGTGTACATCTCTCTGTGCGTTTTCCATCTTTTACATTTATTTCGTTCTCTTTAGCACACCAACATGCATTTGCGTGCAGGTAATGGTGCATATACAATCGGCCGAACGAACGATGGAAGAGAGTGAGAAAAAAAATCAACACATAAGGAGCTGATAATTTTATGTTTACACAGTCTTTGCATTGAAAATGGATTGGCCAATGTTTGCCGCTTCATTTGTGCCAATATTGTTTTGTATGCATTTGCTCGTTTTCTGTCGGAATTGTGCCGGAAAGTGTTTATTCTTCTTTCAATCAAAGCCATAAATTGTTGTTTGCATTTCGAAATTCCAATTCACTTAAAAGCATCGCACTTTATGTATGCCGTCTTAAAAAAATGTTTTTTTTTTCTTCTTTTGGGTCCTTTTGAACCAAAATTTTATGGCCTTTTTTCCGATTAATTTAAAGTGATTTTGTTAAAACGAAAATGAAAAAAAATCATCGAGCGTACTTAATTTTGAAAGTGTATGCGAATTTTATCGTTAATTTATTCATGAAAATGTGTTTGCTCTCAATAAGATCACAAAATGCTCGTTCCAAGAATAAGTATCAATTTACGCAATTTGTATATGTTGACGTTAATTTACACCTCGAGAGATTGGCTTTGAAAGCAAATTTATATGTGAGATTGTGAATTGTAATTGATTTTATTTCACATGTTAATTCTTGTTGATTCATTGACCAAAAGTGTGCAGCGCGAACGCCAATTGAAACATTTGCATTGACTTCAATTAAGCAATACATTTAAATGTATAACACGATGCATAAAGAGTGTTTAGTGGCCGACGGCAAAGAAAAATTGTAAATAATATGCACGGCAATGAAGAAATTGATTTTCTTTTAATGTTCAATTCGATTATAGCATATATAATTGATAGTAATTTTCTGTGGTGTTATCTAATCTGCAAAGATGAGATTCAGATTTATGGTCAAGTCATTTTTTTTGGTCATTTTCTCTTTTCTCTCTCTTTACTCTGTCTTCCTTGGCCTCTCTTGTAACTCGTCTGATTTGAATTAAACGCAAAGAAGCGAAATGAAATGATGTCTGTGAGCGATTGAAAATGGCGTAAAGTTGATTTATTGGTAGTTTTTCAAATGGCATGTTTTTAAAGACTTGAATTTGGATCAATGCTTTACATTACAAAAAAATACCCTTCACAATCGTAATGGTAAAGTGAATGTTTATGAAAATGGTTTATTTCCTTTCGAAACAGCATACTTCTGTTTTAACGTTTATATTTTGCCTTTTTTTGCACAACAACCAAAAGTAAAATATGCGAAATGCTAATATTGTGTCTCATCTCGCTGCAAACAAGATTATTATCGTCTCTGGTCCATTTCGATATGAACGTTGTCATCAGTGGCGAATGGTTTTATACTTTTCGAATGTTTGTTGCTTCAACTGTTCGGTTATAAATTATGATTGTTTATGTGTCCAGTTCATTACGTCTTTTTTGTGTTTGTACATACAGCATACATGAAGTTTGCATCGATTCCACTAAGTCAGTGCAAGACTATCAAAGCGAAAAATATGAAATGCATCGTCTTCAACATTAAACGCAATGACTTTGAATGTACATTCGTACATCAACATCGAACGCATAAAACATCGAACGTTTGGATTGTACAGTCTCATATTTTGAGTGTTCGAAACATTTGAAATGTGCGCAACAACTCACAAAATCTATCAAACATAAATTATGCATTTGCGTTCACTGTGTGCATTGGCCGAACTATCGTCAACATCTTTAACGATATGAAAACCTCCCGGCACAAATCCCATTCGCAACACATTAAATATGTGTGTGTCTTTTTTCCATTCGCCTGTTGTGCGCAAGATGGATACGACAATAAAATTCAATGTCACAAAAGGTCAGAATCAAATAACAAATGGTCAAACTGCATTCACTTCTAGATCATTTTTCTACTTGTTGCAAATTCAAACTAAATTGCCAATGACGTTCATCAATTAAAGTGTGTTTACATTGGAAATTGGCATTTTTATGCAGCATTCAAACGCAATTTGACTTTTATAAAGAAAATTTTTTATAAATAGAAATGCCAAACTGCCGTTCCACATTACTGATGAACGAATGAACATAAAATTCAATGAAAAATCGCTTAACTAACGTCAAATCGAATAGAATGAACGAGTTTAAATTGTCGGACTAGCCATATTATTGTTTTGTCCATTTTTAATGGGAATTGAAGCGAAGAAAAATGTGTCAGAATTCATCTTTTTAAATCGATTGAGTTGAGTTTAGATCACACACACAGAAAAATGTCTGCATGAATATTTCAGAGACGTAATCCAATTTTATGTTGAAAACGATTGAGTCTTGCAAAATCACTTCCAAATGAAATATCCTGAAAGTGAGAATATAAAAAGAAGTTGAAATGAATAAGTGTCGATCGATTTCAATGAAAATTAATGAATGTTCAATAATAATTTCCTTTTAAAATCATTGTTCATCAATCATCATCGACTTTTTTTCCAATGCGATAAAAAAAGACACAAAGTCAGACGGAATGTGTAAATCGATATTATGTAGTTATGTGCAAATTGTAGTTATATTCTTTGATTGGCATCGATAGTTCCCAGTGAAACCATAAAATAAATAACAACATTTCCCCTGTATGTGACTGCTGGCCGTCGGGTCGAGACAGTGCCCACGTGCGTGCGTTGCATTCGTTATGTGCCAATGAACAATAGACCGATATCAGCCGTCAGATGAAGCGCAGTTCCTTTGCATTAACGAATACTGGACATACAGAGATGTTATTAGATGCAAAACTATTGAATGCCTCGAGTAAATATGTGGTGCATCATCATCGTCGAATGGACGAACGGTCGTTCAAATAAAATTTCCATAATTGTTGAATTGCAAATTGAATCGTTTCAGGCAACAATAACAATTGGTCTTTATGTCTTCATAAATGAAAACGATTAAGATGTAAGTCGGTTAAACGGGTGTGTGTGTGCGCGCGCGCGCCTCCCTTATATCGAGATTTATTTAATTCGATTTCAATTGATGATTCCTCTAATGATTGCCCCTTTGTTCGTTTCTCCTTCTTTTTTTATCCTCTTTAAAAAAGCGTGTCCATTGTTCTCTTTCGCATTGATTTCGTTTGTAGTTGAACACATTCCGAGAACCAGATGCAATATCGTAAAACATAATCGAGATGAAGTGCCTTTGTCGGATTTCAAGTTTTTTTTTTATTGCTCAAATATTTTCTACTCTTCAATAATTTTATAGTTTGTAGATAGATTTCGGTGGATATGTTTTGGTTATTGTGATCAAAAGAGGACAGGATTATTCAAGTGGACGATATTGTAATAAATGTTTCATTCATCCATATGCTGCGTGTTATTCTATCGAAATCGTTTTCGCATACGCAACATCGCGCACTATAATAACTGTATAGAATTAGTAACGGTATCATTCATATCGAAAATAATTGTGTATCTTTTTTTTATTTGCAGAATGGTGATCGTTTGTTCATCGGAGCACCGGGCAGCTGGTACTGGCAAGGTAAAACAACTTGAAAGCATTTGAGCAAAATCAAAACAAGCCGATATTATACAGAAGAATAATAAATTAAAGAAGATTGTAATCAATGGACGATCTGACATTCCTTCCTTTAAGCGCGCCAACTCTCTCCCTCTCTCGAGTTGAAAGAAGATATTTGTGCAATCTTGCATGATTCTGCGAAATGCACTTGAAACATTGCAATCAATTTTCCAAAGTCAAACCAAACTTTCACAATTAAAATATTTTCACTTATGCATCGTGATCAAAGTGAATTAAATAAGAAGAAATAAATACCGTATATATATTCTAATTGAAAAGTAGCCGACACTCGTAACACTCTCGATCGTATGCCTGTACCACACATTTATCTTTTCAATCTGATGCGAAATTATTATCGTTTTCATTCAGTTCGGGATTTGGCATACGCCAGCCCAGCAAAAGTGTCATTTATCAATGTAAAAACACTTCATTTCGAACGAGACGACGAATGGAATTTCTTTCATCATATTCGTGTTAATTGCAATTTGTCAATTGGATTCAATTTACATCTTGGTGGCATTCAGTTTAATTGCACATACCAAATGTTATTTAGATAACTCACATAATTGTCATCGAACAAATTTATGATGCGAACATCAGAAAGTGATGGCAATGCACGCAATTATGCCAACCATCATTGAAGTTAGGCTTATTTTTAAATTGATAATAATGTGTGCGATGCCATCGGTTGATTTATCGCAATTCGCAATCTATTTTCTGTAACTCGAGAGAGTTGTTTCTGAAGCGAAAGGTCCATGCCCTCAAATGGAAACTATTTTTATGCATTGATTTGAAGAATCCTAGTCAAAATTCAATCAATTAGCGCCGGAGAGGAAATGTGGAGATAGAAATGTCTTTTCAAGTTATTTTTTTGAAACTGTTTCAATCTTTCAATTTTCCTCAAGGGAAAACCCTTCGACTACATCACTAGTTTCCGAAACGCTGGCGCAATTGAAGACAAAAGTAGAGAATGAATATTTTTAACTAGTTTAAATACAAGAAGAAGAATAGTTTGAAAATTGCATGTATCAAAATACCTGTATCATAGTGAATCCGGAAACTTTTTGTGAAACATATCTTGACCAACTTGAACATATCCGATATTTATACTTTTGCTTTCGTTGTTATCTTTTAGTTATTCAGGTCGATTTGATTTTTGTGTTATACTTCCTATATTTTATAATTGAGTTTTAGTTTCTGTAAATTTTACATTTCTATTGAGTTTCGTAAATTCGTACTTGTCTTGTTTTGATTACATGTTTTTTTATTTTCAGTAGATAAGTTTTTTTTATTGTATTTATTATATTATTATTGATATATATTATTTATATAAATATTGTATGCATTTTTTCCCATCCTGTGCGTGTGTGACAAATCCTCACAAAACAAACAAACCAAAATGTTTCGACTAAAATCACCAAATTATTTACAAATCGCTGAATGTGTGGTGAATCTTACGACTTCGGTGCACCGCGAATGAATATCCAAAACAAACACAAAACACCTTATTGGAACAACTTTTTTTCTTTTTGAAAATAAACAAAAACGCCAACACACACTTACAAACTCTTCCCCCCAAAAAAAAACACCGAACAAACTAAAACACAAACTCAACTAAAACAAAACGAAAACAAAAACAAATTGATAATAACGCGCCTCCGAACCGATTTACCAATTTCGAAAAACCGCAATAGGACAAGAGTATTCAATCAATACCGATGCTATATTTCCATACAAGCCACCACGATACGGTCAATATGGCGAAGGTAACAAAACAAATTAAATGAAAAAAACTTACCACAAAAAACAGCAAACAAACAACCATTAAACTTTTGCGCAAAAATAAAAACAGTTGTAAAATACGGCATCTATGTAACCAACAACTCATTTTTAAACAAAATAAAAAAAAACCGTAATTCTCATCTTTATAATATAATAGAAAAGTGGATTTTTGTGCTTTTATCAAATCAAACACATTAAAAAACATGTAATATAAATGAAACCTCTTAATTTGTTTCGTTGCTTAAATAGACTTATAACTCTGAGTTTAAATATTTGGTTTTCTAATCACATTTTAACGTTTAGCGGCGTAGTCAAGGCGTCAGCACATCTCCCATACGATTTTTCATTCAATAAACATGACAAAACATGCTTCTGTGAATCGTGACGTGCGAAAACAAACAATTTTCATCATTTAATATCATTCACTTTTAGATAGACAGCAAATAATACCCGAAACGGATCCTTACACAAATTACCATACGATAAACGTAGCTTTTATTTATTAGTATTAATAAAGCGACATCCATATGACAATGTGTTTCTGCTTTTCAATTGGGGTTTTGTGTGCGACCCCATTCATAGCTTTATTAATCATATTGGAATGAGTGTTCAAGCGTGCAGTTTTAAGAGTGTGTCAAGGAGCATTTTCAATTTTGTCAACAACTGAACTGATTTCTTTGAAAAACTGTAATAATCCGAACAGATTTCAGTATGATTGAAAATTGCTTGTTGAAATGGAAAAGTGATTTGTTCATAGACATGTGCAATAAATTTGATATTTGGTTTTTTTGCCACGGTTGATCCAAATATCTGGTTTTCGCGCATGTCTTGTATTAGTTGAAGTTATATTTGAAGGTGTTGGTGTAGTCAGTATGTTTTTTCAATTAAATTACTTTGCTTATTTGATTTCATGTTTGTAAATTGGTATTTATTATTTATTTGCTACTAATCAACAATTCTGCGCTAAACACAAAACACACACACATATTATACACAGTTTTTGCTATTTATTTACATTTTTTATTCATTCAAATTATAAAAATATATTGCGAAAATTTGGTTTTGGTGACGATCTTTTTCGAGCTATTTGGCTTTTTGTTGGAGCTTTTTCTGTAGATTCATATTATGCTTTTGTAAAAAAAACTCTCAAAATTGTGATCGCTTTTTAAAAATCATTATTAAACAAAGCATCTAATGATATGTTGTTGTGTTGATATTTTAGGACAATCATATTCGTTCAGTTTAAATAATCCAAAAGACAAAGTGTGGGCAACGCGTGAGAGTACAGCAGCCGAAGATGATTCGTATCTGGGTTATTCTTCGATAACCGGTGATTTCACCGGTGAGGGTAATCAAGGCGTTGCCGTTGGTATGCCACGTGGCGGTGGTTTGTTGGGCAAAGTTTTGATTTTCTCATGGAACATGACCAATCAACTAAATATCACTGGCGAACAGATTGGCGCCTACTTTGGTTACTCATTGGCTGTTTGTGACGTAGACGGTGATCATTTGGATGATTTAATTGTCGGCGCTCCAATGCATACCGAACCAAACAACGAAGGCAAATATGAAATGGGCCGTGTTTACGTCATTTATCAGGAGAAATTTGTATGCAATATTTTCGATTTTCTTATACGGTTTCAGTTTTTTTAAAATACGGAATTTATTTTGCTTACAGAACAAGTTCCAAAACTTGGAGACTCGTGATGGTTTGAATTCACGAGCAAGATTTGGTCTATCATTAACATCACTGGGTGATATTAATTTAGATGGATTCGGCGATTTTGCCGTTGGCGCACCGTACGATGGTCCAGAAGGTCGAGGTGCTGTTTATATCTTCCACGGTTCCAAGGAAGGTGTTCGAGAGAAACCGTCGCAGGTCATTTTTGCCGAGGATATAGCTGGATCCGGATATATGAGCACATTTGGTTTTTCATTGTCGGGTGGTATCGATCTCGATGGCAATCAATATCCGGATTTAGTGATTGGCTCCTATGGTGCGAATAAAGCAATTGTTTTGAAGTAAGTTTTTGAATTATATTGTAGTTACTTTTCACCATACTGATTTCAAATGTTTATTTACCTCAAGATCGCGAGCAGTTGCTGTGGTTAAAGCTGAAACAACATTTGACGTGCCATCAAAATTGATTAGTCTTGACGATAAAAAATGTAAAACAATCCGTGATAATAAAGAAGTGACATGTACAACGGTTAAATCATGTTTGCAATACACTGGCATCAATCTGCCGAGTCAAATTGGTGAGTTAAAATGATGGATTTCTGACAGGCTCAAACTGTAATAAATACTTCTTTTATCCACTATAGACATTGATGTTTCTTGGATACTTGATGCGAAAAAGCAACGTAGTCCACGTTTGTTCTTCTTGAATGAAGAAGGTAACAATATCCGAAAATCCACAATGCGATTGAATCGCGGTAAAACTGAATGCCGTACCGAACGCGTGTATATTGCTGTAAGTTGCTTTAAATGAAAAATTAACATCATTCATTGATACACTGACTATATTTTGCTCAATGAAATTTCAGGATAATGTTCGTGATAAATTGACACCATTGGAAGTGGAAATGCGATTTAACATGCGTGAAAATACTCAACGAGCTGAACGTGTGTCACGTTCCGTTCTTGGACCGATCATTGATCAAAATCGTGGAACTATTGAACGTGATTCGATTAATATTCAAAAGAATTGCGGACCAGACAATAAATGTGTTCCGGATCTTCGTTTGGAAGTGAAAACGGTCGAAACGTATATATTCGGCTCAAAGGATTTGCTTGTGTTTGATGTCAAAGTATCGAATTTCGGCGAAGATGCATTCGAGGCTGGTTTCTTTATGAACGTTCCGAATGATATGAATTTCCGTAAAATTGAGCGAATTGGCGATAGTCGTGATACACCAATTACATGTACAGCACCATCGCCCGTCACAAATCATACGCTCAAATGTGACATTGGTAATCCATTGTCAGGTGGTAAAGTGGCCAATTTTAAGGTGATTTTATTGCCGGCAACCAAAAAAGGAATCGCACCAAAATACGATTTCTTCGTGGAAGCCAATTCAACAAATGCGGAAAATGAAGGAACCGAAAGCGATAACCATCGTAAGATAACGGTTAAAATTAACGTTGAAACAAATCTAACTGTCACTGGTGTATCACCCGGTGAAGAGATTTTGTACAATGCCACCGATTTCGTTGCATTAGAAAATGCAACGCAAGAAAATCAAATTGGCCCTCAAGTGGTTCACATGTATGAAATTCGTAATGGTGGACCGTCCACCATTGAGGAGGCTGAAGTATATTTCATATGGCCATATGAAACGTTGTCAGGTGATCAATTGCTGTACTTAATGAGCCAACCGGAGACAACACGAAATGTAAAATGTGAACTGAGCCAATTTGTAAATGTACGTGGTGTTGAATTGGATCGATCATTGGTGGCAAAAAGTTACTTGGTGAATCAAGGTGCTGTTGAAAAATCAAGCTTAAATTCAGCCTCATCATTCCATAGTACGGGCTATGCAGTTGGCGGACAAAATACACAAACATTTACCGAAGAAGAAAGACGTCGTTTTGAAATTGAAGAAAGTCTCAATGCGACCGGTGACGCATCGGAAATTCATAAACAACGTGCAAATGAAGCAGCTCAAGAGCAAGGTGCCGGTAGCAGTGCATATCATCAACAATCGGGCACTTGGGGCTCAGGTCCAGCAACATATTCAAACCGATTAAATCAATCGAAATACAGCACACAACGATATGACAATTCACAACAACGTTCGAATCCAACTGTTTACAGTGCTGGCGCATTTGGCAGCGGCAGTAGTGGTGTTCGAAAAATTGATGATTTTTCAGCGGAAGGAAGCGTGAATCAAGATTTGAGCGGTACACATTCACATGGCCAAAGTCAAACATCGCAAAGTGTACACAGCTCACAAAATGAAGCAACGCAAAGTGCAACTGGTTCCACTGGCAGAAGACGTATGATGAGCCAACAAGATGGTGAAGCATATCGACCAGGTTTAGTTAGAGGCGTTTCACAATACCAAAACAAAGACAATTTCCAAGTTGGCACCGTTGAATTGAATACACTTGGTCACGATAATGTTGATGAGGAAATTCGTCGCCATGGAAATGCCGCACATTTTGCAAACGCAAATGAAAGACAAAGTGCTGGACAGTCACAAAGCCATAGTTCAGGCTCTTCAGGTTCAACGTCGTATCAACAAAAAAGCAGCAGTAGTTTTAGCAATGGAGGTGGCAGTAGCAGTAGCAGCCACTCAGCCGGACAACGATCTTCTTCAGCAAACAGTTTCCAATGTAAGAATTTGTTTTCAATTCATTTAAAAAAAAAAACATTTAACAATAACATTATTTCCTTGAATAGCCGGTAAAAAATCAGCTTCGACATACGCTGGAAATTCGAATTTATTGAAAGATGAAGAATATGATGATTATGATGCACCTCACGAAGACTATTACGACGAGAATGATGACGAACAGAATCAACAACATCAACAATATTTACAAAATCAGCAAGTTCCTCATCAACAGCAGCAGCAACAACAACAACATTATCAACAACAGCAGTACAGATCGTCCTCAAATGGAAATGGCGCAAATCAAAAATTCCAACATTATCAGCGTTTGCGGCGAGACCTAGGGCGAGACATACCCGATTTCAATGATATAGAACTCAATAATAGATTTACATGTAATCGCAGCTTATGCGCTGTGATTCGATGCACAACCAGTCAATTGGATGCCGACAGCAGTGCATGGATTGCCCTTCGTATGCGTCTTGTTACACAAACACTTAATGTTGTATGTGAAAGACTTCCGATAGATTTTTATTTTCAATGTTCAATCCTGATTATAATCGACTTTTTTTTTATTTCACAGCTCGCTCCGAATATAGCCTTGAATCTTTCAACAATGGTTATTTCACGTGTTGCTCGATTGCCATATCTTGGTGAACCGACTGAGAAACCGTTGAAATTATACGAATTGAAAATTTCCGCTGTTCCTATTCCAGAACCAAAACCAGACATTGTTCCATGTATGTGTAATGAAATGGTTTATATTTGATTTCAAAAATAAATAATTTATTATTTATTTGCTATTTATTTCAGTGTGGATTATTATCCTGTCGGCATGCATTGGTGTGATCATCTTGCTATTGCTGATTTATCTACTTTACAAAGTATGTATTTCATTTTGCTTCGATTACTTATACTGATTCCTATCATTTCAAATTGTTTCTTTCATTTTCATTTGAAATAGTGTGGCTTCTTCAAGCGTAATCGTCCAGATCATTCGCAAGAGCGGCAGCCATTGAATAGAAATAATGGATATCACGGCGATGAACGACTATAATGAAATATTATTGTGTGCCGAATTTGAAATAATAACCAACGAAACCCGTTAACATTTAAGATTCAAAAAGGGAGCCACAACTTCTCGGACAAGCTATGATTAGCTTGAGAGTTAAAACATTGGAAAAAACAACTAGTCATTTATTTTTTTATTTTTTTCATTCAAAAAAAAAAACAAACTCCCGCTTCGCTGCGAAATTTAAATCAAATTTTTGTGTGTATCAAAATCAACTGCCAATTAGTGTTTTTCTCAAAGAAACAGGTTGACTTTTGCTTGGAAAACATATTGATACCACCATAAGAACAGATTTAATTTTAATCACCAAAATTAACGTGTTAATTAAAAAAAGGCACTAATTTGCACACTCTTAACTACCCAATAAGATAGGTAAACAAATGAGAAAAACTTATCCTTTTCGCGCCAATAACGGTTTTTCATCTTATTTAATAAAATTCGCTTCTTTTTTGAAAAACTAAAAATTGTGGAGAAAAACTGCCATTTCGTTGAGAAAAGCAGATAGAAAATATGTGCAGAATTTAATTGATAGTAATGGCCATAACATATTTTAGTTGAATGAATACTACTGATTTCTCGTTATAGATAATAAAAAAACAATTAATTGAAGTGTGAATGTGCGAACTGTGTGTTGCAATGTATATATGAATAAGTATTGAAATTAATACTGTTAAACTTAGACGTATTTAAGTGAAAATGACGACGGTAATGCGATGCATCTCATGTGCTTCGATTATTCGCTGGCAATTTGCTTTTGTGTCATTTTAAGACTAAATAAATTTAATTTATTTTCGTTGAACTTCGTCGACTTGAGCATGTTGGCAAACCAACACCTTTTTTTTGTTTTCCGACGTGACAAATTTACAAGGCATAAAACATATTAGCAAAATAACATTTCATATTGTGACTTTATTAACAAGTGCCTAATGATAACTGAAATTTGTAGCGCAAACGATTTTATCATTTTTTTATTAGAATGTATAAACGTTGAACATAATTCATTTGAATAACAAATTAAATGTGCGCTAATATATGTTGATATTTTTTAAGTTAAATCAAATGTTGATGCTGCAATATAGATGATGCAACATATATTACATACAAAATAATTAATAGAAACAATTATGCATTTCAACTGTGTACATATTTGCATGAGATACAAGTTTACTGAAAAAAAATTTAAATAAAATTGATCAAAACAATAAAATTTTCGAAAAGTGTTTTATTTTTATTGAATAAATGATTTTTGATTTACTGGAAATATTCTGTCAACTGTTCAGTTTTCTTTATTCATGTTAAAAATGATAATAATCCATGTGATAATACATGCGAATAATATGCGTCAAACGCGTCAACATCACTGCAGAACCACTACACAATACGGAACATGCGTTGTTAATGATAGGCTCATTATTATTTTAAGGATTCCTTTTTTGAACCAAATATCATATTTCGTATCCGTGTCATGCCTCATTTAATTTTTTTAAAGAATATTGCTGCTCTCCTAATGGATTAGTTGATGTAAGTTGACTGTTCTTTAAATTAAATTTAATCGGTGATGACGGTACTTTTTGAGATTAAAGTACATAAGTACAAATCTCTGATACTCCCAAAAGATCACCTATTTACTCTTCAAACCACTTTTTTATTCGATTGAAAAAGTCTGGCTGCCTATACCTAGGAGAGATCAAAACACATCATATCATCTTAATAAATCTTCGAACCTTTTGATTTGCGATTTTTCGCGATTTATCATTAAAATATGTCATCCTTTCGTCTGCGGCGGATATACGATTAGTAAAGTTCAGTCTTTTTTTCTAATAGTAGGGATTATGGCCACAGGCAGTTCAGATCATTACGAAAAATGTGATTATTTTGAATTAGATTTTAATGAATGAATCATACTTAAAGTTTATAACTTGATTCTCATTGGGCGAACATAACTGTTAAGTGATTGCATATTTGAATATGATTCATATTGAATTATACTAAACAGTTGAATTTGAAACTAAACGTACATTTTTAACCTAAATTAGACCCGAAGATTTTTTTTCAAACTAAAAAAACATGTTTATGTGAGAGCAACGTAATTACTTAACATTTCATCTAATTTTTAAATTGATAAAAAAAAACGTGTCTTCTTATCTCATTTGCTTTCCTTTTTTTCATAATCGTGTACATGTGTACAAGGGTATTTTTGTTTATTAATTCTTTGAATTATAACATGTAAATAACTGTGCACAAGAAATTAAAACTACATGAATCTAGGACAAAAATGAAGATGTTCGATGATGTCATCAATGAGCATCATAGCCGTTGATTCATTCGTTGCGATTCGATGAACTTTTAATCACATGAAATTTATTTTTTGTATTTGACGCAAAAATTACCCAGCACTGATAATATAAATTACGCCAAAAATAACAAAAACAAATACATTGTGCTTCAACACACGGAGCTAGACATGGAGTGTGGATTTTCAAATAACGTAAGTAACACATTTCCAACACATAAGCATTATACAATTAATCAATGATGTACACATCCATTCGATTATACCATAAATCATGATAAGTAAAAGTTTCAAATAAATAGAACTGCTCGCATTTTTAATCGCGTAGTTCCTTTTGAGAAGTAAATTGAGAAGTATTGAAAAATCAATAGATCGAAAACATTTTTTTTAAGATTGTGATATTAAGGAGAATTAAAAATGTATAATTACAAAAGAGTAAGTGCCAACATTATTAAAAATTATATTCATATTTTGTGAATTTTTTTAAATGAAATTTAACGAATTTCTATAGTTTGACAATGAATTGGAGTCACAAAAATCAACAGTGCCAAAAAAGTCCTGTACTTTCTGGATTATTTTTTTTACTGTGCTTTTATCAGTGGTTCTGAGTGCAGTCTATGTTTTCTTGGTGGCTCCCAGATATTCAAATGAATTTGAAGCATTCGTTCAAAAGGAGTGGACAAAATTTAAGGTAAGAAGATTTCTTACTAAGAAATATTTGGTTATTTAGTCAATTTTGAATTGAATTGTGAAAATCTCTTCCGTTATTTTCTCCAGTCACAGCATTCAAAAGAATACAAAACTAAAACTGAAGAGCAACGCCGTATAAGTATTTTCAAAAAAAATGTGGAAAAAATCCACAAACATAATCAAGCCTATGAAAATGGGGACATTGCGTATAAACTCGGAATAAACAAATTTACCGATTTGGAACATAGTGAGTTTAAAATGATGAAAAAGATTCATTTTCAGCGAACAAAGTCACCAGAGAAGTATGTTTTTTTACTACTTGATTTTTTTTTTCAATTTTGTCGAATATTTACAAAATATAATTCTCTTAGAATTGTGAACGACTTGCCAGCCAACTTTATCGAGCCGGTCGATATTACCATCCCATCATCGATTAACTGGAGAGAGAAGGGTGCCGTAACAAACATTAAAGATCAAGAAGACTGTGGTTCATGCTATGCATTTGCTGCGATAGGAGCACTTGAGGGACAATATTTTCTCAAGACTGGACAATTGGTATCATTGTCTGAACAAAATATTGTCGACTGCTCATTTAATGACGCTTGCGATGGTGGTTTGGCATATCAAGCTTTTCAATACATCAAGGAAAATGGTGGCATTGATACTGAAGCTTTTTATCCCTACACAGCTGAAGAAGGTGATTGCAAATACAATCCATTAAACTCAAGCGCTACGGTTGATGGATACGTGAAAATTCCTGAAGGCGACGAAAGAAAACTAGCAGAGGCAATAGCCACTATAGGCCCAATCGCGGTTGATATTGATGCATCAGACCCAACATTCCAACATTACGAGGGAGGTATTTATCAACCTAAATATTGTGACACAAGTGACGAATATTTGCACCATGCAGTTTTGGTTATTGGTTATGATCAGGACTCTTATTTAGTGAAAAATTCATGGGGCACCACGTGGGGTGAAAATGGTTATTTTAGAATAGCTCGTAACAAAGAAAACCAATGTGGCATTGCAACATCTGCCGTATATCCAATCGTTTAAGCATATATTATATTAACAATCCATTTTTGTATTAGTATTTAAAAAAAATAAATATTTTTAAAAATAAATAGAAAAAATAGTAAAATAAAGAAAATGAATTTTATGTGTTTTAACGGTACCTTTTGAGATTAAAGTACATAAGTACAAATCCCGAAAGTTCGCCTATTTACTCTTCAAACCACTTTTTTCTTGGATCAAAAAACACTGGTTACCTAAATTTAGGAGGGATCAAAATCAATGATATCAACTGATGTGAACACAACTTCTGATTTTTATTTATGAAACTATACACAAGTTCTATTCACCAATACAAATAGTTTTTTCGTGAAAAAAAGTGGTTGTGTTGTGTCAAATATACTATGGATGACAATTCAGTTGTCAAATTCTCACCGGATTCGACATAACATAAAGAAAATTTGTTTTGCACGAAAAAAAAATTGTATTGGTGAACAGAACTTGTGTATATCACTTATACTTTGAATATGAATAATGATAGTGATTTGCCCACAAGCCGTTTCAGATCATTACGAAAAATGTGATTATTTTGAATTGGATTTGAATGAATCATACTTAATTCTCATTAGGCGAGAATAACTGTTAATAAATCGTGAGGTAATCGTTGTCAATCAGTTGTTTCATTCTCATTACACATGAGACCCGAATTCTCGGAAAATCGATTTCGAGAAAGATTTTTTTTTTGCTATAGCTATTAGTGATTATTGTGAACAAAATGATGTGAAAGTATTATTTGCATTTTTTGTCTTTCAAAGAAACACATTCGCTATCATAAAGACATTCGTGTTACGATTCAAAGAATTCCTAACCACAGAAATAAAAGTTGTATGAATTTTTCAGAAAAGATAATATAATCGCTTCCAAAAAATGTAAAAGTAAATACATCGTGGTTCGAGGAATCAAGCGTTAATTTTCAAACGACAAAAATGTGTTCATTTGTGTTTATTTAAACCCGAGTTGTTAACTGAGAAGATTGGTACTTTTCGTGAATAAAATTATTGTAGTACGTGCTTTTCCATTTCACAAAATAGTTGATCATTTAAAATGATGATCGCAATCATATTCATGGCATTGTTGGCCACTGCCTATGCCATCGATGACGACTATGATCAAAATAAAAATAATATTACAGTTGAATGGCGAATATTTAAGGTTGGAAATATTTAGTGCGAATGATTCAATTGAATTCTTATTTATTTACTATGATTTTTTTTTCTTGAATAAAAATATCCACAGTTGCAGTATTCAAAAGCATACAAAAATGAAATTGAAGAACAACGCCATATGACTACTTTTGAGAAGAATATAGAAAAAATCAGTGATGGTTTTTTCCTATCTGAATAGCGCTAGCTATTCGCAGCGTCTGAACAGCATTGCTGCCCAGATGCTGAATCGAAGCGGTTGCCGCACGCGTTTTGTACCACACAACATATTGTCATATAGTCTAAGTAACCAGTGAGCTCACAGAGTATGATACACTAATACCATAGTCAGTATACAAACGCATGTCGAACAGAGAACGAACGCGAACGTATATGCTCTGTGTGGTACAAACGAAGTGTGTTGCGCGTGCGGCAACCGCTACGATTCAGCATCTGGGCAGCAATGCTGTACAGGCGCTGCGAATAGCTAGCGCTATTCAGATAGGAAAAAACCATCACTGGAAAAAATCCACAAACATAATCAAGCCTATGAAAACGGGAACTTTACATATAAGCTCGGAATAAACGAATATGCTGATTTAGATTACAAAAAATTTGAAGAAATGAAGGCATTTCGATTACAAGGCGATGCTATTCCAATTTATCCAAATTTTTGGATGGAGAAGTACGTCTTTCTCAACTTTCAAATTTTGTTTTATTGATTTAAATGTCATTTTCATAGAATGAAAAGCGTTGAATTCTCGTCAGCCTACTACTTCACTGAACCGGTCAATATTACCATCCCATCATCGATTAATTGGAAAGAGAAGGGTGCTGTAACAAAGATCAAAGATCAAGAAGGCTGTGGCTCATGCTATGCATTTGCTGCAACAGGAGCACTTAAGGGACAATATTTTCTCAAGACTGGACAATTGGTATCATTGTCTGAACAAAATATTGTCGACTGCTCAATTTCTTATATAAAGGTTGCCGTGGTGGCCTCACATATCAAGCTTTTCAATACATCAAGGAAAACGGTGGCATTGATACTGAAGCTTTTTATCCCTACACAGCCGAAGAACGTGATTGCAAATACAATCCATTAAACTCAAGCGCTACGGTTGATGGATACGTGAAAATTCCTGAAGGCGATGAAAGAAAACTGGCAGCGGCAATCGCCACAAAAGGCCCAATCGCGATTTCAATGGACTTTTCAGACGAAATATTACAACTGTACGCATCAGGAATTTATCAATCTACAGAATGTGGCTCAAGCGATAGAGACTTATATCATGCAGTTTTGATTATTGGTTATGATAAGGACTCCTTTTTAGTAAAAAATAGTGTAGGCAGCTCGTGGGGCGAAGATGGTTATTTTAGAATAGCTCGTGACAAAGGAAACCAATGTGGTATTGCAACAGCTGCCATATATCCAATCGTTTAAGTCAAAAGTACCATCATAGAATAGTACTAAACAGTTATATGTTTGAATAGTTGGATTTGAAGCTAAAAGTAAATTTTTAACAAACATTTTATTTTGCAATACCTATAAGCGATTTAATTAAACAACATGTTTGATTGCTGATTTTAAACATTTTTTGCTCGCTTTTTGTCAACAAGTAATTATTTGTGCGAACATCATCTTACGCGTTGAATCATGATAATTTATGAATGAATAGAGCATAGCTAAATGGCTGTGAATCATTGAATGTTTAAATTGATAGTAAACGTGTCTTCTTATCTCATTTACATTCCATTTTCTGTTTTTTTAATTCTTCGAGTTATCACGTGTAAATAACACCATAATCTGTGTACAAGAAATTAAAATTCTGTGAATAGAGAAGACTCAAAAAACCCACAAAGATGTAAACAAATAAAAACACAAATACATCACAAAAACAAAAATATTATTTTCTTCTTATAACAATTTTTCTAACATTATTTAACTAAGATTAAGAGAAAATCACATTTTTATTGAGCATTGGTAATAATGATGAGCATTAATTATACCGATAAGATATTAAAATTGATTAAATTGCGAATTTTTTGCAGGACATTGCGCAAGTGTTCGCTATGACCTAATCATTCGTTGCGAAAAATGTTTAATCATATGAATTCTGTTTTCATGGGACGCACAAATTACCAAGAACTGATAATACAATCGCTTGTTTAAAAAAAAAAACAAGAACAAATACATTGTGCTTTAAAAAGTGAAGCGAGGATTTTCGATTGACGTGAGTACTTTCAATACATAACACCTTAAAATTAAGAAAGCATCTACACATTCGGCCGAATATAATATAAAATGACCCATTAAATTGATTAAAATAAGTATTTCACCCGGAGCTGTTGAGTGAGAAGCATTGATTTTGATATTCGGTGCCATTTTAGTATTTTCGCCGCGGAGTGTTTGTAGAATTTAATTTTTTTAATACTCACTATTGATCAGTTTCAAATTGTAAATTGAAAATGACAAAGATCCTGTTTTTGTTCGTTGTATTATTAACCACCACTCATGCCTTCAATTTTGATCAAATCAAAGATGCCATTGAAAACGAATGGAACGTATTCAAGGTTAGAAATATTCTATATGTTCGTTTCTTATTTATCAATATAGCCAATTTCTAAACTGATATGAACAATTTTCTGCTCTCTTATTCATTTTTTCCAGACGAAGTATTCAAAAAAATTCAATAGTATAGAGGAAGATCTAATCCGGTTTGCAGCGTTTCGTATTAATAGAGAAAAAGTCAATGCGCATAATAAACTGTATGAAAAAGGAATAGTCTCGAACAAATTGGCATTAAACCAATTTTCCGATTTACTACAAAATGAAGTCGATGCAAAAATGAAAGGATATAAACGATCAAACCAATTATGGTAATTGGAATCTCCTCTTGCAAGTCTCTCATGTTTCAGATGAATGTAATGTCGTTTACTTTCTGAAACAGGGAACCTGATGACGAGCCTAAACCGAGCGAAAATTCGATTTATTTTATCGAACCATTCAATTTAACTTTGCCGCGTTCGATAGACTGGCGGGATATCGGTGCAGTAGCAGAGATAAAAAATCAAGGTGTCTGCGGTTCGTGTTGGTCATTCAGCGCGACTGGAGCACTTGAAGGACAACACTTCCGTAAGACTGGTCAATTGATATCGTTGTCGGAACAAAATCTTATCGACTGTTCATCTGATGGATGTAACGGTGGCTTTCCCGACAAAGCACTCCAATACATCAAAGACAATGGTGGTATTAATACCGAAAACGCATATCCCTATAAATATGGAGATGATTATTTTGAAGATAAAACATGTAAATACAATGCAACGAACGTGGGTGCTATTGTTACCGGTGTTGTCAAAATTCCTACGGGCGACGAACAGAAATTAATGACTGCGCTTGCAACTATCGGTCCTGTAAGTATATATATAGTATATCTATAACTATGAATCATTCATTACATTCATTACTATTCATTCAATACTGTTATAGATTTCTGTGGCTATTGATGCGTCGGGTGCTTTTGGTTTTTATCATCACTCGAAGGGCGTTTATTATAATCCAAACTGTGCTACGGAGAATGAAAATTTAGATCATGCAGTCTTGCTCGTTGGATATGGTACTGATGCGAATGGCAAAGACTATTATATAATAAAGAATAGCTGGGGCACATCGTGGGGAGATGGTGGGTTCATGAAAATGGCAAGGACAGGACAAAATCACTGCGGTATCGCGACGGATGCCTACTATCCACTCGTTTAAAGATAACGAGAATGATTTATTTCGATAAATATAGCGAAAATATTATAGATTCGTTCAAAGAATTTGTTTAATGAAGTTTGAATTGGTAGCTTTTAAAAAGTTAACTTATAATTCATGTTGACAACAATGATGTTGTGTATGATGTTAATTTGAAATTTGTCTGATTATTGGCCGCTTCTTATGCTTTTCGCTTTGATTTTAATGAATAAAAAAAAACATTGAAACCAAGTGGCAAATATATATATCGAAATAAAAAAGTCGCAAGCATTTCGAAACAACAAGAATAATTTATTGTGAAATGTATAAACAAAAAAGAATGTAAACATATTTACAGTGAATAAAAATGATATAAAGGACAGAAGCGACAGAAGTTTTATTCCATTCCTTTGGCATTAAAATGTTGCTTATCTCTTATATTTTCAATATAGTTTTTGGAATTTGAATTCATAGATTATTTATGTAATTTCCATTTAAAAAAGACATTTTCAAAGAAATTTATCAGATTTCAATCATCTAAAATGGTAAATAGCATTTTGAAATAGAAATAAACTATCGTCGAGTCAATTCCACTCTATTGAATTCCATAAATTTTGTTTTCAATCAAAGGGCAAAACTTGTTTGTTTTTACTGGCTACAGCCCATATGAAACTTCAACGCTATGCGCGTCAAATCGACGTTATTCCATGTGTATATAGAATTGTACATTATATTTTACAGTGCTGTGCAAACGCAAGCATGCGGCCACATATACACCAATACACAGTAACAACAAACTCCGTTTATGTGCGCGCTATACTTAGTTGCCTGTTGTTTTGTGTATTGATTTGAATTGCAACTCAATCACAGTAGACGTTGCATGCACAGCACTGTGAAAGATAATGTACAATTCATAGATAATGTAGCATAGCGTTAATTTTTCATATGGGAGTGTATGAATTAATCGGCGCATACACATCTGATAATTTGTTCAGTACATTTTTCTAAATGTCACCGTAGCAATCGCCATAAAAGGCATTCATTTAAATTCTTATCTCATGTTTATTTGTTGCCTCTTCTCTCATTTTGGCTTGTACTTTTCAATAAACACAAAAGGCGACAATTTTATATGTTAATTTTTAGAAATTAGAATGATACAACACAAGCCAGTGCAATCAATGACGTGAGACAAATAGATGCGATAACAGCTGATTTTTGTTTAAAAAAAATTAAAAAATCGCGTTTCTACTTTTACGCACACACCTAGTGTGTAAGGAGAAAGTATTGCAATAGGTCAAAATTTACGACACCTCAAAAACATCTTTTCTAGACGTTTCTGGGGTCAGAGAACCCGAATCAGACCGTTTTGAGCATGGTTGTTGTGGTTGTACGTTGTCCGCCGTACGCAAAATTTGTCCATCGATTATTTCACCCCCCAAAAAAGTTATTTAAAATCTGACTGTACAGGATGATTGGGGGTCGCGAGGAATAGAAATCATTAGATTAGGGGTACCTCCCATACAGAATTTTCATTAGTAGACTAGTAAAAATCCAATCCAAATGAATTATAAAAGTGAGGTTATGTTGTTCACTAGGTTGTTCATATTATTTTTTTCTAGATTTTTTTTTTGTTTTATTGATAAAATAATATTTTCGAATATTTTAAATTCTAATTTTTCTTTTGCAAAAAAAATGAATTTTTATCCAAAACATAAAAAAATATTCATTTTTTTTTTACTTTTACGTAGTATTCTCTGAGCGGTAATCTACTGTCACTCTAGCTATCACTGCTCGTGGCGCTGTACTTATAAGTTCGACGAAACCTATAGAATTGTACGAAAAACTTACCAAAACTTAGACGAACTTATGAAATCGCACGCTACTTATGAGAATTTTTACGAACTTACGCTTTGTCCATATACATTAACACACTGCTGTAAGTTCGATATGCGTCAACATGCCGAAACAGTCGCACATGTAGTAGTCAAATGTTGTGTCACTGGTCAACTTTTTTTTAATTACATCTCACGCTGCAAATAATTTACTAGGTTTAAATAATTGTACCAAAAATGTACGCAATTGTACCACAATTTTTTTTTAATTGTACCTTACTCGTTTGGATAATATTTGAGGGCCAATTGAGCTATTATTATCAATCGTGTTCCCTGTAATCTGTTTAATATTGAATTCAGTTGAGTGTCCACGTTGTACAACGGCTGATTCTACTGTCAATGTTGGAGATTTTCTATACTGAGTTTTTTGTGTTTGAGTTGTTTGATTTTCAGTTAATGCTTTAGTTGCTTGAATATCATCTCCTGATGATTCGGCGATGATTATATTTTGTGTTAAGCGTTCATAGATCTGCGATAAAAATATATTTTCCCCGGTTTTTGAAAAAGCATTATTCATTTTGAAACTGCTTATTGGTACGAAACATTCAGAATGTTTTTGTGATGATGCACTTGTCACATCTATCGGCAAATCTCCAGTTTTATCGTTTTAACAAGCTGCCAATTGTTTTTGGCTCGTCGTGTGAGATCGTATAACAAAATATTCGTGTTGATTATCGGCCTCAATCTCATTATTAATGCTCGTCACATCAATGGGCTGTGAGCACATACTTTTTTCTTCACGTTTTGGTAACGTATATAATATATAACCATCGATGCTGATGCGTGTTACAGATGTACCTATTATCGATGATCCATTTGCTGATGCGATCTGTCCAAACAAAAAAAATAATTTCAAAAAGGAGCACACGTACTAGGGGAAATTATCTATTTACAAATGGACAAAATTCATTGAAGTTGCATAATAAGTCGTTACTTCGATAAAATAATTCAAAAAATTCGCAAGCAATTCTCAATAAGTTGTCACAATTTGATAAATACAAAAGATACACATTTTGCGAATTTTCTTGCGTTTATAGCGAAATATTTGCGACTAGTTTGTTGATTGCAACTTCAATCATTTGCAAATTATTTGGCATAAAATTCCAAAATATCGTAATATTAGCGATGTTTTGATCGAGATCCGATCTTCTAGGATATAGATATGATGTTTTCTAAAGTATCATCTAAAAATTAACAACTTTAACGGTTTTAATTCCTTGAAACAACAGTTATACTTATTGATGTTGTTGTTGGGTTAAACGAAAATCGTCATAAAAAACCCCAAATTGGATATTTTCAAAAACCCAATTTTAAACGAAAATTTGCCAAATTTTGATCCTTATAAATTGATTAGTTTTGATATAATTTTAAATCTTGAATGTTTTTGGAATACATTCCCATATAGTTTGCGAATTAATTCGGATTTTACCTGTTTTGACGTTGCATTGACCACTGAATTGTCATCTTCTTCCGATGAATCTTCTTCTGATGAATCTTCCAATGAATCTTCTCCCTCGTAATCACCCAGAACAACAACCTCCTATAAAATTAAATGAATATCCATAAGAATTTTATGAATGTATTGTTGGTTTCATTTAATCAATTCCGATTTTTTTTGGTCGAAACGAATAAATATTTCAATGATTTTCTTTTTTAAAGAATATAAATTTTGTGTTTTACGTACATTCATCTTTTTTGTAATTCCACTGGTCGAAGGTTCTCCGGGAATTTTATCCATCAAATGAAGTGCACGTAATTCCTCATCTGTCATTTTTAACATATGTTCATAATTATCATTCGTCCTTTCGCCACTATCGTCAGCTGGCAAGTATGTTGCATATTTTGTATTATTACTGCAACATTTCACAAGATAGTTTTATGGTTAGCGTGGGCGAATATTTCATTTTCATCTATTGAAATACACACCAAAACGTTTTTTTTGGTTTGGCTTGTGAAATAAATGTATTTCGAATTTCGCCGTGAAAGCGATTACCCTCAATATCTAACCAATTTCTAAATACTATTAAGTACTTTACGAACGTATCATCGTCTATCTCAACTGGTTCTGACACAGTCTGTTTCCTCAGGAAATGGCTGACATTTTTTTTTTGTTTTGATTGTATTTTTTGTTTTTCTCCTAGTTCCCTTATGGAATTACTAACTGAATAGTCAGTTAACTAATTTGGGATGTTTTTGGCTAAAGCCAACTGAGATTGAAGTTGTTTCAAGTTGATTTGTCTGATTTTTCAGTCAATCCTAGTAGAGAAAAATATAACTTAATTCAACTTTAATCGCAGTTGACTAGACAAAAACGTCCCAAATTAGTCATCTGTTTAAAATGAGATACATAGACGACTTCATTTAACAAAATTGAATTTCAGTCGATTTCAGCTAAGCAGTCAGTCAGTCACTTTTTCCACACGGGTTCTTGAACTATTTCTTTAGTTTTGAATCCTCATCGGAAAAATGTGTTATCTTTTCTCAAATAAATTTTATATCGGCTCAACGGCATAAATCAGTCAGAAATACATTAACACCTTAGAAGTGGAATCATAATGTCCCTATGAGGGCCTCTCGATCGTTTCATATTGATGAAGACATCAAGAAAAGTAAAATCTTTGGCAAACTGCAATTAAATGACATAAATTACCATCATTTATGTGTAGGGTATTTCAGAAAAATGCGATTATATCATTACGTGATACTATGCATTATCCTAATAAAATTGTACCATCAAATGATCTTCATAAACATGCTGAATTCGATTGGCCACCCTACGGTCAAATTCACGTGAGTTCATTGATCTACATAATTCCAAGTCAGTGTATGCAGCCAATATTTTGATTATCCTTTGAAGGTAATCTGTCCCCTGAAATAATCAAAATAATCGGACATTCATTTAAATTGTTTTGGTTTTGGTTCCGCTTAAGTTGCTATTGAACAAGCAAACAAACAATAAGAGATAAATCAGCTGTGTTCAATGAATTTCGAACATTTTTACAGATACAAATATGTACTCTGACAAATAAAAATGATTGCTTTAAAAATAGTTACCAGTTCGAATTCTTTATAAATATGACGAAAAATGTACAGAAATATAAAAATATATGCAGCTAGAACTGCTGATTGCTTTGGTTTCTCAGAATATTTTGGATAGCCATCAATCAATTTCCCAAAATAAATCGAAAATACTACTATTTTTTGCTCTTCAATATAAAGACCAGACTATGTAGCATGGGCGCGACGTGAAACGTATGATTAAAAAACTTGACATCAACGCCAGTCCCTCATAACAAAAAGGGTACACAGAAACAAGTATTCGAGTACGCTTACTCCACAAGCGCAACAAGAACCACTGGCACAACGACCGGTACAAGTAGCACAAGCTCAAATTCCGGCTCAACAACAACAAGTTCATGCACAGCGAGGGCAAAACGAACGACATGATAACACATTAATTCTTACCCGTTCAATTGTGTCTAAATTAAATTGT